CTGCTTCACCCCTCAATTTCTCGACCGCGGTTGGCACGATATGGTACCGATCAGCCTTCTTCGCTCCTCAGATCTAGGATTCGCCGCTTGACAATGGGCGGCCAATGGGTCATGTAAACATGGGGTTGGTTGAAAATAGGGTACCTCCCAAAAGAAATTGATGGTTGACCACCATTTTCCTCACAAAGAGTGCAGTACCAGATATCTTTGGTACTCCAGATCAAAGTCAGTGCCAAGATGTTGGGGGACCTGCAGGTTGATTTTGAATGGCGTGGTGGCGGGGTGACCATCTGATAGTCGAAGAAATGGCAGTGGAAAATTCCAACTTTCAATGGGAACATTCGACTGACAGGTCGAAATTGAGTCTAAACATGTTGCTGCAAATGGATGTGCATATTCCTTTCTCATCTCCATGAAATCTTGAGCAATTACCCACCTCGTACTGATTTCATGGAAACAGTAGGACAAAAGATCCTGTCTTTATTGCAGGAGATAGAAGCATTTGCAGTCCAATTCTATGAGTTTCCGTGCCACGGCTGTAAAACTACGTGTAATCATATATATATATATAATTATTATATATATATTATGTTCGCAGCAGGTCTACAAGCTATGGTGGATGAAGCCCATCCCTTCTAATGATTGGTGAATAGGGATTCCCAGCTCACAGATGCTGATAATCCCTAAATCTATAGAAAGGGTAGGAGAATCTCCAAACTCATCAACCCTATCAACCCTTCCAACCCTGGCTTTTTGTATCCAGGTGGACGAAGAGCATAAAATTCATTTTCACGCAGAGGTTTGTGGCCTTCCTTTGGCCACACACCAGCAGCATCCCTTCGATTCGCTGGACCTCACTGCAGAGATCAAACCCTTGAAATTTCACTTGGCATCAGGGCCCCCCTTGTTCTTTGACCGGAGGTTGCTGACAGCAAGATGTGAATATTTTCAGATGCTTAGATGCAGGCCTTAGGGATAGTAGGAAAAACGGTGCTGGTTGGTGTTTTTTGTCGTGTTAGTTCAGCATGAAAGTCTCCGGCAGTGGCCGCAGGCAACTTTTCAATGTAACTTAAGCAGCCTTTTGTGCTTGTAAATATTGCCAGACCAAATGTATCGCAAGAACTTGATATTTGTTCCCAAGCCATGACTCAATGGATTGCAGATCATTGAAACATCATAGGCAACTGCCCAGGGCCCATGGCGAAAAATCCCAAGGAAGATGCTGAACGAATCCTCCACTTGGTGGGAGTCCTCGGTTGGTGAAGTGGACCTCCGGTCGGACCCCAATGCATCACAAGAGAGTGTTTCGGCAGTTCTGAAGTTCCTCATGACGGATGCTTGGTTTGGGGGGAGTTCATTTGCAGGTGTTTTGTTGTTTGTATAGCTTAATGTTTGGTAAACCCTATTTCATAAACCATTCCCAAAATCACCATGAATGGGTGGTATAGATACAGTGACATTAGATAACCATCCCCCCCATGGTACTTGTTTATGGCCGCCAGGGTTTCCCACGTTAGTCACTCTCTGTCGTCTTTTCTGGGTCGGATAAGCCCATCATGATGTCATGACCTGGAACTAAACTGAGCTTTTGAGTTCAGTTTCAAAGCTCAAGCATACATATATATATATATAGTCACATCATATCATATCATTATCATATCATATCATTATCATATCAAATCAAATCATATCATATCATATCATATAGTTCAACAAGAACTTATGTTATATATTTTAATTGAGATTATATATATATCAAGTCTTTTAATAATATTATATAGCCACATATTTACCCAATAGAAATAAATATAAGTTATAATCAGTTATATAAACCACAATAGGTTATACAACAACTTATATAAATCAACCAGAAAAAGGACGTCTTCGACCCCAAAGACGACGTTCCTCTGGGTCTGGCCGTGCGTGCCCTGGCGGACCGCTTCTGCATCACGGAGCTCACGAAGCATGCGGATGCCGCGTTGACGTCGCTGCTCACGGAGGACGTGGGTCACCCTCCAGGTCTCCGGACAGAAACCACGTGAAATCCATTGAAATCCTGGTTTTTGATGTGGTTTTATATTTGCTGTACATGTTTTGTGAACTTATCCCGTTTCTTTTGTGTTGTTTTATAATGTTTTATAATGTGTTTTTATTTTCAAACAAAATAATATTTACATGGTTTCTAATATGTTTTTTTGATGTGGTGGGTGTTTAATGTTGTTTTCGTTTTTGATGATCGTCAACTATATATATATACACATTTATTATCCAAAAAATGAGCTGTTCATGCGAAAGGGGCTGGGAACATCTGCCAAAATACGACACAATTTTGTAAACTGCATAATCATGCGCAACCAATGTGGCAATTACATGTAAGTACCTCATTTAGATTTTGACCCATTCCCATATGCTGAATCTGGGCTGTAGAGTTAGGACTGGAAGTTTCTGAAGGTATTGCTGGAGGCTTATGGCCTCAATGGCTTACATTTCTTCATACCATGTATGTACATGGAAGGATTGACGGATGGATGGATGGATGGAGGGATGGATAGATTCCATTGAACCAGAAGAAGTCTTGATCTCCGCTTGCGATCCCACATTGAACCACTGATGCATTCATATTGTTCAGTCCATGTCAGTCCGTGCAGGACAATGTCCTTACCCTTCTATCTCAGTCGCTGAACACTGGTAGCCAGGTGCGGGCCATGGGTTGCGGTTAATCAGTCCTCAAGAGCATGTCACATTGGCAGCAAGCGTTGGCGAACATGTGAAATTTCAAAAAAACAAGACCCTACTCATAAATCAATGATCAAAGTGCGATGTTCGTACTTTTAATGGTTTGAATGATCCCATTTCCAGATTTCCAGCGCTGGTGGGGTGTGACGCTTGGGACTAGGAGTGATCTCTAAACAGGCCATGCCTGATATGGTAAGGAACTGACCTGAGAACATGCCACTGGCACCAACAAATGATTTGAACGTATAAGACTCATGTGCACGCGGCATATCTTACTAGATGCTGCATAACCTAGTTTGTTTTGCATTTGATTATATACGTTTCTTCTGCTGCATGTAGAAGTTCGCGTTGTTAATTTATGTATGCTTCTTGAAGTCGAAGCTAGGTCATACATGGTCATACCATGTCATACCCATGTGTGCCCCACCATATCCTCAGTGCATTTATTCTTTTGAATGGACATTGCATCATATTGCATCCCAAATCTTTCCCAACAGAATGGTTTGGACCAAACCTTCCTAGCCCTTCCACCCCAGGTGGAAGCAGCCTGTTGGCAGATGTTAGAGTCCAACACTGGGCTGCTGGTGAAGCACCAGGCGATGCTGGACCAGTTGATCGAAGAGCATCCTGAGTTGGCCAAAATGTTGATCCTCATGGGTCGGAAGGAAAAGCTGTACATGGACTTCGTAGACCAATTTCAGTGACGCTTCAAACAAAATCCCTCAGTAGTTTCAGTGCTGGTAACGGAAAAAGAAGTCTTTTCGAAGATTTCGAAGCCATGGCTTCTAGCTTGATCTAGCTTGTGGGTGCTCATTGTTGAACTCCGTAGAAACTAAGGAGGGTTCTCATTTGGGGTGAAAGTTTCAGGCCTTCTGCAGTATTGTTGGGACTTCAGCCGGCGTAAGCGGCATTTCACCCCAGGGGCAGCAAAGATTTGCCCTTTGGATTTGCACAGACAGAGGCTTCTGCAGGTTTGGGACCATTGAAATGGGATGAACATGATGAACATGATGAACATCCATAAATTACCATCTTTTGGGATGTGAAGAAACAACATCGACACATGTATAGCGTGTATAGCGTGTATATGCATGATGCTATGGGGCGGAAAGCGATGGTTTGACATGGTTTGGCAGTCCACGTCCTTGATGTGAAGCTGATGTTACAGTATCTTACAGTGATCCCAGGCCGCCGCAGGCATGTGGAGCAGGGCGGCAGGGTGTGCCCCTGACCTGACCTGCCAGGAGTTGAACTCAAGCGCATCCGGAGCAAGATCACCATTTTTTGAATGACGCAACCATGCGCAACCATTCAACTTGATGTGCATAATTTTTCATGACAACTGCGGTGAAACAGCTAAATCAACATAGCGAGAGCCCTAGCTATGGACAAGCAGAAGCTGATGTGAAGAGGTTGGGGCCACCAAAAGACCCGAACGGGGGCAAGATCGTCTTCAAGCTCCCGCAGCCTCGCCCCTCAGCTGTGAAGGTTGGTTGATCTCCCAGATTCCCAACCATCTCATCGCAAGGTGCCTGCAGGGGGCCCACTTGATTAGTCTAGCAGACTTCCCCAGTCAGGTTTGTTCAAAAGATGCCGGAGATTTATTGGTGAATGAGCTATGCATAAACATGTGAAGATCTTGTCTTTTACGGTAAATATTTACATGTTTACAGATGATTTGATAAGTGTCACAAGAGATTGATAAGTCCAGGTGCCAACGCGGGGAGTTCCTTTGATATGCCATGTCATGCGCCAGTTCACACCTTCCAAGATGTAATTACAGATTGAATCAGTTTTAGTTCGGCAGCACATGGCTTTCATATGAAAGGCTACTCTAAATGGGCAAACAGCATTGAAATCCCTTGGCCAAGCTTCTATGGGGCACATGAACAAGCTTTGCCTCTTGCCTCTGCATGCCATTGAGCTTCATGGAGTGCGGCAAAAAGAGTGACACCTTGCAGTCATTTGCAGTCGCAGGCAGGTTGTTCCAATAGTTCTGGTTGCACATTGACTGTTCCATTCTCCGCCTCATCCATCCCAGATGGTCCTTCACCTCCAAAAATCATTTGCCAAAGCCACTTTGTGCATGATGGGATTTGATGGGCATGTTTGTGCCATTTTGCATCCACTTGCTTTATGTTCTTGTGAATATCATTTTCCATATATGGGTTGGATGACTCAAACCGAACATGACTTCTTCCTGCTCAAGCAGCTCCTTGAGCTTTCAGAGGCACCGGCCGGCGCGCTTCGGCCATTTGCCCCCTATGGGCCAGACACGCAGCGAGAAGATTGTCTTCAAGCTCAAGAGCCCTCGCCCCTGGACAGCTGTGCAGGTTGGTTAATCCCCCCATCCAGATTCTCAATCATATTATCACAATGCAAGTACGTGGGGGCGTGTTTGGCGGACAGTCACGCATCCATCTAAAATATTTAAATGTGTTCAGACTATGCTTTCTCGATAAGGTTGCAGTTGCAGATGTTGCACATGATTCACACAAGTTAGCTCCCAAAGTATATTCCAAAATCACGCGGCAAGGAAGGTGTTTAATTTTATATCCGTATAATTATATGGAACATGGTGTTTCGCAGACAGAGGGGCTGCTGTATCAAGCACCACAGCTTGGCAGCAAATTGATGGATGATCGAGGCAGGGTGAGATGATTGCTTGGCCAGAGACATCGGTATATAGAAGGGGTCATGTGGACATCCTGGCATGCAATCAGGAACTCACTTGCTCAGCTGTTTTCTCCTATGAGCAACGTGTTGCCCACCCATTGGTCCATTGCAATGTTTTCTCTCCCTTTACACCGAGGCAAGTACAGCGAAGGTGACTTTGTATACTCTCGGACCATGGGACCACCAAGATCTTTCAAGTGGCGTTTGAAAGTTTATCCCTCTGGCACTTTGGGTACTGCGTGCCTTGATAGCAATAGGCAATGCATGCTTTCACAACACATCTAGCCTAAGCAGAGGTGCAGTCCGTGCGGAGCCAGCGATATTGAATCCCTCCCAAAAACAAAATCCATGGAGGTGCATGTTGATGGAAACACTATCACATGTTTGACGTATTTAAACCGTGTGGGGCGCGGGCTGAACATGATTCTCCATATGGCCACTCATGGGTGGGTAGGCTCTTAGGCTCTTAGGAGATGTTTGAATGTAGACAGAAGTATTCCAATAAAGCAGTTGGTGCATCATATGAGAAGGGATCGAGATTTCAAAGCTATGAGAAATGCCAGGAGTCAGAACGGCAAGAACCTTTCGGCCTTTGTGGAGGTGATATCCCCATCAAGCGACATGCCCATGTGGGTATCTTGCTTAGAAATTGAAGGATTTTGATCGAAAACCATAGGAGACTATCGAAATCTTTGGTGAGCTGAACTGCTGAGCGGTTTTGAGTAACATTCCTGGGAGGTATCAATTTGATTAAATTTGTTTACGTACAGCTTATGTTCATTTGAGATGTGGTCAAAATAAGCGTAGACTACTTTAAAGTAAGGGAGGGTCCAATTGTGTTGAGAAAGTGCACCAAACCATGTAAAGCGATAGGCTCCCCCAAAAAAGCGATAACTTGTAACCATATGAGAGTGCATTAAACTTGGTGTAAACCAAGCAAATGTTGTTGTGTGCCTTCAAGCGATGTGCAAAATTGATGAAGAAAAATCAACCTGCAGTGCCCACGTCCCTTGCAGTTGCCATACCATTTATTGTCCAAGGTCTGAACCGTTGCTTTCTGCAGGCAGTTGTTTTTTTCTCCCAGGTCCCTAAGCAGTAGAAGTAAACTCAATTAAACGCAACCGAATTCTGAATTGAATTAAAACATAGTGTTAAATCTAATTCTGAATTCCGTTTATGTGCTATAATTACCGTACTTAAATATGAATTGTGTATTCCTTTCTTTCCTTTTCTTTGTTTATCCTTCCATTTTCCTCTCTTACTTTCCTTTGGAATTCTGAAGTAAGTCAAATTTGATTTTGAATCCAATTCTGCGTTTATTTATTTTATTTCCATTTTGTTTGATTTGTTCTTTCTTCTTCCTTCGCTTCCTTTTCTCGTTCTTTCCTTCCTTTTTCTATTCCTTTTATTTTTTCAATTGTCCTTTTTGTTCCACATTCCCTTTTCTTTTCCTTTCTTGATCATCAAGGTGTTCTAATTTAGCGATAAGCTAGCGATAACCTTTTGTTGGAAAAGGAACCCCGGACGAGGGATAGACTCATTTGATCCCAACAAGAAGAACTCAACAAAAAAGCGAACAGGTTCTCAACCCTAGCCTTAAGCACTTCTTCATAGCTACGAACGCTTCTTTATTGGAACTATGAGGTCCCATTTTCAATTTCTAGAGCTTTTGAGCGGGGAAGTGTGGCGTTTTCTGACGCCATGGCTTATCAAAGAGGGACAACTGCGAGGTGACTGTTTTTCGTTTTCATAGAATTAGTGATCTTACAACCGTTGGGAACCATTGAAAGAGTCTAGGAATGTGCTTAGATAGCTCCCAACATGGTTGCGAACGCAAAGACAACGAGCACCCCTTAATCCATTCCCAGCAGTTTAGAGATCTGAGTCCGTGAAGCCAATTCCGCTGCATGTTTGCATTATTTAGTGTTGATTTGAACAAAACACTGTAAAGCGATAGGGCTCCCCCAAAAAGCGATAACCTATATTTTCGTACCAAGCATCAACAATTGATTTTGACAGTGGCTCGTCTGTTTTCCAGATGGCTGGACACTAGCAACCAGGAATGCAAGTCTGTTCGCTATTTGATCTTGGCCATCAACCGTGATGAGGACACGGAGGAAGATAGTGTGCTCAGTATTATTGATTGGACCCATCTTTTCACAGTGTTTTCATTGCTGTGTGGAAGCAGCGGCATTTGCTGATCCAGACTAGCTCTTGTAAGTCTTGGGGGCTCATGACATCCCATCCCGTGATGGCAAATTACATCTTTTTCCCGCGGTGCAACGGGCGTCCGACGTCCAAGCATGAGCACAACGACCTTGCAGAGGAGAACACCATTTGCAAGATGGATGCATTCACTTTCAACGCGCAGAAAATCGACCGCGGCTGGCATTGCATCGTACCTATCTCCCTTTTGGCCGATTCATTTTACGGATTCGTGGCTTGGTGGAAGACTGCAGGCATCGGTGGTTTCCAGTTGATCGCAGAATAAAAGTCACGAAAGCTAGCGTCAGCTAGCTGGAGTCTTCTTGCTTTAGCAAGTATTGGGGGGGCTGCTCAAGGACATCACGTGATTTTTCACGCGAAAGGCCCCCCCCCCACCACCACCACCATCACCACCATCACCATCATCATCATCATCATCATCATCGTCATCATCGTCATCATCATCGTCATCATCATCGTCATCGTCCTCTCCATCGTCCTCGTCCTCGTCCTCGTCATCATCATCATCATCATCATCATCATCATCATCATCATCGTCGTCGTCATCGTCCTCGTCATCGTCATCGTCATCGTCATCGTCATCATCATCATCATCATCATCATCCTCGTCATCATCATCATCATCATCATCATCATCATCATCATTCATCATTCATCATTCATCATTCATCATTCATCATTCATCATTCATCATTCATCATTCATCATTCATCATTCATCATCATCATCATCATCATCATCATCGTTATTCAATTACATTTTATCATTATTGGCAATTATTGTCATTATCACGAAAGCTAGCGTCAGCTCGCTAGAGTCTTCTTGCTTTAGCACGTATTCCGGGGCTCCCCAAGGACATCACGTGATTTTTCCCGCGAAAGGGCCCCCCCCTGCCCCCTCCCCCATATATATCATTGTTATGGGGTAACTTGGTGGTTAGCGCAATTTGTTGGTTCCATGTCATTGTTTCTTTCCCGCAGCATTTGATTTTCATAGTTTCCGGTTAAGTTGGATCTGTAGTTCGAATTGTTTGTTTTGACGTAGCATGGCACAGCCTGTTGCACCAACAGATGACTCCTCTGCTGGAACGCGTGCGGCGCGTCGTTTGAATCAAGATTACATGAAGATGTATCAGTTCCTGTCTCTTGGTGTTTGGCGACATCTAGGCAGTTCTGAAAGCCAACGATCAAAGGCAGAAGTTTTGTGTGAATTTCTGTATTTGAATCTGGAGATGAGACTGCCTACAGAGCCAACACTCGGCATGATGACGGCATTGGTGGTCAGCAGCAATCCAGAAGTCAGATCGTTTGACTTGCATACTGCCCTGCAGCTTGTTCGATCAACGTGGAAAAGTACTTTCAAGAGATTGGAGAAGAACAACGCTGAAAGGATTGATTTGCTGCCCACATTGCCTGCTACCTTTGCGGAATTGCCACCCCGCATTCAATCCAGATTGTCAGACCAGGTTGCAACACAGGATGCTTGGCTTCTGACGGAAGGTCAGCTGGCTGTCTTGCAGCGGCGCGTGAAGCTTCGGGGGCATGGGCAGCAGGCAGGTGAGTCTGGTGCAGGTGCGCATGAGTTGGCAAATGCGCTTTTAGCTTTGCTGCCTCCAATCTCTGCGGGAGAGTATAGGAAGCGGGAGCAGGGTGGCTTGAAAAATCTGCAGATTTTTTCACCGCCTGCAAAACGTTCTCCTGCGTTGCCAGCTGGTTCGCGTGCATCGACGGCAGAAGCTGCAGCTTCTTCGCGTAGTCTGGGCACACATCGTGACCGGCTTGCTTTAATGGACTGCCCTGCGAGGGCACACGCAAGCACGTCTGCGGGACGTGATGGGGATCGGCACCTGGTGGAGCAGCCTGCGAGGCAGCTCGGTGCTAGCGCTATGGGAGCAGGAGCGCCCCTGTGTGGGACGCAGGGGGATGAAGTGGTCCTGCGTGGGCCATTCATGCAAGCGCCAGTATCCGGTCAATCTGTGGCTGCGCATGAGACTTCCCGGGACGGGAACGTTTCAACGCCAATGCGAAAGACTGTGGCTGTGGGCAAGTCTTCGCCGTTTCCCTGTGAGGGCGACTTTCTGCGTGAAAGAGACATCGAGAAGGCACCGTGCATGAAGCGGCCGGCTGCGAGCCGGAAGGAAACGACTGCGTGTCGCCGTGGGTTGAAGCGCCCTGCTGCGGCTGGGCCCATGGAGAAAGCTTCGGGAAGCCAAGCGCTCGATCCCGAAGGCAAAGATCTGAGCAAGCCTGGGGGCAAGAAAGGACCTCCTGGCCGGGTCGCCAAGTCTAGCGGCAAGCAGCCAGCCAAACATGGAAAGAAAAAGATGAACTCAGCGAAGCTTGGAACGTTGAAGCCGTCCAAGCCTGGTGGCCATAAGGTTGAGCATACTTTGGAATACAAGAATTATACCTTCTCAGCGAAGGGCTATGGGCAGTGCAAGGTGGAATTTTATAGCGCCAAGTCGTATATTCGACAGTGGCTGGAAAAAGAGAAGCGTTACGTTATGATTATTGGAGATTCAACTGCCAAGCATCGTGCTGTGTGCCGAGCGCTTGTGAAGCAGGTTCAAGCAGGAATGACTCGCAAAAAGCTTTTGGAACTGCGTGCTACACTGCAGGCGCGCATCTAGGTATGTCAAATTTTGATCTCAGAAAGAGATCCAACCGGTATCGATGTCGCAATTGGGGGGTATAAAAAGAGCTGTGACTTTCAAGTGGCGGGTCTGGGACAATGGAAATGGCGGAATACAGAAATACAGAACATGCATAAATAAACCAGTTAATATTTTTTTGCATGTTGATTTAATTTTAAAATGTATCTCTATATATTTATACATATATATCATATATATCTGAAAAAAAATATATATATATATATGAATATATTGGATGAAACTTATTTTGTATATACATATATATATATAATACATGTATAATCATGTGTACGTAATTATATTTTACGAGTGAAGAAATGTAGTATGAAAATAACCGCTGCATATTATGTCACTATTTGTTTTTGTATGCATACAATTCATACATGCGTTGAATGTCATGCAGCATGGGGCTCAAACTAGAGGTTCCTCTGCGGAACGTCGCTGCGGTGTGGTGGAGGCCGGATCTTCTCAGCAGAGTGCATGTTTGATTCCAAGTGAGCATGCATATATTATTTAATCCGTCAAATATAATCTAGATTGTCGCCTCCTCGCATTGCTCGCAGGTTGGCACCGCTGGAAATGTCCCCTGCGGGTCCAGAGTGCACAGAGAGCTCCGAAGAGTCAGTGAGCGAGGAGGCGAGCCCTCCCCGCGATGCACCTGGCACCACTGCCAAAGCCAAAGCTGCTCCCCCACGGTCTTCGAGTGAGACTAGCGCCGAAGAGTCGAATGAAAGCATGGAAGTGGCTTTGGTAGAGGCGCGTGAGGCGCGTCGCGCACGAGCTGCTGAATCGGAGACACCATGGCGCCCCCAGCCAGATGAAGGGAAAGGACGTGGCAAAGGCAAAAGGGCAAGCCATTGTCAGTATTGCTGGCGCCCGCTGACAAGTCATCCGTCCGGGCAGGATCAGCATCAGTGGACCTCGCTGCAGTGCTTGCAGTGGCAACACTACCTACGTGGTGGTGTATCCTGGCAGGAGGCGCGCGAGATGGCGTGGCGCACCAAAGCTGACAGGATGAACCCTGACGCCTACATCCCACCACATCCGGACGCTGCGGGCTCCGGAATTGTGCGCCGCGAGTCCGTGGTGGAGCCGCCGCCGCCACCTCCTCCGAGCCGGAAGACAACTGTGCGAGAGGAAAGCCATGAGAAGGCGGCGCCCTCTGCGCGCAAGAAGGACGCAACCAAGAAGGAGAAGAAGCACAAGAAGGAGAAGGATCGCAAAAAAGACAAGAAATCAAAGCGCCATGTGACCCCGAGCCCCGAGCCCCGCCCTCGTCGCAAGCGTGATCCGCGTGATCCCAGCCCAGATGATGATGGCCACAAGAAGTCCCGTGCGGTGCCTACTGTGCACCGGTTGGATGCGACCACATGGGTCGTCAAGCTCAAGTGAGACTACAGGTCTCAGCTGCGTGGTCTTTCAAAGCACAGCGCCATTCCCTGCGGGGGGGTGGATTACAGTGAAAGCCGCGGCCGCTGACCGCATATAGTTCCCATTGCGGTCTATAGATTTTTTGTTGTTCTTTGGTTTCTGCTTCTCGCATATAAGTTCAGAAAAAGGGTGCATGCAAATATATATGCTGGAACAAAGCAGAAACTGGAGGCAGGACGCGACGCAGATGCTTCGGCTGTAGGAGTGGTAAAGCTCCGAGGGATGAAGCAGGTGCGACAAAAAAGGACTTGCTGCTTGGTGGTTCTTTTCTCATGCTAATTGAAATAAAATATATCATGACGGTCCCATAATGATATAGTGTTTTTTAACTTGTGGGTATGTCGGGGGAATGTCGGTAACATGTCGGTAACGTCATCTAAACGTGGTAAAATGAACGTGTCGGTGAGATGTCGGCTCTGCATGTGCTAATTAAAACAGATGATGAAGTGGCATGTCGGTGAGATGTCGGTGAGATGTCGGTGACTCGTGCTGACGTTGTGTATCCGCAGCCATTTTTGGATCGAAGCGTCTTCGTCGGTGTCTGCCTCTGATAGGGATGTCCGCAGCCAACGTGGCAACTGAGACGGCAGACACTGCGCGTGCCTGTAAGCTCTGCAAGCGGGAACTGCCAGCCTCCGCTCCTGGCCGTCTGGTTGGCAAACAATGGACATGCCGGCACTGTTTGAGCATGGAAACGTTGCTGTATCGTCACTTAGGCCCGGCAGATCAACAGGGCTGGTCGGCTGCGGGCCGGGATGATTTTTTCCGGAAGTCTGCGCGACTGGAGACCGGAAATTATCGTTGGGAGACGGTGAGGACGATGGTTATCGAATGTCAGACTGTCGAACGCGTCCGCGAAGAAGGCAACAAAGTCAAGGCTAAGGCCTTACCCATGGACGTATGGCTGGCTAAGGGCTATGCCAGAGAGGCGGTGCTACAGTTTCCGAGCGAAGACTGTCCCATCCTCGGCCCGTTGTATGCGGTGCCAGTCAAGGAGACGACACTTAAGGAGATCAAGCGCGCCGTGGAGCAAGAAGTGCAGAGGAAGGAGCAAGCCGCGAAGAGCAAGGGGAAGCGCAAGCAAGAAGGCGAAGAGGATGATCAATGGGATGTGGTTCCGGAACAAGCCAAAGGTTCCAGCAAGGGCGCTGCGAAGGCGCCAAAGGTTTCTGGACGCTGCGAAGAGAAAAATGCAAAGTCTTTGGAGAAGGAGCGAGAAAAGCAAGAGAAATGCAATACGGAAATGAGCGCATTTGCTGCCCGCGCGGCAGCTGCCCTGTCCAAGAACTTGAAGCAGCTGGAGTCTGTACTTGCGCAGTGCAATAAGGCCAACATCGACTCTGAGGACGTGGAAGCGGCGAAGCAGGCACACGCCCGCGCGGCGACATGGAATAAAGCGGCTGGTGAAATGCTCGGCGTGGCTACAGCCACGAAAGGAACAGGTGCGAAGCTGCCAGAGCTAAAATTTGGCAACAAAGATCTGTCTGAATACTGCAAGGCCACGGTGGAAGTCCTGAAGTCGCTGCGCGCGGCGTTGAAGGAGAGCAAGGAAGCTAAGACGAAGGCAGTAGAAGAAAAGAAGGCGCAGCAAGCTGCGGAAGAAAACAAGTAGCGTAGCTTGCACATATCCGGTGCGCACCTGACGCACCAATTTTGGACAGCGACTCTGGGGAGAAGCGGGAAAAAATAGATCGCAAATGTTGAGTTGAACCACAGTTGTGTCTATATATATATATATATGTAGAAATTGGTTTTATTTGTTTTAAAAATGTCAATACTATTCGAAAAGACTTCTTTCAGTGTTGACAGCATCCTTTCTCCTCTTTCACAGTGCACGCACACTATCATATAACCCTGCATAACATATATTTGGGCTCAAAGGATTTAAGCAACATGAGCAGGAAACGGTCTTTGTCCGAGAAGGAAAGAGATAACTTGCAAAAATGTCTCAAAATTCCAGGCATCTCTGAGGAACATGTGCGACAAGTCTGGAATATTGCCGGGGAGCTGCGGGAGGGTGCCTGCGAGGCATCTAAGAGACAACTCTACAACGTTGTGCGTCAACGTTTCAATTGTAGCGCATCATGCTTTATGGAAAAAGAAGCGGTGCTGCTGGATGACACTAAGACGTCCCTGATGGTTCTTGACCTTCCTCGAGCAATCCAAGCACTGGTTGACAAAAGCCCTGCGTGGGCCCGAGCCATGCGAGAAGCGCATGCGGTTGGCCATGGTCAACTGACGGCCCTCATGTATCATGATGAGGTGACATGTGGCAATGTATTGGCTGTATTGAAACGAAAAAAGCTGACGGCTTTTTACCTTAGCTTCAAAGAACTCTATCAGCACCTGCATGTTGAACAAGCATGGATGCCAGGTACGATTTTCCAAAAGGAATTTTCAGACAAGCTACGAGGTGGTTTGAGTGCGGCAGTGAAAATCTTCGTCAAAGAAATTCACGAGAACAAAAGGATCCGTATCTTCCTTGAGGATGAAACATTGGACTTCGAACTGAAAAGTCGAAGCCACCTGCTCAGCGATCATGATGCTCAAAGAGCAACATTCATGAGCAAGGGATCAGCAGCGCTGAAACCATGCTTATTTTGCGTCAATATATGCAAAAAAGACGCTTTGCGAAACTCAGCCACCTTCTTTGCGATTGACAGCGCCGATTGGGCTGAATTCATCCCAATCGAAGACAAACATTGGAAGTATGCAGCGGAACGGCTGGATGCTTGCACAACGAAAAAGGAACAACACCAGATGGAACAAACCTTTGGCCTTAACAAAGACATACATGGCTTGATGTGGGATGAGGAAGCTCGATGGGCTCTGAGTCCAACATTGGCGTTCAATGACGCTCTCCATTGCTACTTTGCGAACGGTGTGGCTAGCTGTGAACTCCATGCCTACATGGCCAGTAGTGAACAAAAGGGCTGGGGCAGAGAGAAATACATGGATGTGGCCATCAAAGACAAGTGGTTCTACCAAAGACACTCCACACAAGGGAGCGAAAGCAAGGTCCGCCGCATCTTCCACGAGAAGATGTTCGATGGTGATCTCTATAAGGGCGAGGCGCACGACACCAGAGCATTGGTGTATTTGCTGGCCTACTACGCAGTGCATCTACGGGATGCATTGGAAAACTTTGCTTTGATATGTGACTCTTTTCTGGCCCTGAAAAAATGCTGCACAGAAATGAGTCTGGCAAACCGTGGACCATCTCCATTGCGTGAAGAAGAAGAGGTGCGGCCATGGCGAGACGCACAGCTGAGACATCAAGACATTTGTGTTCGAGCACACGGCTCAAACATAGTTAGGCCAAAGCACCATCATCGACTGCATCTCCCGTGCCATGCGTTGCAACTGGGCTGCGTGCCCGACTGTTCCATTCAAGAAAAAAAACATCAAATTTTGAAATCCTGTGGGCTGGTTGATAGACAAAAAGGCAAGCTGTCTGAGTATGGCGATATGCAGCGCTCGCTATCCAAACGCCTACTGGAAGCAGTAGTGGACCAAAGCCAAAAGTTTGGACTGGGAACCTGGGCATTGGATGCGCCACGAGCGGCCACGCACGCTCTTCAAAGCAAATTCAATGCCCAGAATTTACACACTTCCAAGAGCGCAACCCTGCACAGAGTTCAAATCTCTGCAGATGGTATCTTGTTTTGTGGCTCTGACGCTGTCCTTGTTCATGGCTGCTACCACTGTTCAAGCATGGGACTTTTTTTTGAAGTCTCGCCCTTGCAGAAAATGCAACACCATGCATGGGGTACGGAATGGAAAATGCTTCCCACAAACAATCAAATTTTGCTGGCAAAGAAAACAAGGAAATATGGTACGCCAATGTGGCACAGATGGACGCAAAGAGACATGGTTCAATGCTTGCATTAAACTTGCAAATCAATACTTTCAGAACATTTGCGCTCGACAGGAAAAAGTGCGAAGTGCATTTTCTTGAGGTACTAAACTAACTTAGGGGGAACTTAGTGCTTCGACTTAACTTCCCCAACTTAACTTCCTATAAGTTCTCCCTAACTTCCCCTTAATCATTACAACTTCAACATAAGTTCACCGGAGCTATGAGTATCATATATCAATATATCATTGTTGCATCCTCGTTGGGACGAACAATGCCGCGACACGATGATGACAGTCCCTCCGCAACTCACCTCTTCCCTTCCTTCTTTCTCCTACCCCGCTAGCTTTCGTCATCCACCCCCGGCCTCAAGTGTTCATGCATTTCTTCCACTTTGCCACAACCCACCTTCCAACCATGAAAGAATTGGTCCTGGTCTGTCATAAACTTTCAAAGACCAGGTTCGTGCCCGACGGACTCATATTGCTCATCTTAAATTACTGAAACAGTCGCTTCAAAATGGCATGGCCGTATTCTACAACCAATCAACATCAAACACGGGATACACGGCCAGTGATACACAGCTCTTTGCTGCTTTAAGGTGGATGAAAACGACCAGATGGAGATTCGTGCAGAGGTACATGGCCTGCCTCCTGCTCCAAATCCCTTGGTCTCTTGGGACCTGACGGCGGAGCTCAAACCGTTGAGTTTTCGCTTGGCATCGGGGCCTCCGCTGTTCTTTGACCAGCGCTTGTTGACAGCTCGCTGTGAATACTTTCAGATGCCTGGAAGCAGATCTGTACAGACGTCAAGCTGGACATGTGTATATTTATATTGTACCAGTAGTACCGCGCAAGGCGGTGGCAGAAGTTTCAAAGATAGGACACTATAGGAGAGGCGAGTTGTTGTGATGCATGGATGGCAGAGCGAATCCACTGATGGACCGAAAGGTGGTTGGAGTTGTGTTTTCTGGAGTGGTTGCAATGGTTGCAGTGGTCACCTCACCACAACTGCTGGATGTAGTGTGGTGTAGTGCAGTTGCATCTGTAGTTGTAGGCGTAGTTGTAGTTGTAGTTGTAGCTGTAGTGTATTGGAGTTGTAGTTGTAGTTGTAAGTTGTAGCTGTAATGTAGTGTAATTAGATTAGCGTAGTTGCAGTTGCAGTTGTAGTTGTGGTGTGGTGTAATTAGCGTAGTGTATTGTAGTGATTGTAGTGTACTGTAGTGTTGCGTACTGTAGCGTGGTACAGTGTAGTGTAGTCTAGTGTATTGTCGTGTAAAGTAGTGTAGTTGCAGTTGTTGTGTAGTGTCGTGTAATGCAATGTAGTGGTAGTTGCAGTTGTAGCCTAATGTAATGTAATTAGTGCAAGGTGTAGTGTTGCGTAATGTAGTGTATTAGTGTATTTGCATTTGTAGCTGTAATGTACTGCAGTTTAATTAGTGTATTGCAGTGTAATGTAGTGTAGCTGTACTTGTAGTTGTAGCTGTGGTGGTGGTGGCAGTAGTAGTAGTAGTAGTAGTAGTAGTAGTAGTAGTAGTAGTAGTAGCAGTAGCAGTAGCAGTAGTAGTAGCAGTAGCAGTAGCAGTAGCAGCAGTACTAGTAGTAGCACTAGTAGTAGTACTAGCCGCAGCAGCAGCAGCATAGTAGTAGTAGTAGTAGTAGTAGTAGTAGCAGTAGTAGTAGTGGCAGCAGGAGTAGTACTAGTAGTAGTACTAGTAGTAGTACTAGTAGTAGTACTAGTAGTAGTAGTAGTAGTAGTAGTCGTAGTAGTAGTAGTAGTAGATGATGTTGTAGTAGTTGTAATGTAGCGTAGATAGGTGGAATTAGATGTAATTTGTGTAGTGTAGTGTAATTAGTGTTGTGTAATGTAGCGTAGTTTCTTTGTAGCTGTAGTTGTAGTAGTAGAGTGTAGTGGTACTTGTACGTTAACGACATTTAAATATGTGGAGGGCGGGCCAGACCGCGAGGCCCCGGAATACCACGAACTGAGTTCCTATATTTAGATGTAGTTAGCGTATGTTTAAATGAATTGGATTCCGTATGTTTAAATGGCCGGACGGGCCAAGGAAAACCTTCCCGGAGGTAGTCCAAAATATCTGTTCGTATATTTAAAAGCCCGTATATTTAAATGTAGTTACTGTAGTTGTAGTTGCAGCTGTAGCTGTCCATCTATCTATCTGTCTAACTGCAAGCTTGAAAACCCAGCAATTCTGCGAGACTTCCTCAATTATCGAAGTTGACAGCATCAAAAACGAAGCAATTCTCGCAGACTTCCTTCAAAAATGGAAAGTTGAGTGCAGAGCGGACAGCCTAGTACCAATGCGTTTTGCGATTTGTCCTTCCATCTGTCTAAAGTATTGCATGTATTGCGCCTGCCACGGAAAAGTGATGCCAGGTCATACGAAGTGCTGCACCTGTCACGCAAAATCATCTTCCCAAAACTGAAGATCTGATGCTCCAAAATGCAACCTCTCTCAGGAAATCAGCGCCCGGACCTCCTAACATCTCTGATGAACATGTCTCTTGTACTGCGCCTGCCACGGAGAATGTATCTTTGCAGATCTTCTTCAAATGTCCCACGCCTGCCATCGTCTTTTGAAATGCTACAAAACCCTCATGTTTTGCTCACTCACTTTTGACAAGGTGCATAATCCCTTGCGCTTGCCACGCATCTGAACGTCCACAGTGCTCCGAACCCCCTCAGTTTTTTACACTTTTGACTTGGAAATGTGCTTCGTGCCACAACGACATCTCAACTTCCAAAAGTGGTCCGAACATGAGGCGTTTAGTGCATTTTGACTTTGAAATGCGCTTTGCGCCACAACGGCGTGCACTTTTTCGACATCGCAACTTCTAAAAGTGCTCCGAATGTGAGGTGTCTTTAGCTTTTTCACTTGCAAATGTGCTTCGCGCCACAACAGCGTGCAACTTTCCATCTCTCATCTGACCACATGGCTCCGCACCCGCCGCTTTAGCGAGCCTACTTTTCGACCCTCCGGAGCCTAAAATCATTGGAGAAACACAGTGAATTGCGACTTTCCTACCTTTTCGCGTGCCTGAATCTTCTTTCTTCTGAATTTCTCTTCTTTGATCTTCTTTCTTCTTCTCTTCTCTTCTCCCATCTCTGCTTTTCATTTGTCCATATTGTCGCAAGTTTGACTTCTAAACTTCCTTCGATCATTGTATATATAGATGACACGGGGATAGTTATATATTTAAATTTAATGCAGGTATACACATATATATTATGTATATATATATATATGTGTGAGTGCACGTGTCTGTGTGTAAAACTTAAATACTTATATATTTGATGTCTCTAGGTATATGTTATACAATGTTATACATACATAGGTGCTGTGTGCAATTTGTGCCCTGTCGCGCTCTGCGATGTCGCCACACATAGTGTTGTTAGTAGTATCATCTAGTATATGTATTTTTGATCAGCTTCTGCAGAGGTATGGTAAGTCAATGGCAGGCCAAAAAATTCAAAACGTGTCACGTGAAGTTCCTAGTCGCCGAGCCATGAGCGAAGGCTGGGAGATCATCAGGCATTTAATCTAACATACCATCACTGTATTTTAATGTATCTTGACCTGTCTTGTGCTGAATGGCAGCCACTTTTCCAAGGAAGATGCTGGATGAAACAGCCACATGGAAAGAGTCCTCGGTTGGGGAAGTCGACCTCCGGTCAGATCCCCATGCATCGCAAGAGAGCGTTTTAGCAGTTCTGGGGTTCCTAGTGGCAGATGCCCGTTCTGAGTATGATACTGTGTGGGGTGTGGTGGAGGAATTTGGGTTTTCTTTGTTTCTTGGATCCACAGGTCGAATCTGATACCTGCAATCAGGTGTCCAGCCCCCAAACAATTTTAGTTACCGTACAAGTTTGCACTATGAATGAAGCTGCTAAAAGTAGTGACATTGTATTTCATCATGACACATGATCACGATGCGGATGAGGATGGGGATGATCATCAGGATGATCATTATCAGGATGAGGACGAGGATGACCTGAACGACAACGATGACGACGACGACGACGATGATGATCATGACCATGACCATGACCAGGACCAAGACCATGACCATGACCATGAGGATGATGTTGATGTTGATGCTGATGCTGGTGCTGATGTTGATCTATCTCTTTTATATGTATATATGTATATATATATATATATTGTAACGACCTCACTGCGACCTCACTGGAATCATTGCTTATAAGGGAAATCATCCCCAAATGGCCTTAATTCAGGCTAGTGAAATATTATAATTTACCCCGATATATATATATATATCTATATATATATATATGTATGTATGTATGTATGTATGTATGTATGTATGTATGTATATGTATGTATGTATGTTTGTATGTATGTTTGTATGTATGTATGTATGTATGTAATGCATGCATGTAATGTATGTAATGTATGTAATGTATGTAATGTATGTATGTATGTATGTATGTATGTATGTATGTATGTATGTATGTATGTATGTATGTATGTATGTATGTATGTATGTATGTATGTAATGTATGTAATGTATGTAATGTATGTAATGTATGTATGTATGTATGTATGTATGTATGTATGTATGTATGTATGTATGTATGTATGTATGTATGTATGTATGTATGTATGTATGTATGTATTTTCATTTGCGTGGGAAGAAGACAATTAATTAATAGAAATTTATATTGACATGTCGATCATATTTTTAATGTTCGTGAAAATGCTAAAGCGATCGTTCTTTCACTCACAGCAGATAGAGATTGGCACTCAGGATGTGTTTGACCCAAAAGATGTTTCTTTGGCTTTATCCGTTCGCGCAATGGCTGACCGCTTTTGCATTGTGGACTTAGTCAAGTGCGCCGATGACGCATTGGCATCCTTTCTCTCAGAGGCCATGGATATGCCAGGGGACGAGAATGTGCATTGATGTTTGTTGATGCATTGTTGATCCACTGTTCAAAATGAATCACAGCCAGCCCCATTGTATCTGGGGTGTTGGGAGCTGCCCCGCTTTTTTCTCATTTTTTCGCCCTGATCCCAACTGCCATGGCAGCCCATTTTGCCATCAATTCAAGATTAACTTCCCGTCAGTCTACAGTGTAGTTTAGAGAAATTTCCAAGAAATGAATCAAACATTTAATTTGAGCAAACGAAACGGAATGATTCCTATAGATCTTAGATGAATACAGAAGAACATGGATGAAAATGGATGAAAACGGGAGATTTCCCTGTTTGTTCAGGACAATGTGCTCACCTTGCTGGGGGAGTTGTTAGACACTGGCAGCGAGGTGGGCCGTGGGATCGCTGACAAAAGAAAATAATGTTCCAGATCCGAAGGAAACAGATCCAGCAAATGTAGAAAAATGAAAATCAATCAAGGAATGGAACCCGCTAAAATTCTTGAGTCATGAGAGAAGTGATCTTCTTAAAGAGAACTGACCCTGCATGGCAGGTAGAAGCAGCGTGTTGGAAGATGTTGGAGTCCGATAGCAAGCTGCTGGTGAAGCAGCAGGCCATGCTGGATCAATTGATTGAACAGCAGCCAGCCTTGGCGAAGAGGTTGATCCTCAAATTTGCGTCATTAATAGCTGAGAGATAAATGCAGTAGCCGTGAGTCGCGGAGCTGTTGTAGAAGCCAACTGTGCGAGGATGATTTTAAGTGCTGATATTTTTCCAGGTGTGAAATGGTCGGGCTGTGTAAATTGTTCAATTGGAGTAGGACAAATTTGAAGGTGGATGAACACGAAAATCAATGTCATGTCATGCTGCGGCAATGTGCTTGTGTGTGGGTGAATTTTGAGAAGCTTAATAGCTATCTACCACACCAGATCACACCAGCTATTTCAGGAAGTGATTAGGTTCACCTTCAAGTGTCAAAAGAGATATCATTTCAGGTAATTACTATGGGGAGTTCCTTTGACATATTTTGCACCAGTTCACACCTACTAGGATGTACAGATTGGAACAGTTTTGGTTCGGCAGCCCATGGCTTTGAATTTCAGGGCAATTCCTAAATGGGCTGCCAACCTCAAAGTCCCTTGGCATCGGGCATGTGGAAAATCTTGCTGGTGCCTCTCCATGAAACGTAGGGTTTGCCGTGCCTCGCCGCCAAAAGAGTGACTAGCAACCTGTTGGTGCTGCCTCATCGAGTGCTGAAAAAAAAGTGACAAGTTGCTGTTGCATGTTCGGCATTGGGAGGGGTTGGATCACACCTGTCCATGATCTCCTTTGACATCCCTTGACTGTTCCATTCGTCGCCTCAAAGCGTCCTAAAGCCCTTCGGTGCCCTTGTCCAGTAAGTCTCATCCCAGAAAGGAATCCCTTTACATGTGGGGAGGAAAGGACAGTCAGTGACACTGTCAGTTTTTTGATGCTTTCAGCGTCAATGTCAGGCGGCAGACAGAGAGAAACAATGAGCCTGGGCTGCAGCGTATGCATCACATGCGGGTGCGTACAGCAGTACTTAGATTGTTTATTGCACGTCCAAAGTAGCCTGCATAGTCACAACAGCTGGGTGTAGTTATTCATAGACACACATGATATATACAGTAATTATAACTGCGTGATTGTGTTTGCTGTGAGCTTGACACACGTGATTGCGATGCTGCTGGCGAACCAGCCAGGCCATCAGCAAAAGGATTCCATGTCTAAAAGTCCATCAGGGCTCATTAATGTGACCTGACATGACACAGTCTGACTTGATCAATTTGCTGGGCAATATGTCACTTTCTGCGTTGTTGCTTTGTTTTATCTTGGGTTGGCAGCTTTTCTTCTGACTGCCACCTTATTGTACTGAAAGTGCCATGCTGCTATGCTGAAGTACTTACTGAATAATGTGGTGTGGTGAAACAGGGTGCTTAAATCACTACATCAGCTACCAATTGCTACTAGTGGATGGTCTCTTCACTCGCGCACAACACGACTAAAACACGTCTCAACATTCCATCATGTTGGAACGCTTGAAACTATACAGTATCCACTTGAAATTAAGTTATTTGATGTTTTTTTGGCTACATTGCTTGCTGTTGAGTACCACATGCATTCGTGGTTTTTCATGTTTTTCTTATGGTGTGCCTCCATGGTCATCACGTCAGTGCAGTGACGTGAAATCGACACCTCGGAGGAGCTCATTTTAGAACGACTTTCAACGGGCCAAAGGGCCCTGCGCAAGATCCGATGGTGCCCAGGGCTGTGGGGTGCCGAGTCCGGATGGAGGAAGTCAACGAAATGATGTGATAAACATGGCCTCTCAATATGTGCATCATTACATCAGTATATCATTTTGTCATCATAGTTATTCAATTATGTATATATATATATATATTTTTTATTACTATATATTACTACATACTATTATTTATTAACCAGCAAAGGTGTCTCCAAACATTGGACTTTCCACAGTTGCTCGTTTAATCCTCCAGGCAGATCAGTGGCACGATGGCCTTTGCGGGCTTGGTCTTTGCCATTGCCAGCAGCATTTGGAGCCCTGGCCGCCCGGGCGTAGGGGGCGGGCATTGTCAACTAACTCAGTTGAGTTTGAGTTATGCAGCATCCTTCTTTTTTTTAATGTAGATATAAATATTATATATATAATCTATAATATATATATATATATATATGTATATTTATGTATATGTATGTATATGTAGTTTTAAAAATATATATGTGTGTGTGTTTATCATTATTATCATATGCAAGTATAATAATATTTACATTTATTCTATGGAGAGGTGGGTAAAAATGATCTTGTCAGACCAGACCTGCAACTGTGCAGAAAATGCGGGGTGGATTCAGCCTTTACCTGATGACAAATGCCACAACCTAGAAATTTACATTGGTCATTTATTATTCACCCCATTGATCCCATTAGTCATGATCAAATTATAACCAAGTCAATACTAATTATCATCAACAACTTTCCACAGAATCACCAGCCTCGAGGATTATTCTTCGATTAGTGTACACCGGCAAAGTCGAAAATTTGGACCTGGCTATTAGTTGGACGATCTCTGTGGCTGGCATGGCATCTCAGCGAAAACCATCGTGGTGTGGTAGGCTATGGCACGCTCAACAAAACAGGCATAGAACCTTTGTATAATACAAAAATATACAAAATGAGTCGTCTAAAGTATATACAGTCCCCAAATTGGAGGTTTATGATTGTTTACATTATAATTCATTTATTGATCTGCAACGAAGGTCGCTTTTAAAGGGACATGCTTTCCATGGAAATCATGGGTATTCCTCTGTGCTCAGCCAACCCAGCCATGTTGAGGCATTGCTGGTCTCAGAACCTTGGACTGGTTGAAACGTGAGGGATTCGCTGGGGAGATTTGAGGAGTAGATTCATGTTCAAAGGCCCCAAAGTATCATCATCATCATCAGTGTGCCCGGCCCCATTCTTTTTGAGATCCAGTTTAGTTTTTAAATATTCCCAAGAGCCTACAGGCATGTTTTGAGAACAGTTTATAGCAGATGACCGTGTCCCACTGGGTTTCCTTTTTCATGGCAGGCTCCCCTGCCGGATGATGCAACACTCACACGTTTCGCTGTGGTGGGTGTGGCTGCACTTTGTGGCTGCTTCACCGGATATGCGACTCGGCATGGCTGGCTTGAGAACGTTGGTCAAAATTGAGTCCCTACAATTGAATGGTTTGATGATGAAAAAAGATGAAAAAAGGTTTCAAACTGTGAGGCCAAAGGGCCTTTTTGAAGCTTTTGAGACATACCCACATTGCTTGACAGCTGGTGTTGTACAGCCACCTTCAGTCAATCTCAATTACAGAAAGTAGATACATCGAACAGGCCACAGTTCTATTCTACCAAGGTAAGCACGACAGAGCAAAGCAGGCCTTGAAATTGAGACATAATGAGACAAATAGCTTGTGCATGCTTGTGCTGATGTGCCATGCACCATGAGTGGTTCACAAAACAGAACAGGACGATGACTATCAACTGGTGATTTCAACATGTTTCAGCCCTTTCTTGATTGCTATCCCTAATAAGTTACTAATGATGATAAATCTAAGATCCCTATTGTTAGTCATTAATCTGGGTCATTGATCTTTACCAAATTTCCTATCCCCAAATTTCCTACTTTGGGCCCAAGAAACCCACCATAAGGTGGGCTGATTTGAGTCCCGGACATGGCAAGTCACTATAGGAATGGTGGCACATGGTGGCACTTTGATCTTCATCATCTAATCTAAATCATTGGATAATCATGATGTGACATGATGTTAGATGCTGTCACGTAGTATCACCCAATATCATTTGATTTCATCGAATATCATCCAATATCTACAAATTCCACAAAAGTCATCACGCCTTGTAGATAACATGGTAATAACATTGAAATAACATCCCCAACGAACCGAAACGATGAGCCGCTCAACATCCCCATCCACTCCCGCTGTCCAGGAAGCTTTAGATGCTGTGACCCGTTTGCGAATCTTTTCCGAAGCCGGCTGCTGTTCCTTGGCGCCAGGGGAAAAGGCATGTTCTCTGGGGCACTGATTTGTGACGGTAAGGGGAAGTGAGTGATGTCGAAACGGCCAATTTCAGTCTGATGTGCAATAACTTGTGATTTACACATATACAGATACACAGTGTATATATATATATCTATCTATCCCAATTGTTAATGCATAGCTATCAATTCCTGGTATATGGTGGATGGTTCATTGGGTTTGCCACCACAACGGCATCAGCACACGACATCACTAAATTCTATCACTAGTAAGGCATGATCTCCAAGTGGCCGGAGATGGCAAGGGAGCTTTCACCTTTGCAGCATAGGTTTCCGACGGAAAATGTAGATTGTTGATTTCCCTTGCCCAGGGAGTGAGCTTGTTTTGTGATCTTTTGGGTCTCCCCTCATTAAACATGTGGCCCTTTCTGCACCTGATTCCAACATGGTCTTTGCAGCATCCAGCCAACAGTGCCCGGTTGTATGTTGTTTGAAGGCTTTGCTCCACCCCACGGATTCAGTACCGATACGTCACATACATACACATATACACATGATGTAGTATTCGTCCGACACCTAGGACATCCTAGGACCTAGGGGGCAGACAGCATAATCAACAACATATCCTTTGCTGGATTTTGCCAACGGCACCCTTTTGCGAGCCTCGCCTTGCCTTTTTTCTTTTGCAGGGAAGCACAGCCACGTCGTGATCCTTGACCACCACCGCATGTCCAGCGGAATTTGTATTTGGTATGCCTGTCTTTGTGCTGCTTGGCCATACAGGTCCACCCTTCGAGACAGAACGAGAAAGGGCCTATAGGGCCATAAGGGTGGAGGTACAGGGCTAGATATGCAAATATTCCAGCCAACCTGAGGCTTGGAATGTTGGTTGGAACACGGCGAACATGGCCCTTTTCCTGTCAACTTCTTGCATCAAGAGCGCGTTCACCATGCAAGATCGCACCTTTGGCTGGTGTAGTGATTGACTGGCATTTTGCCGGTCCCTGCTCTTATATTTGTTGATATCTTGTTTGTATTCGATATAAATTAAATACTTGTATGTAATCACCTGCTATCATGCAGAATTATGTGTACCACTTGAAGTGATGGGTGCATGTGTGCGTTTTTCTTTCTGACTTGGGTACTCTTCACATCCCCATCACAAGCACATGATTTTTTCTGCCATTTTGCCAAATGTGGAGATGTGAGTCATTGATAGTCATTGAAGATACTGTTGGAATTTCTCGGAGGCATTCCACAGCAGAGCGATGCAGCATGAAGTGCCAGCTAGTCAGCTTAGGAATGTGGCGATTTCTGAGCCTCTTCTTTCAGGTTAACAGTTTCGTGTCTGGTTTGCACCAGAGTAGTGCAAGCCTCCAATTTGAGGGAGCTCCATCCATCCTCAGAATAGGTCTATCACCCCTTTCATGATTGACCCATCACATTTGGGTTTGTCTGAAAATAGGGTATATTCCCAATTGTAGCCATTTAATAGGGATAATGATCATTAACCATTGGGACTCTTTCAGACACATCACATTTTACTTGCGACTCTTTCAGCTCCAACTTCCGTATTGGCTTCCAAGACACAGCCCGCGGCTTTCCCTTTGGCTCACATTTGTCATATGATGGCCATGGCCATGGCCATGGCTCAGGTAGATGTGGCCACCATTGTCATTGACACTGTGATTCGGGACAATCTTTCCACTGGCTGCTTTTTTCTCATTGGTGATTTGCTGGGACTGAGACTTGGCTGGGAGCCAAGTTGGAGAAATCAACATGAATTGATTTTTGGGATGATCTATCAGTATATATGATTGTGCCAGTAAAACCATGATTTCAATATCATTGATTTTATTTGATGTTATATTTACCCTAAAAAGACTTGTTTTTTTCACTGTTTGCCAGTAAAACGCAGGTTTTTCCAATGGGTGGTTTCCCCTTACCAAACCAACATTGGTTGTCCAGGTGCCTCACCTGCTATGCCGGCGTCCCCCGACGTTTACACGAGTTCTTGCGGCGGCACTTCGAAGCCACGGAGCGGACGGCCGCGGCCGCGGGGATCGCTTCTGGGCGGGTTAAGGATGGTTGGGTTGGGCTCTTCAGCATAGCCAGTTTTGGTGCTTCAATGTTGGGGCTATGTGCAAATTGTAATTGTGACATAGTTGTGACCCATAGCAAGTGGGTCTTCTTTTTTGGGAGGAAACAGGAAACGGACAACATGGAGGTTTGATGAGAAGATCCGCAAAGTCAACTCAGTGACTCCTGTGAAGTTAACATGGAACCAGCAAACTGTACGGAACTAGAAGCAAATTGCGACGGTCCATGGCAACTGTGTGGCCGTACGGTTTGGGTCTACTGATTGGTGTTGGTTGTAACTACATCATGTAAAATATCATAAAAAATTCCCTGATGGCATTTTGGCCGGTCACAATCAGTTGGTCACATACAGTTTGCCGTTGAACGAAACCCAGCAATCCCAGCATAAAAGGCTTGAATTTAGACATATTTAGACTATTGAATTGAGGCAGAAACCATGATCACGTGGCACATTTTTAGGGCACAGTACATTCAAATCTCCACACTTATCCAAAGTGCCCAGCCACAAAGTATGGGTTGTTTGCGTGGTCCACAGCTGCTAAGGCTAGCTTGGTCGGAAATTGCGACGTGCAGGACGTGGGACAACTGGAGGTTGACCCCCAGTATCCAATAGATTCAATATAGGGGTGATCCACGTCAAACAACCAATGAACAGATATATATATATATATGTATATATTATATTATATTATATATATTATATTTTTATATATATATTATATTATATATATTATATTATATTATATTATATATATTATATTATATATATATATTATATATGTTATATTATATATAAATATTATTATTATTAATGATTAGAAAAGTGTAAAACTAGTATGTATTTGAATAGAATGTGGCAACCAGTCATTGGTATCCGGCAAGTCGCTGGCTTTATCCCAATTTCTAAGCAGTTTCATGCAGCTTCTATTTGTTCAACATGTTCTCAAAATATTTCCCACATGTTCCAACCATCCACCCCATCATCCTATCGTTTGCATCCGTAGGAAGCGTTGGAGCAAGCGATGTCTCGCTTTCGGGTCATCAATTTGGACAAGTTGGAGCTGTCCGATTTGAGCGCCTCAGTGACTAAAGGGTGGAGCCTGAAGAGCGTAGGTAGCTGGAAAAATTGCATTGTTTAGTGCAAGAATATGCTGCATCTATACCTTCAAAGTATAAAGTGGCAATTTCATATGGAATAATGGGGAGGATGACGGAAATTGAGGAACAGCATCCCAAAATGGCATACTGGGTAACTTCATGCTGAAAATCACGATAAATCCCTCAGATGTTGGGGGCATAGGTCCTATGGGTCCCCGGAAAGGCTCTGCAAATCCTTTCCAAGTCATTAAGCACACAGCACATGACTGCATTTGCCATGGTCAAAACATGGCTAAGTGCCCAAATTGGGGGGATGGTCATCCCTTCATTTTCATTGGGTTGTGGCATCCAACATATTTGGATATATTTGGAAACCTAACTTGTATAATGGTCATAGTAATTTTGATGTGATGACCATGCCCCATTTACATACATTTACCATGCTGATTGGCAGTCTCTCCGGAGATGGCGATGGAGAGAGAGATCTCGGTTAGTGGAGGGGTATTCTTGCTGCTTTCCTTGGAAAATGTGGGAGGTTTCTTAAAATGGTGGATCCCCAAGTCCCCGTGGGTTGTCAAAATGTTTCAATACAAAAATGTGGAAATTGGATGAGTTGGTACCCTCCTCCCTCCAGCCCTGGTCCAATAACCTGGCTGAGTGACTCCCCTGAGGCGACAATCAACCTTCGAGGGATCTATTTGAACGGTCCGCTCCAGCGAGTTTCCTGGATATTCATGGAGATTCTACGTTTAAAATGCTTCAAATATGGTTCAAATATGGTTTGCTATATATCTTTCAAGGATTGTTGGGGCGTCCAAGGATCTTTGGGGCAAAATTGGCGCCATTTTGCGTTTCATTGGCTGATTCGAACAGCACCAAGCAAACATTCTCCCAGTGTTGTTGTTGTAGGTTTGCAATAAATGGATCCCTCAACACCAAGGACTTCCACCAGCTATCGAGGTACCCATTTTAGGAAACCCTGAGGTGAAACCGCCAACCCAGTGGACACCATTTTGAAGCAACCAGGATCGCGGGTGCTGAGGTTTGGGTGACTGTGATGCGTTCATCTCTCATTCCTGGAGCGATGATGCCGATGCCAAGTGGCGAGCGCTCATGTCTTGGAAAGATCGATTTGTGTGCAGCGACCCGGTGGCGAAACGCCATGAAGGGATTTATTCGCCATAGGATTTTTTTTTTTGGATTTGGTGATTTGGTCTAGAATGACTTAAGGATGATTTAAGGGGTTGATTCCCCATTTTGGGACATGTCCATTTCGGAGAAAAGGCGCTGCATTTTTGTTTTTGGTGTGTGTCATGTCTTGATGGGTAAGCATGGAAAGCTGATGCAGTGCCCAGCAGCCAGGGCCAGTCGATTCCGAGGTACTGGACGTTCTCCATACGTATGGTTTGATAAAGCCTGCGGCTGGCTTGCAGTTACGTCTGTTTTTTTTTTTTCTGTGCCACCCATTGGATCACTTGGGTGAGAGTCTCTGTGAGAGTATGCAACATTTGCATATTTGCATACATGCCCCCCCCACTTGTTTGCAAAATTGTGGGCGAAACTAAGCGAAGTAAGTGTATAGACCGTGGGGCTATGAATCAAAACTGCATTCCCCCAAAAGTAGGCAGTTTAATGCCCAAACTTACTGTACTGAAATCTATGGGTTGAGGATATATTGGGTTTTCACTCATGCCATGGCAGCCCTTTTCTGTTTTCTGACTGGGTTTCCCACGTGTCGACCTGGTCCCGGGTTTGACCAGTGGACGCAGGTATTGACCAAAGCGAGATCGAAACCAATCTTCGAAGTCTGCCAGTTTTTCTGCGTCTTGGTATTGGAAGTTGAAGGGCCGATGGAAACATGAGAAAGTTTGGCAGTGGTTGTTATGGGTATTTTGACTTTAGTGGTGCACCAATGTGAAGTCTTCGGATGTGGGCAATTTCCGAAGAATGCGCGCACGCGCGGGTGCCTTCAGCCCTTTAAGTCATCTCCATTTTTGCCACGTCGGAAACACCCTCATTAAACAAGACAGGTGGTCCCCAACAGCCAGAAGAGGTATCCCATGTGATGTTGCCCCAAATCGGGACCGGAAAAGCTTAGGAGTGGCTGCAGCACCTTGCTGGTGCTTTGTGGCCCTTCGTTTCTCAGCCGACACTAGGCAAAAAGGGTTAGCGATGTTGATCAGTTCTGGGATGGCCTTTGGTCCTGTGACTCTGGCTACATCCCAAGAGTGCGAATTGAACTGGTTTGCAGATGCCTTCAATCCTGGATTTGCCGAAGATTATTGTAAATCTTCTTCTTAATCCATTGAAGGAATTTAATGGCCCTTAGTTGCGGGGATGATTGCTCTTTTTTTTTTGGCCCCTTAGTCCTGATCGCCCAGGACTATGGTGTGTGCTGGAGCTCTTTACTTTCGTGCACATGGGAGGGAAGACTTACGACATTAATTGCGTCTCCCTGGCACTTGCGCCGGATGATTGGCAAGCTATCCAGCTACAGTGTGCCACAGCTGATGGCAGCTGAACGGGGGGATATGAATGACAAGCTCAAGGATGATTTTCTCAAAAAACTGTTTTGGTGGTGTGGTAGGTGGATGGGTGGCAAGGTGGGTAAATCATAACTTACTTGTTTGTGAATTGAAACTGTTTTGAGCGAGAGATGCCCGTGAATTTTCAAAAGGGATCTCTGGGCCTTTGGGTGTTAGTGATTGGCGGGAAAAGCAGATTCTGATGGTGGCAAGGCTCGTTGAATCATCCAAGAGCTCATGCTAGCGGTCAATGAGTTTGGAGCCGGGAATGAGCCAAAATCACCCGGGCCAAAAGAAGGGAAACTGAGAAACTAGTGTCAGCCTTTGAACCAGGTCTTCTGTTTTTGGCTGGAATGTCTAAGTCTTTTAAGTCATCTTCTGCAATGCCCGTGATAAGGTGCACAATTTGATGTTCGAAATTGTGACTGCACAGTGCCAGAGGACAAGGACTGATCATGGGGGATGCATCTTTGGGATGATGTGTGAGTGGTAGATATTTGAATACAGTTGAAATAACATGGCATGACTGGCATGATATGTGCCGCACTTGAAATCACAATGTGGATCACCAAACCAGGGAACCCTGGCTGGCAGGCGAAAATCTTGTCTATCATTACCACTGGCTTTGGCAACATGGACCATTTCAACCATGCTGTCCGCCGTGTTATGAAGCGGATTGACGGTTTGTCCACTCGTACGCTGCTTGGTGCGTGCTCAGCGTTTTTGATGAGCTGCGGAAGGAGAGGGAAGGATTTATAATCAAAATCAGATCAAAATATGCCAATAATTATAAAATCATTCAATGGAAAAACCAATGGTTTCCCGTAGGTTTTCCCTTAATGTTTAGTGGTTTGCCCAAATGTCCCACAAAAAGATTCACCATTGACTTCCTTCTCCCTAGTAGGAAGCATTCCCTTAGAAACCCTGTTAGTATTGGATCATATTGGATCTATTTTTGTTTGGGGGCGCCATATGCGAGGTACTTGATACTGGGGGATGGGATCACTATGGCTGGATATATAGTAATTATATATATACATATATATATACATATATTCTCATTATACTCCCATCAGATCAAATTCATTCAAAATTCCCTATCAGTCATGTGACACGCCCAGGCTTCCTTTTGTTCAAGGCTCCTCATCTTCACTGTCCGACGACAGTAACTTGTTGATCTTGGTAGCGAAAGATTGGGTTGGGTCTCATCGAAAGATTGAGGTGTTAAAATCCAAGAAAAGTTTCAATTGATTTCAATTGAAAGTGTTTTTCTTCATTTACTTCCCACGGGATGATGACGATGATGACTCGACTGGCATGTTTGGTTTGAACCCCTCTACCAGATCAAAATGATAAAAACAAATATAAACAAATAACAAACCGCACACACACACATATATATACAGAAGGGGTACCCATGGGGGGCGCAGGTGTGCAAATTGTAGAAACGCGCATTTTTTGAGAGGTACTGTGATGAAAGCATCTTCACATGAAAAACATTCAAAAAAACAACCATGCCAAACTGCAAAAAACCATGGAAAAAACAAAAAAAACAAAAAGTTCAGACCCATGTCCCCTGCCAGGCCTCTCCCCAGACCTTGCCCATGGGTCTGAAGTTTTTGTTTTTTTGTTTTTTGTTTGTTTTCTCGAGGTTTTGGCCAAATTGTAAAAAAAAACATGGAAAAACCAAAAAACCAAAAAAAACAAAAAAAACAAAAAGTTCAGACCCATGTCCCCTGCCAGGCCTCTCCCCAGACCTTGCCCATGGGTCTGAACTTTTTGGTTTTTTTGGTTTTCTCGAGGTTTTGGCCAAATTGCAAAAAACCATGGAAAAACAAAAAAAAACAAAAAAAACAAAAAGTTCAGACCCATGTCCCCTGCCAGGCCTCTCCCCAGACCTTGCCCATGGGTCTGAACTTTTTGTTTTTTTTTGTTTTTTTTGTTTTCTCGAGGTTTTGGCCAAATTGCAAAAAAACATGGAAAAACCAAAAAAAACAAAAAAAACAAAAAGTTCAGACCCATGTCCCCTGCCAGGCCTCTCCCCAGACCTTGCCCATGGGTCTGAACTTTTTGTTGTTTTTTTGGTTTTCTCGAGGTTTTGGCCAAATTGCAAAAAACCATGGAAAAACCAAAAAAAACAAAACAACCAAAAAGTTCAGACCCATGTCCCCTGCCAGGCTTCTCCCCAGACCTTGCCCATGGGTCTGAACTTTTTGTTTTTTTGTTTTTTTTTGTTTTCTCGAAGTTTTGGCCAAATTGCAAAAAAACATGGAAAAACAAAAAAAAACAAAAAAAACAAAAAGTTCAGACCCATGTCCCCTGCCAGGCCTCTCCCCAGACCTTGCCCATGGGTCTGAACTTTTTGTTTTTTTTGTTGTTTTTGGTTTTCTCGAGGTTTGGGCCAAATTGCAAAAAAAACATGGAAAAACAAAAAAAAAGCAAAAAAAACAAAAAGTTCAGACCCATGTCCCCTGCCAGGCCTCTCCCCAGACCTTGCCCATGGGTCTGAACTTTTTGTTTTTTGTTTGTTTTCTCGAGGTTTTGGCCAAATTGTAAAAAAAAACATGGAAAAACCAAAAAAAACAAAAAAAAAAGTTCAGACCCATGTCCCCTGCCAGGCCTCTCCCCAGACCTTGTCCATGGGTCTGAACTTTTTGTTTTTCTTGTTTTTTTTTGATTTTTCCATAGTTGTTTTGCATGTTTTTCATGTGAATATGCTTTCATCACAGTACCTCTCAAAAAATGCGCGTTTCTACAATTTGCACACCTGCGCCCCCCAGGCCAAATTGCAAAAAAAACATGGAAAACCAAACTTCATTTAATGACTTATATCATGACTAATATAATGTTTATATATATATCTATCTATCTTGATTTATTGAATAAAAAATATCATGGTTCATAAAATGACTAATATAATGATCAATATAATGATCAATGTAATCATTGCTATAATAATGAATTTCATGCTTAATATAATGATTAATATCATGATTCATATAATGATTAATATAATGATTCATAAAATGATCAATATCATGATTATAATCATGATTCATATAATGATTAATGAAATGATTAATATAATGACTAATACACTGACTAATATAGTTATTAATAAAATGATTAATATAATGATTCATATAATGATAAATATAATGATTCATTTCATGATTCAGTTAATGACTCATATAATGACTAATATAATGATTAATATAAGGATTTATGTGATGGCTGGTATATTTTTTAATTTATTGACTAATATCATGATTAATAACATGATTCATAGAATGATAAATATATTTTTCATGATTCTTTTAATGACTTATATAATGACTAATAAAATGATTAATATACTGATTAAAATCATGATTTATATCATGATTCATAGAATGATAAATATAATGATTTATTTAATGATTCATTGAATCACTTATAAAATGACTAACATAATGATTACTATAATGATTAATTAAATGATTAAAATAATGACTATTATAATGATGAACTTAATAATTTATATTATGATTAATTTAATGGCTTATATAATGACTAATATCATGACATATTTCTATAATGATTAATTGAATGATTAATGAAATGATTGGTTAAACGCTTAATATAATGATGATTTTAATGATTGATATAATCGTTAATTTCATGATTAATTTAATGATTAATGTAACAATAAAAAATGGCTAATATAATGACTAATATAATGATTATATATGTATTTTTCATGATTAATAACATGATTAATATAATAATTAATATAATGACAAATATAATGACTAGTATAATGAATATTAAATTATTAGTATAATGATTAATATAATGATTAATTTAATGACTAATATGATTCATATCATGATGAATAAAATGATGAATATCATGACCAGTAAAAAGATTAATTCAATGACTAATATAATGAACAATGTAATGATTAATTTGAATGACTAATATGATGATTAATAAAAGGGCTCATATAATGATTTATATAATGACTAAAATAATGATTATATATATGATGATTCATTTAATGATTAATTTAATGGTTAGTATAATTTTCTGTACAACGACTAAAACAATGAGTCATTTCATTATAAATATAATGATTCATTTCATGATTCATTTCATGACTTATATAATGACAAATAAAATGATTAATATCATGATTAATGAATGATAAATAAAATGATATAATTGGTTCATAGAATGATAAATATAATGATTAATTTGAATGATTCTTTGAATGGTTTATAAAATGACTAATATAATGATTTTACATATATATATATAATGATTAATATAATGATTAATTTCATGAGGCATACCATGATAAATATAATGATTATTCTAATGATTCATTTAATGACTTATATAATGAATATTATTATGATTAATATAATGATTAATGTAATGACTGATATAATTATGAATTTAATGACTAATATAACAAAATCAGGACTTTCACAACCTCGCCCCCCATGACTACCCGCTCTCTATATATATATATATAGACATATATAGATATAATATGATACAATGATATAATATAAGCACACACACACATATATATATATATATACACAATCCAGACATGATGCTGCTGGTATGGGGGTGCACTCTGAGGCGACGATGATGATGATGACACAACTGATTCATCAGAAGCCTGGAGTTGCTGAAGTTTTTTCCCATGGGTTTTTCCACCAATTGGATCCATTTGGGGAATCTACTGGGGATACTTTTTTTTTGCAGCCAAGAACATTCCAAGGAACTTAGCCCCTACACGGGGAACTGATTGCCAGAGCCGCAAAGAAAAAAGTGACGGTGAATGGTGCAAACTGTTCATTCGGCTCGGCACCTTGATGTTCCTGTCCTTTCTTTGCAAGACTTCGTTCGCAGATTCAGATGTCATCGGCATTCATGGAATACATCAAAAATGATAATTAGTCATATATATATAATATATGTATGTATATATTATTATTTATATATTGTATATATATATTATGTGTATATATATATATATTAATTATGTATGTGTATATATATATATTATGTATATATATATATTATGTCTATATAATTTATATATACATATATTATGTCTATATAATATATATATATATATATTATGTATATATATATTATATAAATATATATGTAAGATGTATATTCGACCATCCTATCTTCCATGAGAGTGAGATGTCAGTTCTTGTTGGATTTCACATGATTTCACCAAGTGGATCAAAGGTTGAAAACCCCCCCCCGGCCCTGCCCGTGACCGGGATCGGTGGAGAAAATTCACGCCATGGCGGCCAAATTGGCGAAGGAGCTGGGAGCCAAAGCCAACCTTGAGGACATGATGGGAATGGATGGCAATTGAGCCACTAAAAATACGAGTTGATTGGTGATTGTAGATTTATAGATGATACACTGGTTTAATGGAGATTATTTGATTGGTGATTGTAGATTTATAGGTGATACTGGTTTAAGGAAGATTTTTAGAAGCAAAATGCCATTGGTTATTACAACAGGGGATGATACTACCCGTTTTTGCTTGGCGGATTTTTACAACCCATAATTGCAATATTTATGAACCAACCAGTATGATGGGACGGGATAGAGGTATTTTCCATGGCTCAATTTGACATATGTTAATGTTGACTACTTGATGATTTGATGAGTGCTTACTGCAACAGCATTTTGAATATTTATCCGAGTAATGATTTAACCCTGGCCTGTACGTCTCCTAACTGGGGTTGTCCAATTTTGATGATGGATATATTTAAGCTGAACTGATCATCCACTTACCCATATATTTTGTTCATCAATACCCAAGAGTATCCATGACACTTTAAAAGTGCCGCTGATACCCAATCAAACCACCATCTTTCGTGCAGGATGAAGAGATGTTAAGGATGAACAAGGCTTTGATGGACCTTATCATGGATGGACAGGGGGATGGGTGGTGCCATCGAATGGAACCTCCCTTTTTTCTTGCGGCGAATCGACACTCACCATTTTGAATAGATAAATCCATGGGCAATTTTCCATAGCTGTTTTGGATTGCCGGGGGTGTACAGTAATATCATGTATGTAGTATACACATATATCATTTTATATATATATATATACATGTGATATGTGCATATATAGTCACATATATATATATATATCATGTGATTATACATATATATATATACACACTACTCGTATGTTTATTTATAATATATTTATAATATATTTATATACAAGCAGGTGAGCCATCCTAGACCAGGAGCATGAACATGTCCTCCACAAGTTGTGCAGAAGACAACCCAACACCTCAAACATCCTCAAACGATCCCTAAATCGGATCTATTTGCAGTAATTAACTGATGAAGCAAGAAACCGAACATGACTAAACTATCAGCAGAGTATTCCAACAGAATACGGCCACAGGAGACTTCGAGTCCTACAAGGTGATGTGTGATGAGCAGCTCACATGTTACGAACCCGAAGCCAAGGGACATTTGTTGCACCTCGGCTGTACATGGGCCATGACTGGGGTCCATCTGGAACCTCCAGGATTTGGTTTTGGAAGATGCATGCTCTATTGGATAGAGCCATGATTGGGTTTCATGTGAAGTCTAGGGGGTTGCATCCACAGATATGTGAAAACTGTATGATGCTGAGGTTACATATCCCAGTTGGCACCATCCATTTTACCAAGAATAGGTTCATGAGTTGTCTTGGGTTTTTCAGAGAGGAAGCTATGATTCTGCTGCCAGCTCCTGGTTCGGTTTCTAGTCAATTCAAGCAGGCGCAGATGAAGCAGCAAGGGTTTTGCGCTCCACCGTGATACACAAAAAAACGATAAATCCCTTTTCCCAAACAGCACAGATGTCTGAGTTTCCTTACTTTGACCCATGCTGTGAACGAAAGTGACGAGGAAAGGCTTGGACTTCCACAAGTACTACTTCGATTTGATGCAGGCATGGATGGCAAGTTTTGCGCCCCTCTTTGTTTACGATGCAGAGTTGACTACCCCGATAGTTATTATAGTGATATATATATATATTATATACATGTTACACATTCTTATATTTTTCATCTATCTATCTATCTATCTATCTATCTATCTATTGATCTATCTATCTAATCTATCTATCTATCTATCTATCTATCTGTCTTTCTATATTTCTATCTATCTATCTATCTATCTATCTATCTGTCTTTCTATATTTCTATCTATCTATCTATCTATCTATCTATCTTTTTGTCTATCTATCTATTTTTCTATCTTTCTATCCTATCTATCCTTTCTATCCTATCTAGCCTATCTATCCTATCTATCCTATCTATCCTATCTATCCTATCTATCCTATCTTTGCTATCTATCCTACCTATCCTATCTATCCTACCTATCCTATCTATCCTATCTATCCTATCTATCCTATCTAGCCTATCTAGCCTATCTAGCCTATCTACCCTATCTAGCCTATCTATCCCTTCTATCCTATCTATCCTTTCTATCCTATCTATCCTATCTATCCTATCTATCCTATCTATCCTATCTATCCTATCTATCCTATCTATCCTATCTTTCCTATCTATCCTTTCTATCCTATTTATCCTATCTATCCTTTCTATCCTATCTATCCTATCTATCCGATCTATGCTATTTATCCTATCTATCCTATCTATCCTATCTTTGCTATCTATCCTATCTTTCATATCTATCCTATCTATCCTATCTATTCTATCTATCCTGTCTACCCTATCTATCCTATCTATCCTACCTATCCTACCTATCCTATCTATTTATCTATCCTATCTATCCTATCTATCCTACCTATCCTATCTATCCTATCTTTCCTATCCATCCTATCTATCCTATCTTGCCTATCTATCCTATCTATCCTATCTATCCTGTCTATCCTGTCTATCCTGTCTATCCTGTCTTTCCTGTCTTTCTATCTATCTATCTATCTCTCTCTATCTATCTCTATCTATATCTATCTATATCTATCTATATCTATCTATATCTATCTATATCTACCTATATCGATATATATCTATCTATATCGATATATATCTATCTACATCTATATCGGCATCTATCTGTATCTATCTGTATCTATCTGTATCTATCTGTATCTATCTATATCTATCTATATCTATCTATATCTATCTATTTATCTATCTATCTATCTATCTATCTATCTATATCTATCTATATATATATCTATCTATCCATATCTATCTATATCTATCTATATCTATCTATATCTATCTATATCTATCTATATCTATCTATATCTATCTAAATCTATCTAAATCTATCTAAATCTATCTAAATCTATCTATATCTATCTATATCTACCTATATCTATCTATATCTATATATATCTACCTATATCTATATATACTATCTATATCTTTCTATATCTATATCTACCTATATCTACCTATATCTACCTATATCTATCTATATCTATCTATATCTATCTATATCTATCTATATCTATCTATATCTATCTATATCTATCTATATCTATCTATATCTATCTATCTATCTACCTATATCTATATCTATCTATATATGTATCTGATCTTATATTATCTTATCTCACCTTAGCTTATCTTATCTATCTTATCTTATAATATATTATCTTATATTATCTCATCTTTTCTTTTCTTATATTATCTTATCTCACCTTAGCTTATCTTATCTATTTTATCTTATATTATATTATATTATATTATCTCATCTTAACTTATCTTATTTTATCTTATCTTATATTATATTATTTCATCTTATCTTATCTTATTTTTATCTTGTATTATGTTTTCTTATCTATCTTATCTTATCTTGTCTTATCTTATCTTATCGTATCTTTTCTTCTCTTGTCTTATTTTATCTTATCTTACCTTATCTTGTCTTATCTTATTTTATCTTATCTATCTATCTATCTATCTGATACACACAAATGCATTTGTATACTATATATATACATATATATGTATTAGGTTATATACACTCAACTCCCCTTTCCTTCCACCATGTTGGGCCAGGGCCAAAGTGATTCTGCGGGCAAGAAGGACTGATGACATGGTTCCGCAATGCCAGTGCTTCACCCGCCAAGGGAAGGTCGCAACTGCATGGCATGACCTGCAGGAAGTTCGACAAACCACCATGGTGGCACCCAATATCACCTGGATGTGCAATCGCCAGGCGGCCATTGTTTCTTGGCGTTTAGTAAATTTAGGGACCACCCCAGTGTGTGAGAAGACCTCGGGAACTGGTGCATGTCATACTTTTTTTTTGCTATGGCTTAGAATGGAAAACAATGGGGTCGCACATCCAGAGCGTAAAGTTGAATTACTGTAAGTTGAACCATGAGGTATCTGCACATTGTGCACCATACTTGAATTACGAATGCATTTTCGTAGGTTGTCCCCGTTTTGCCTTTCATGAATGAGGCAGCATAAGAAACTTATGCTGATAGATGCACATGCAAAATAGGCACCAGGGCACGGGTATGGAATGACTGATCCAACATGGAACAAGACATGGAACAAGGCCAACCCGGCAAGGTATGCTTCAAGCGTTTGGTTCAAGCTGGTGTCAACACCATCGTCACAGAGGAGTCACGAGTTTGGGAATTCGTTGGCTCTCGATGGAAGCTTGGATCGAACCCACAATGGCCATCAATGGCCAAACCAAACTCACGCCAGTCGCCAATCAAAATCGAAGTCGACTCATGTTGAAGCCAGATTTCAGTTCAAATCAAGATTATTCCCACATTTTCGTACCAATCCCTACATTTCTACATCATTTCATGCATTTCAACAAAAACTGGAATCAGTTCTACAGCTGGTTGTTCAAGGTCCAGCCTTCCCGCCCCAGGAAGTTGCGACATTTCCATCGCTCTCCCGGAGCCAGCTGAGGTATGCTGAGGTAACGTTTTAGCGACTGGTTGGGTATGCCATAAATGGAGAGAAATGGGGAATTACATAAATAAATATATATATATATATGCATAATAAAAAATACATATAGATATATCGCTGTGTATGCTAACGAGATCAAAATAATCGACATGTTGTTGAAGTGTGGCCCGATTGCAAAAAATGTCAAAAGCTAACTGCTGATGGAGATGGCGATGGAAAGAGAGGAGAGAGAGAAGAGAAAGTGCCGATGTGGAGTACAGGGAAGAACCGGAAGGACCTGCGATCTCGGAGGATCCAAAGCAGCCATAGGCTGCAAAGGACAGCCTGCTGTACAGCCGCTTATCAGTTGTCAATATGGAAAAGTTTGACACTCTTGACCCGAGCGTGGCACAGTGCTTGAGGAAAAAGATGGAAAACGGATGAAACACGAAGAACTTCAGCTGACGCAGATGCATTCATATTCCATATATAAATAAATATAATGCATATATATATGTGTGTGTGTGTGATATATATATATATATAAATAAATAAATCCGCCCGCACCGAAGGTGCTGGGGCGTGATCTTCCGGATGGCACTCGTAAAAGGTTACAGGTTTACCTGGGGGGGGGGGTCCCATTTTTCGGCCAAAACCTCCTGTTTTTGATAGGTCGTGACGCTCGCCTTCAAAAAACACTGTAAAAAACAGTACGGAAGACACCTGTTCGTGAACGCGCCCGTCCAAAATCGGCAAGCGAAAAGTGAAAAAACACCGTGTTTTTCAACTTTTCGACCTCAATTTTTTGGTTTGCAACATCTTTTTTTGGTTCCGCAGGTGGCCTGGCCCGGAGGCGGATTTTTGAGTTTTTGGACCCGTTTTCGGACTGATTTTCGTCGTTTTGTGATAGCAGAAACACTTGTTTTTACAGTGTTTTTCTGTTTTCTGCATGCTTGACGGCTAGCTTCAAAACTTCCAAAAACCTCGTAAATTACGCTGTTTTATGTTACGGTGTGAATGAAAACATCGTAAATACCAGTGTTTTTTGACGTTGGTTTAAAAAACACTGTAAATTACTGTGTTTTTGGCCACCTGACCCTCAAAAATCATGGTATTTGCAGTGGTTTCTGCTTCTCACCGCGCAAAAACACTGTAAATAACAGCAATTTCGCCGTTTTTTCATGTTTTTCGTTATTTTTTGAACTCCGTTGGCCCGCTATACATGGCTATCAAATTCTTCGCGCGCCCAACGATGCGGTGCGGGCGGTTGCCGTCGCGAAGCATATATGTGTGTGTGTGTAGTAATTACTTTGAGTTGGCCAGCATTCTGAACTGAACCACCTTTTGGTGAGGGCTATTGCCATAACTGAGGTGGTACCTGTGGGTGTGGACGTGCCGTGACCCGGGCCAAGGGCAGTGATTTGGCAGGATGCTGATGATTCAAATTGATTCCAATGGGATCAAATCGCAGTTTCTTACATGTCCTTTCTTGGACAGGCTGCAAAGAAAAAGGATCTCAGCATAGTTATTTATTGTAGATTGGGCATTTGCGATGCCATTTTTTGGCCAATGTTGGTCCATTGACAGAGATACAGATTCACCACCAGATTCACAGCAGTCGCTGGTGCCTGGCTCATTCTCCCATGATGCCATGATGCAGATCTTTGCAGCGCTGTTGTTCTTCAATTCCTTGGCATGTTCGTTGATAGAAAAGAAATCATCTTCCATATGTTGCTTGGGTTGCTGGAGTGCTAAGCCACTAAGCATTTGTGGAATGCAGGGTCAACATGCGTCAACCATCAAGGGAGCAGGCTTAGCAGGCACCCTGCCTTGTGGAACCTGGACTGTAGATGATAGATGGATGTCATTCAGGAGATCTCTACCACAAACCTCGATTTTCTTAGGGGTTTGACGGTCCCAGCCTTTCAAAAACAGCCCTCCCCCAGCGCTGATGGTGGCCCCAGCGGTAGCCATGGATGCTCCAAGACGCTTCCCCAGCAGATCTTCGGTGCGGTCCCAGAACTCAGGCATCCGCCTGGTGGTTTCCATGGGAATCCCCCAATAGCTGGATGGTTTATTTTCTGTTTATTTCATGGAAAATCCCGTCGAAAAAAATGGATGATTTGGGGGGTACCCCCATGACTTTGGAAACCTCCACATGTTTCATGTTCAACCATCAACATGGGATGATGATCCCAACTCATTGGTATCTTTAAGGGTGTTGAAAGCACCAGAGAGCATTTATTTTTCTACTTGCTTATTTGCATGATCAATATTCACCCCGCTTCGCGTGGGGTGGCCGCCCACACCGCAGGTTTATTTCGGTCCGTGAGAGGGGCTAAGGGTGGTTTTCCCCCGTGGGGGCTCCCCAAGCTAAGAATTTTCACTTTCCCCCCCCGTGGGGGCTCCCCAAGCTAGGGAATTTTCACTTTTCCCCCCCGTGGGGGCTCCCCAAGCTAGGGAATTTTCACTTTTCCCCCCCGTGGGGGCTCCCCAAGCTAGGGAATTTTCACTTTTCCCCCCCGTGGGGGCTCCCCAAGCTAGGGAATTTTCACTTTTCCCCCCCGTGGGGGCTCCCCAAGCTAGGGAATTTTCACTTTTCCCCCCCGTGGGGGCTCCCCAAGCTAGGGAATTTTCACTTTTCCCCCCCGTGGGGGCTTCCCAAGCTAGGGAATTTTCACTTTTCCCCGCCGTGACAGCTTCCCAAGCTATGGAATTTTCACTTTTCCCTCCCTTGGAGGCTCTCCAAGCTGCGGAATTTCAAATAGCTAGACAACGACGCCTAGATAGTCCCCCAAATCCCGTGTTCTTTGAATGTGTTTCCATGTTTTTGCAATGGTTTCCTTCAAAGCACGGTACTTTACACTTTTGTCGCCATAAAACCGGTCGAAAACATCATGTTCGACAATGCTTCCAATTCCCTTATCTCCCCAACCGTTGAAAATACCGCTATTTACAGTGTTTTCTTCAATTTTTCCATGTGCCAATGCCGGTAGCCAACTCCAACATATATATAAGAAATCCTTCCAAAACATTGTTTTTGACAGTGTTTTTCCAATGTTTCCAGTCAAACAGACGGTAATTTACACGTTTTTTGCCATAAAGGCAGTAAATCCTTCCAAAACATTGCTTTTGACAGTGTTTTTGTAATGTTTCCAGTCAAGCATACGGTAATTTACACGTTTTTTGCTATAACGTCAGTCCAAAACACTTGTTTTTGCAGTGTTTTCAATGCTCTGGCATCCAAAAACCCTGCAAAATCTTGCTATGCACAATGTTTTTTTCATTTTTGGCCGTTTTTCCATTGCCGGAAAACTACCAAAATGACCCAAAATTCCATTTCAATACCGTCTTGCGCTCAGACACCCAAAAATCCTCGAAAAATGTCGAAAACACCCCCGTATTCTGGTCTCGGTGCGAAACCGTTTTTGGCCCCCCCCCCGCTAAAGCTGATATAGCGACTGCTATATTAACAAATGTCATTGAGCATTTAGTGTTGCTGTTGCCCCCCAATAAGCACGCCTTCACCGCCAAAGCGGTGTGGGCGGATTTTAGCTTATGGCTATGGCTCAAGTTTGGGCCCAAATCGTTAAGGTTGTTCTAGACAGACCCCATTAGATGGCGGAACGTGGAGGAATTCCCACTTTTAATCTAGAAGATGATGATGGTGCTGATGATGCTTCTGCAGCTGCTGCCCCCGGCCTTCCTGCTGCTCCCAAGCTTTCCCTTGCTTCCCCACCTTTGAAGAAAAGCAAGTCCGTCGTCATCACCGGGAACAATGACGAGCAAACAGACCCAGGCGAAGCAGACCTTGAACCAGCCTTTCCCCCACCCCCGCTCCTGGCCCTTCCTGCTGCTGACACTGCCATGGGACCGCTGGAGCAACAATCTCTCCACACTGTGTTGAACCAATGGGCAGAACGATTGGAAAACACCTTGAGCAGAACAGTTGGCAGAAAACTGGACGCGATCCAAGCCAACCAGCAAGTTGTACTCCAAACAGTTGATGCACACACTTCCCAAATCTCCTCACTTGCTCAAGGGCTTGACGGAGTCAAGGCGAAAATCCAGAAACTTGAAGCTTCCCCACCTCAACATCAAGAAGGTGCTGGCTCCCAGGTTCAACAGCTACAAAAAGATCTACGAGTGCTGACTGACAAGGTTGATCAACTCTCATCGCTCTCTGCTCGGGCTCCCTCAGCTCCTCCACCTCAGCGTGACTCTGCAGCACCTGTGCACGACACCTCTCGTCGAGCCCGCTCCGCTGCGCCTTTCCGGCGTATGACCTCTGACGATGCCCCACTCATTGACTGGAACCACCTTGTGATTGGCGGTTGGGGTGTCGACACCAGGCGTGACACAATCCATGCAGAGGCAACGCAACTGCTCGAAAAGATGCAAGCCAGTGACAAAGTGGTTGAAGTCATAGTGTACGGCAAACGCTCCTCCACCTGCCACGTTTTTCTTCAACCCCTGCCTGAGCCAGATGCACGACAGCAAATCCTTTCTTGGCAAGCCCAATTCAAGGACAAGTTCGTCCTACCCAGCTCTGGCAAGCCCGCATGGCTCACAGCCCACAAGAGCACTCAACTTCGCTTCAAAAACCGCATCACAAAGCAAGCACTCCATCTGGTTCAAACACTCCTTGGCCAAGGGTCTACGAAGCAGGTTGACTGCGATTGGGCTCGTCAACTCATTTGGGTCGATGACTGCCGAGTTGCTGGTGCCCGCATTGGCGATTTCGACCCAGAGCCTAACGCCACACTCTGTGAGCACAATCTCCGCGATGACAAGCTGCAACAGGCTGCCTCCCTTCACTTTCATGCCTCCCGCCTTGCACGGGTCACTGGCAAGACAGTCCCTGACATCCAGCAATTCCTGGCCCAGCCCAGGGCCAATGAGTGACTCTCCGACCACGAGCGTGATGCATGCCAGATCGCCAATGCTCAGCTGCCCCATGGGCACAGCCTGCAACCCTTGCAGCTGGCCACGTGGAATGTTCATGGAAAATCCATCTGCCAGACTGCTGCGGCTTTGGCTGATCAACAAATTAGCTTTGATGCTCTTGCTCTTCAAGAGGTTGGTGCCCTTCCTGAAGGAATTGATGCCGACCCTTCGCTGCTCATTGATGCCGCCGATCTTCCGATTGCAGCTCGTGATGACCTCGCCAATTACTGGATCCTCGGCACCAACAACCTTCAAAGTCATTTGGGTCAAGCCCTTCTTTTCGACAAAACACTGTTCCCAGCAATTCTCCAAGTCCACAAGGGACAGCGATCCCTTGGAGCGAAGTTGGCCCTTCGATCGGGAGGTTTTCTCTGGATCCTGGGCGTCCACTTCCCCCACCATCAAAACGACATGGACGTCTACGCTGCGGCCACTCGGGAAATCCACTCCTTTGCTGCAAAGGTTCAGGGCACTCCTTTTCTCATTGCAGGCGATTGGAACTCACAACCCGATGGCCCCAACATGGACCAGCAAGCCCTGGAGATCGCTTGCTTGGCGGCTGAAGACCTTCTGCACATTGCCATGCCTGCGGGCCCCACTTGGCAACGCAAAACCTATGACTTCTTCCTGTGCTCCCAGCACCTGCACTCGAAGTTGAGCCCAGCGACTGCACAACCATACACCGTTCCCCACATGCGTGATCTCCTTCCCTCTGATCACCACCTGGTCGCTTGGGACTTAGTCTGGGAAAAGGGGTCCAAGCGCAAGCGCGCTTCCCACTTCCACACTGCCAAGTGGACTATCAATTCCGAAGCTTTGGCAGCAGCCATCCAATCAGCTGCCCCTGCCCGGACTGCCTGGGACGAGCTATGCCGCCTGGCCCACTGCTCCCAACGCCGAGCCCTCAGCAAAAAATATGTGGACCCGCCAGCCTTGAAACAACTTTGCCAGCTTCGCAACAACACCTTCGACACCACTCTTCGTGCATCCCTGTCTCGGCAGATCCTCCATCAAAGGCGCGAAGCAAAGCAGCAATGGGCCCTTGATCTCCAAAATGATGCAGCAATGGGAGACGATGCCAGCATTGCTTTCCTCAAAGCCCGTCGGCGGAAGGCCTCCAATTGGACCACTTTGATCGACACATGTGGCAGCCGTGAAGCGGCCGCTGACGCTGTTCGAACCCACTTCGCCCAAGTCTTCTCCGCCACCCCTGCCAAGCAGCGCGACCAGGAATGCAGCCAGTCCCTTCACACTTTGTCTGCGCACATGGGTGCCACAAAGCCCTTACCCATTGCAAGCCCAGAACTCCACACTGCCCTGCTCAAGCTGCACCGAGGCAAGACCTCTGGAGCCTCTGGCATGTCCAATGAATTTCTGCTTGCAGCCGCCCAACACACAGAAGGGGAACATCTACTCCTGCAAGCCCTCAACGACATGTTCTTGCAGGGCAACTTCCACCCAGACCTCACCCGCGGGGTCGCCTGCCTGATTCCCAAGATCCAGCAGGCCAAGACAGCAAACGACATTCGCCCCATCCTCCTGCTAGAGGTCTTGCAAAAGGTTTTCTGCAGGATCCTCATGACGAGATTGCAGCCGCTTTGGTGCCCTCTCTTTGCTCAACTCGGCGCTGTGCCAGGGGGGCAGGCAATTGAGGCTCTTTTTGCAGCGCACAGCATGATGAGTATCGCAAAGGTGATGCACAAACACTACCTTTTTATCAAGATGGATCTGAAAGGAGCTTTCGATAACCTCAAACATGCCAGTGTTGCTCAATTTTTGGCTTCCTTACCACCATCGGCGGCGTGGGAAGCAAAACGGCTACTGCAACTTCTGCTCAGTCAAACTCTCGACTTCCAGTTCTTGCAAGAAGAATGGCAGCTCCGCAGCACCGCTGGAACACCTCAAGGTGGATCACACTCTGCTGGTCTCTTTGCTCGTACGTTGGACTACTTCTTGGCAAAACTGGTGACAAAATGGGAGCGTTTGGGATACCGGGCTCCTTTTGACCCCTTGTGGCTTCTGCTGTATGTGGACGACATCATGCTCTGCTTTAAGAATTGGAGACAAGCCTGCGCCCTGATGCCCTCCTTCTTGGACATGCTGAACTCCATTGGCATGAAGGTCAACTTTAGCAAGAGCTGTGTCATTGTCGATGCAGTGCTGCTACGTGCTGCCGCCACAGAATGCACAAGCCCACTTCTCCGGGAGTTTCAATGGAGCGAGACAACGTCCTACCTCAACCGCCCTTTTGGCTACCAGGTGTCAGTGGAAACGCTATGCCAACAAGTAGCTCAGAAAGTCCATGCTGCATGGGGTAGCCTCAGATGCATTTTGGGGAGACGCTGGTGGACAAACCCGTCCCAAACAGATACTCTTCTGACAAAACATGTTGGTTCTGTATTTCTGTGGCTATCTCCCGTCCTTTACCCATACAGTGCAGTACTCAACAGCATTCAAACACTCCAAACCACGGTCTTTGCAGATGCGCTGGGGCTCTTCATTCCTGATCTCAGCTATGATACAGCGGTGCAACTTGTTCGCCTCAGGCGCCATGTGGTCAAAAGATGGTTGCTTCATGTCGCTCCCGCAGGCAATTGGTGTGCCAAGCTCCTTAGGCGCTTGTGGACCTTTACGGGGCATATCTGTCGTCAAACATCTCATCCGTCGCAGCCGGCGCGAGTGATGATGGGCCTTTTCGCCTCAACTCATGCGCATGGGTTAGCCAGACCTGGCCCATGGAAGACACTGCATGCATTGTTCCACAAGTTCTGGACATCACATGAGCTGGAAGGTGACTTTCTCAACACTGCTTTGGATCGTGAATCTTGGAAAACCCTTGAGCCAGCCTTCGTTCAATGGTTTCAACCCTCCACTCGCTGCAACGTGGAGTTTTTGCAATGCAGTCCGTGGGAATCGCCGGACATGCTTCTACGAGCACACGTCCCATGGGTACACACAATTGTTGTTCAACTGACCAACGTTGCAGACAACAGATGGCGGCTTGCAGTCACCTGGCTCGACGAAACGGATGGGATGTGCTCCTGGAGCCACTTTTCTGACCAGAACTCCAAACTCACCACCTTCACTTCGGGAATGGCATGCTGCCTTCGATATTTGGCAATGATATACCAACCCTTTGTCATACAGATCGCTTTCGCAACCGCATCTGACTGGGCACTCGTCTTTGCCAACAGTGAAGCCGTCAATAGTGTCTTTAAGCATTGCCCTTGTGGTTCGTGGGTGCAGCTTTTCCCTCTTTCTAAGAAAGAACTGCGACACCGAACCCTTTCCCATAGTTTGACCATTCTTGCTCCTTAAGGGAGTCCCTTGGTCACGCCACGCCATTATTCTTCATTTATGCTGTAGGGCAAACCATTGGATGCCCAGGCAAAAAAAATATTTTAGCTTTACGCATTTTTATCCGCTTTTGATTGAGACTTGGAGGGCAACCATGTACTGTACTCAACATGATTTTCCCAATTCGAAATTGGAGGGGAAATGGATCGGCAGCCTGATCTCCAGGCATGCTGTGGCCGGCGGGGCTTGGAATGGCCTTGGGTTTCTCGGTGTTGGCAGCTGCTGCTTGGCTCATGGGCAAGCCCCGCCATGGTGGAGATAATGTGCCCATCCAACTTTTTGTTGTGGAGGCGTGTGTGCTCTTCATTGCTCTTCATTATGGGGATGTTGAAATATGTGGGAAAATCATGGAGAATCTGTGAAGCTGATCCATCTTTGGGGAAGAAAGAGGTGACTCTCCTGGAGGGTGGGTGCTTTGTGGCTTTGTGGTTTCATGAGGCGGGAGTCTTTCTCGATTGCAAGTAATGTCCAGATGTGTTTAATTTCAGATTTATACTCTCTCAGCTCACACATGCACTCAGACAAAAGACATACAGACATGCATATATATATATATTAGATTATTAGTGTATTGCGAAACCATGGAAAAATAAAAGAGAGAGACCACGATCTCAGCATGTATGATTTGCCAGTAAGACGAACCTCGCAGGAATTTTTTTTCTGGTGAATGGGATTGATAGCACTTCATAGCTCCAAAGATGTCGCATCCCGTGCAGCGTGTGGTGTCCTCAAACATGGCTTGGAAATCCATCATGAAAAGATGGATATTTTTTCATGTGTCAATGGAAAAATCATTGAACTAAGTGGTGGGTTTTCCAGCCCCGATTTGATCACCAGAGGGTAACTAATTTCTCTTATGACCTATGCGACTCTTTGGACTCTTATGACATTTTATGTCCTTTACTTCTGTTCGATACGGTGGGTCTCCAGATACCATTTTGCCAATGTGACTTCAGACTATGAGGCCACCAAAGCAACTGGCACCCGCCTCTCATCCTATGAGCCTTGACTTCACGTCAGCAAAGGTTGGTGCAAACTTGCATGCCCGGCTTGCCCACCTGCAATAAAACATGTAGAAACCGAGAGAAAGTTGATTTTAAGGATTGACAGTGATGTCAGTGATGTCCTTTCTCAATATTGGCTACGCGATTGGGGTTTCTAGGGTCCAGGCCTTTGGGGTGCGTGTCCATGCCCCTCTAGGGACGTTAGGAAGTAGGGCATACCTGCTTCCTGGAGATTGATTGACACCAGAACCTGATCCGGGTTTATGGCAGCCCTGCAATTTCGTCAGCTACAGGAGACTTACTTTCAAGCTGTGTTTCAAGACATCTTGCAGTAGCTCAGATGTTCGATCGACATATATCAACATCAATCCCAGGTCAATATAGATCAAAAACTAATCCCTGGTTGATTCACGCAGGGGTTGCCTTTTTATAAGTTTGAATCATTACTGCTGTGCAGACTCCCCCATCAGGGCCATCACAGGTCATGTTGGCACATATGTTGGCGCCAGGAAAGAATCTTTCTGCGGAGCTGTTTCTGCGTGCTGTTAGCGCCCATCGCCGGGGAGAATTCCTTCCCGCCGGTGTCATCACCCAACCGACGTTTGCTGATGCTGCGAGGTGCCCTTGGCTTCATTGCAGCAGCTGGGCACCATAGCAGGACTGGTTTTAGGGCCTTATAGGATCTAATAGGGGGATTCTTGTGGTTGAAAAGAGTCCTATAAATTATGGAGATTGTTGGGCTTTTGTTGGTGAAATGGATCCATTTTACCTCATCGAGAGAGAACCCCAGCAGAGGAAGAAGACAACAGATCAAGCCATATCAAGCCCAGAAGCACACTGAATCGAGATGCTGTGATACACTTCTACTGTTTTGTTGAAGTGTTGGCTATCACGTCTTGAAGCACCCCTTTGGGATGATCCCGTCATATCCCGTCATATCCCGAGGTTTCGTCCTACTACGAGGCCATTGCGCGCATCCCCTTGGCTACCCTCACTTTGATATCCAGGTACCTTCCGAGAAGACTGGGATCGACCAGACTTACCGGTGCTGAATTCCTTGACAGCTTTAAAGCATCCATCATACGTACAATGAAAGTTCTTGAGCCACATGCTTTCCAACAAACATTGAGCTGGCATTCCTGGTTTATTCTCAAGCAATTAGTATGTTTTTTGCTATTCATTTGATTTTTGGTATTAGTTAAAAATAAGTTACATGAGGTATTATATTCTATTATTCATACGTTACATATCCATATATATATATATATATCCTATTCTTTGTACAAAGACTTCCTGGCAGGTTACATCCGCTGCTGTCCACCGCCTTGGCGGGGCTGATTCTGGGAGTAGCTTGGCTTCATCCTCCAGGCAGCCAGTCAGCCACCATCGACCATCCCAGGAACCCGTGCCGCGACAGCAGATGGTCGTCTTGCTGGTTGCGACACTGGGGACTGCCTTGTTGACTCCAGCCGAGGCTGTGGGGAATTCAGGGCTGTGGAGAAAAACATGTGCGTGTTGAAGTGTGCTTGCATATGTGAAATTATAACTACGTATATAATATATATCACACACACACGCATATATATAATATAATATACGTGGAGGGTATGCCATTTACATCCAGTGATGGCTAAGTTGGGCCAGCATATGCCAGCATGTTCCGTTAAATCCCAATCTTGAAGTACAGGCTTTCCCTGGAAAGAGATGCATAGATACAGCAATCTCAGTGCTCGCAGCTCGCAGGAGCTGTTCTCTTCTGATGGTAGTGCCTGGGGCTACTCTGCCGCATTGCTGGCAGCGTTGTTCACTGCCTTGGCACTCCTCTGCGTTCGAACGCTCACAGTTTTGGGCGAGCCCGCCCATCATGCGCGAGAAGCATTTCATTGGGGAAACCTCTGTGGATCGTTGGCGCTTGGCTTGCCACGAGGCTTGCAGCCGCTTGAAGCCTCGAGATGTTTTTGCTCTTGATGTTACTGTATGGCTCAAGGGGAGCATCTTTGGCATGTGCAAACTCTAAAAATAGTTAATCCCCGAAGTTGGATCTTCAACGGTCGATCTCTCATAAGTGTCCCAAACGTGTGGTCCATCAACCTCAAAAAGTTGTTTTCCCCAGTCGCCCAAAAAGAAACTAAGGATGGTCAACATGTCCAACATGGTCATGTACAGTAAGACTACTAATTAAGATAAATTTCATGCACCAAAAAGATCAAAGAGAGAGAGAGAGAGAGGATACCATGATAACTACCCCCATCATAAACCGTTAATCATCTAAGAAAGTTCGTACATGTTCATCCCAAACATCATTGATTCCCATACATGTTCCACCATTCATCCACCACAATTTTCCATGTTCAACTCCCAATGTTCAACAACATGTCCTCATCTTCACCTGGATTTTACGGTGTTTTCACGGACCCCATCCCCAACCCCATCCCCAACTCCCGGGATGCTCAGCCTGGCGCCAGGCTTCTCCTGGCCCAGCTACAACGAGGCGCTGTGGATCTTGATCACCGCCGTGTCGATGCAGTTGGCGCAGCTGGCCCTGACGCATGTTTTGCGCAGCCCGGTGGTGAGCCCTGGCGAGTGGTGAAGTGGGGAGTTACAGCTGCTCCGGAGACTGTATGATGTAGAAATAGTGGAAATTGTGTTTGTTTTCTATATTTCTAATATATAAGATTTGTTTTATGTATATAAATATAATATATGTATAATCGCATTTATTTATATATATATATGTATTGTTTATTTATGATATGGTATATATGAATATGATATGGCGTAAATAGATATATGCATACAGTTTCAGTTGTAACATTTGGTGGTTGATTTTGCTGTTGTTCTCTTCGGTCAATGATCACATGCAAACTGATCACATGATACAACCCGCATGGTAAGATGCCAGAATCAAGTGGTGGTAGTACCCTTAACTTACCCTCATCCACAACTGCTCCAGAAGCCACCAGGGGTCGGTAAATGTTTCTTTTTTGGATTTTGAACATCACCTTCAAGTATTTGTTGGAGACTACGACTATATCCCCAATAGTTGGGTGATGTTTAAATAGGACATGTACCAACCCCTGGCCACCGAGGAGTGCCACCAAATATTTCTTCCTAAACGTGGTGTTGAACTTAGCTTTCGGGGTTTTGCTGGGCGACCCCTGGCCCTCAGCACGCGAGACCTTCGGAGCCGCCGTGATTTTGCTCAGCACCTGGGTCTAAGATGGTCTAAGTGCAGCTTGAGTCGATGTACCAAAGTGATTCTGACTGATGGTTTCAATGCATGCTAGTGCAATATAAAGCAATGATAAACCACCCTTGTTTTAGAATGAAGTACCACCCGCCACCAATTTATGGGTAAAATGAAAGATGGTTTACTGTACTATTGCTTTACGAACATTATGGCAAGACCCTATGGTTTGCCCCGAAGCTTAGAACGGAGTTCAAACATTATCCTTCCTTCGACATGCTCAAATACCTGCGCAGGGCCAGTGTTTTGGTATTTCCCAGACGAACCCTAAACCCTAAATGCTAAACCCTCAAGCCCCAAACCTTAAAACCCTAACCCTATAATCCTAACCCAAAAACCCAAAACCCTGAAAACTCTGAATCCTAAACCAGAAGATATTGTACATGATGATACTGAGTATACGCGGTATTTTCTGCAATCTCTCTTATCATGTTCGACAACATGGTGTCCTCAATGCTGCAGTCCAGACAAACCACGGGGCTACGTACGTAACATTGGTTTTGTTAATTCTCAACCAGATTTGGGATGACAATCCCAAGAGACTATTTGTGCAACTGGGGCAAAAATCAACGACAAAACCCTCAAAACATATACCGTACAGTATATATAATTAGTGACAAAGAGAAGCAAAAACAGTGCCCATCCTATCCCATCCTATCCTACATGATCCTGCCTAACCCTCCTCATCACGGTCCTCACCACCATCATTCCCATGATTCGCATTCCTCATCCAACGACTGCAGGCATTGCATACGGTGGTTCTATTGAAGCGGTTCCTGTTGCGACTCCGGCTGTGGCAACGCCCAAAAAGTCCAGTCGGATGCAAGATGAGTCCCCGCCCTGAAAATGGTGGCAGCTTCTGGTGCTGATGGGACCGCCCCAAGTGAGACCTTGGGACAGAGGCATTTAGCATGTAAGAAATCAGAGCATTCCTGGCCCTAATCATTCAGGACTTTGCCAGGATTACATGGAGCTTCCCGGCTTCCCGAGATCCTTTGTTGATAGGTACGGTTGGCCAGGGCCACTGTTCTCTCCCGAGCCAGGCGCAGGGTTTTGTGGAGCAGAGGTGATCAGGCGGTATTCTTCATTCTATATCATAGCCTTGCAGCAAAATCAATGTGTTTTCTCGATCATGTACAGATGCAAATCATCATGGTCTTTCCTGTTCACATTGTCATTTCATTGCGCCATGCTGTTTTTCTTTTTGGTCCTGGGTGTGCCTCGCCCATCGCCTCCTAAAACAATGCCATATTTATTATTTAACAATGATGTTTGCTATTTGTGAAGTTGCCAACGTGCAGCCAAAAAAAATGAGACCATAACTACAGTGACAATAGATCAAAGCGGCCAATGAAACCCAGGTATCCATCTAATTGCTTCAGAGATCAGCAACTACTGGTTGCTTGACGTTGGACTTTCCCTCGTTGGAAAGTTTGTCCATTAAGAAAGTCAGGATTCCGTGCCACCAACCAGCTTTTCTATTTATGTTGTTATTCTTTTGAATGTATCCGATATCAGAACTGTTGTTTTCAGTTATAGGATGTTATAGGTTTGCATTGATTTTCTTGGGCGACATCCCTTCCATATTTCCGATGCCCCACCCTACTTGCATGACCCCTGAAGCTATAGTCAATGGTCAGTGGCTTGGATTTATCTCAGCAAGTATGCGTCCCAAATATGGCCCTTACATTCCGGTTTGTTACTAACATTTCTTAGTTAGCAACATTTAATTTCCATTAATTTCCCATAATTTCCCCACTTAGAGGATCATCCTTTTTAACACATGTCATAGAAAAAAACATGTTGTAGTACCTGACATTACTTTCCCCACATTGCTGCTACACACCAATTGTGTTTTTTTCCTTCCCCGCTTGGTACTCAGAAGCCTAGCGCTTAAAATGAAGGTGCCACAAGCACTTCATTTGACGTGGACGTGGTGCTGAAAGGTTCAAGGCCTTTTCGCACTGTGACAGCTGGAGGGAAACATCTCATGTTTGTTGTCGGTTGTTTCATGACATGGGGAGGGCTTTGTCTATTCCATAACCATAATATTAACCATATGTCACCTTTTAACATCTTATAGCGGTACTCTTTGTGTCCATATATCTATATACACGCATTATATATAATCCTCTCTCCCTATTACTAACCCCCCCAAATGGTAAACACGGTGATCTAGTTTTATTATTAGGAGGTATTTTGTATTAGGGTGCCCCTAATATTCCAATGAAAAACCTTAACAATAAAAATAAAAAACGTAAAAAACTCGATTTCAAATTTGATTAAATCCCCAATTAAAATCTATATAAGATATTGCCAAAAACTGTATTTCGATGCTTTCCCCTCATATTCCAATGAAAAACCCTAACAATAAAAATAAAAAACGTAAAAACTCGATTTCAAATTTGATTAAATCCCTTATTAAAACCTATATAAAATATTGCCAAAAACTGGATTTCGATGCTTTCCCCTAATATTCCAATGAACAACCCTAACAATAAAAATACAAAACGTAAAAAAACTCGATTTCAAATTTGATTAAATCCCTTATTAAAATCTATATAAAATATTGCCAAAAACTGGATTTCGATGCTTTCCCCTAATATTCCAATGAACAACCGTAATGATACAAATAAAACATAAAACTTGTGAGATGGGACACTAACAAAAAACCTCCAGGTGGCAATCTGTTTTTGATTAATAGGGGGTTGAACCCATTGTTTCACCATCCTGTTCTCCTATTGATTCTCAATTACCACAATTAAGAATCCAATTGTGCCCAACCCAAAAAAAACGGAAGTGCCACACCAATCCTTTTTTTGGGGGGGAAATTTTAGTAATAGGACAGGAAGAAGGGATTATATATATATATATAGATACATGTGTGTATATGTGTATAGTATAGGTATCAACTCTTCCATTGTACAGGAATAGTTTGTTTAACCCATGAGTATCATACCTAACAAGTCTGATTCTGGATTCACATTGATTGGTACAATGATTTGAACCGAAAACAGCGGTGAGTCTGTGGCTGTGCATCCAACCGCCTGGCATGATGACGAGTCTGGTGTGTCAACTACCATCCAGACATGCCAACGATCCCTAATATATCACCATTATATCCTCATGAATATCCCGATTACATCCCATTCAATTCATTAAAACCCCATGAAGATCCCATTAAAATCACATTAAATCCCATAAAATTCCCATTAAATCTCATGAAAAACCCATTAAATCATCAAAATCCTATTAAACCTCATAAACATCCCATTACATCTCATCAAAATCCCATTAAGATCCATTAAATCCCATTAAATCTCATAAACATCCCATTAAATCTCATCAAAATCGCATTAAGATCCATTAAATCCCATTAAATCTCATAAACATCCCATTAAATCTCATCAAAATCCCATTAAGATCCATTAAATCCCATTAAATCTCATAAACATCCCATTAAATCTCATCAAAATCGCATTAAGATCCATTAAATCCCATTAAATCTCACTAGTTTCTCCCATGAAACGCCCACATCCCCTTGAATCGTCAGGTGGCGAATCCGAGACGTTCGACACAGCCAGGAAGTTCATGCGGCTGGAGGCTTTTTGGGAGAAGGATGGTGGCCCCATTTTTGGTAGTCAAACATGGCTGGAAAATCATGGAAAATCCTGTGAAAGATGGTGATTTGATGGGATTTACCTATGACAAAGACTGAGAAAAAACCGGGGTTTAATGCGGGATTCTTTCCAGGGAGACCTCCATTGAGTTCGGGGGATTTACCAGATTGCCATTGGACTTTCATTGGTATGATTAGTGTCGTTGCTGACATGTGTTCTCCTTTCATGTGATTTTCATCCGAGGCATCACCATCTCCATCTTCCGGACAGAAGCTCAGACGGCCACAAGCCCAGTGAGGGACTGGCCCGCAATGTCTTCAACGATGGAGGATACCCTCTGGTAATTTAACATAGCTATGGAAAATCACCATTTTTAATGGGAAAATCCACTATAAATGGCAATTTTCAATAGCTATTTTGACATAACCAGAGGGTAATCGATTACTTGTTGATGATAGCTCCATGTGTCAACCATACGACTGAGATGCTGACGATGACGATGACGATGACGATATGGTGATGATCCGATGAAGCCACCCAGACCTGGATCCCAGGTGCTGCAAGTTTCCGACTGTAGAGGTGGGCTTGAAGTTATGTCATCCTTTCTGTTAAAATCCTTAACCAGAATTTCTGGTTACTGGCTTTTCTGATTATACATTAATATACATTATAACACATTGTAACGTTGTTGTGCTATGTTGGAAAAACGGAAGTTGCAAAGAAATTTGTCAACTCGTTGCGAGGCAATATATGATGTATCTATTTGTATTTATGTGTAACCAAGGTAATCCATGTTGCCAAAAAATATAGTAGTTGTATACTAATGCACTATATATAAGTGCCGGGCAACGTTGCCAGGAGATGCAGAGAGCAAGTCCCAGACTGAGGTGGCACCGCTGCCGGTGTTTGGAAAAATGGGATTTTCCATGGGCCCCATAGCCTCCAACAAGGTGGTGCCCCCCCAGTTATAAGTTGGCTTATGAACCCCATTAACTATAGTTATATTTCCCATAAGCCCGACTTTAGCAAGTTATGTGCGTCAACTTAGCTATGGGGCAGCACCTTGAAGTAGATCCAAGTAGCAACTTTTCCATGGGACATCATGGGAAACACAGTGATAATCCTCTAGATTATTATAGGGCGCCCTATTTATCAGACAAACCCATATGATGATGGGGATATAGTGTTAGTAAAGCAACGCCATAAACCATCCATATGGAATTGAATGATGGGTTTTCCCCACTACCACCCCAAAAAATGGTAAATTTTGGGATGATGGATCCTATTGCTGTACTAACATAAATGGGGACATATAGGGGATATGTGATGATATACGGTTATACGTGTATAATTCTGAGTTATGGGAATGTAATGCGAAATGTATGGAAATGTCACTATAATATATATTATAATAACTTATTATAACATATATAAATGACATGGTTATCAACGATATGATAAAAGGATATGCCCGAATATTAGGGATTTAACCCCATCTTTATTCTGTGTGGACTTACTGATGATTAACCAATTGATGGAATGGGGTATCCTATTCTCAGACAAACCCATAGAAGCCTAAAGAAACGTAAATATTACATAAAGGATTAATTCGGGATCTAGATTCGTTAGAATTGCATCAGCTACCTGTACCTATAGCTATTTGATGCTATTTGCACACCTCAACACATGAACAATGGTGATTAGCCTTCACATTGTACTGCAACTGTTGCAACCCCCACGGATGTCAATGTTTCGCCCAGCAAGGCTGTGTGGTCTCAAAAGGCCCTGCTGTGGCCGTGGGTAGTCTTACCGCAGCTGCTGGGTAGATGATAGCGGATATGGTGACTGACGTGAAGGATGGTGAATTGGCCAGAGGAAGTTGCTTTGGGTCTCCTAATTGCTGTATCCCCTCACCTTGCGTCCTAAGTAATGCGCAAGCTGAAAAAAAATGGAAGCTCCATGTTTTTCAGCACTGCTTTGATGAACCGCACTGTCTATCCAAGTGATGCTGGGAAGCAGGTACCACTGATGGTTCCACAGATTTCCACAGCATGCAATCTCTGGAACGTGACGGACGTGCTCCAGGTTGAAGTGAAACTAAGCCGGGTCGGCATATCCTTGATCCTGGCGCCGGTCGAGCCGGAAAGCCCAACGGATTTTTAGCTGGGGATTGTTCTTGGATGTTCTTGGGAAAATGGGAAAGTCCAAGGATTTTTTCCTTGGAAACTTTAGAAGTTGGCAGTTAGATAATGTGTTAGATTTTCGAGATCCTAGAGATTCAATGTGTTGTGAGGGGTCCAAGGTGGCAAAAGGTGGCAAATGATGGTTGAACAGTTGAACATGAACAAAATGTTTCCATGTAGACATATATGTAGACTAAATGCAGATTTTAGGAACCCAAACTTTTGATAGAACTAGACGACGGATAGCCCGAGAGCGTAGAGGAGCAGGGTCTTCTCTTGTTAGTATGGAGACACAATTTTACAAACAATATATGAAAGATGTGTTATAGGCAGTCGAGAAGAGGAGTAGCAAGACAAAATAGTGAGAAGTGCAAGACAATAGTTTGCATCGCAAACACTTTTACACACAGACGCTTTTACACACAAAAGCTTTTACACACAGAAGCTTTTACACACAGAAGCTTTTACACAGAGGCTATTACACACAAAGCTTTTACCCACAGAAGCTTTTACATACAGACGCTTTTACACACAGATGTTTTTACACACAGACGCTTTTACACGGACACTTTTACACACAGACACGTTTACACACAGACACTTTTACACACAGACCTTTTTACAGACAGGAGCTGCTTTTACACACAAACGCTTTGACACACAGAAGCTTTTACACATAGACGCTTTTACACACAGGCACTTTTACACACAAACACTTTTACACACAAACACTTTTACACACAGACGCTTTTACACGCAGACGCTTGTACACACAGAAGCTTTTACACACAAACACTTTTACGCAGAAACACTTTGACACACAGACGCTTTTACACACAGACGGCTTTACACACAAGCGCTTTTACACACAATCACTTGCACACACAGACGCTTTTACACAGAGGCCGGCCCATGTAGTCACAGCGAAGTCATCGTTGTCGTGGCGACCTCAGCAATCCGACGGGTGGTGTGGCGAAGTCCTATTTCCATGTGCCTCGAAACCAGCATGTATAAACATGTCATGCGGGCTATGTGCTTTGGGGCCCCCCAACCAAGGTGGTTTGCCATCTCTTTTACACCGCTTTTACACAGAGACGCTTTTACACACAGACACTTTTACACACAGACACTTTTACACCCAGAGACTTTTACACGCAGACACATTTACATAAACACGTTTACACACAAACATTTTTACACACAAACACTTTTACACACAGACACTTTTACACACAGAAGCTTTTACACACAGACGCTATTACACACAGATGCTTTTACACGCAAAAGTCTACACACAAACAGTTTTACACACAAACACTTTTACACAGAGACGCTTTTACACACAGAAGCTTTTGCACACAGACGCTATTACACACAGACGCTTTTACACACAGACTCTTTTACACACAGACGCTTTTAGACACATCGCAATTTTACTTCAGTTTTTGGCGATCCAACCTCATTTCGTGCGAAAGGGACATGCGACAGGGTTGCGCGGGACAAGTTGAAATCGCAATTTCACCTCAGTTTTTGCCGATCGAACCTCACTTTGTGCGAAAGGGTTGCGCCGGACCACTTGAAATCGCAATTTCACCTCAGTTTTTGACGATCGAACCTCATTTCGTGCGAAAGGGTTGCGCCGGACCACTTGAAATCGCAATTTCACCTCAGTTTTTGACGATCGAACCTCATTTCGTGCGAAAGGGTTGCGCCGGACCACTTGAAATCGCAATTTCACCTCAGTTTTTGACGATCGAACCTCATTTCGTGCGAAAGGGTTGCGCCGGACCACTTGAAATCGCAATTTCACCTCAGTTTTTGACGATCGAACCTCATTTCGTGCGAAAGGGTTGCGCCGGACCACTTGAAATCGCAATTTTACCTCAGTTTTTGACGATCGAACCTCATTTCGTGCGAAATGGTTGCGCGGGACAAGTTGAAATCGCAATTTTACTTCAGTTTTTGACGATCGAACCTCATTTCGTGCGAAAGGGTTGCGCCGGACCACTTGAAATCGCAATTTCACCTCAGTTTTTGGCGATCGAACCTCATTTCGTGCGAAAGGGTTGCGTTTCGTGCCGTCTCGTTGCCACTGCCTCTGCTCCCGCCTTCAAGAAAGAAATAGAAAAGAGAGGGCAAGAGGGCAAGAGGGCAAGAGGGCAAGAGGAGAAGGTGTGAGATGAGAAGATGAAGAGAAGATGTGAGAAGATGTGAGAAGATGTGAGAAGATGTGAGAAGATGTGAGAAGATGAGAAGATGTGAGAAGATGTGAGAAGATGTGAGAAGATGTGAAGATGAGAAGATGAGGAGAAGATGGGAGGATGAGAAGATGTGAAGATGAGAAGATGTGAAGATGAGAAGATGTGAAGATGTGAAGATGAAAAGATGAGAGGATGTGAAGATGAGAAGATGTGAAGATGAGAGGATGTGAAGATGAGAGGATGTGAAGATGAGAAGATGTGAAGATGATAAGATGTTTTACAGGCCCCCACTATTGGAAGAACCCTGCGCTCAGACGCTCTCGGGAAAAAACTGAGACTTGCTGACATCCTCATATGATCTCGAGCCACCTTGAAGATTTGCATGTCAGAGCCATTGTGGCCCTGAGGTTGTTCTATGCCCAGCTGGAAGTCATTCGTTTGGAGTTGCGCCAAGGCAGGGGGTGAAGCTTCCAAACCACCTTCCAGGGGTTTTACGGTATACCAATATGCTTGGGGCAAATTCCAGTGGCAGTGGGACACACTTTCGCAATAGCAATGTAACATGTGTTGATTTACTATGATACGAGTTGATCCTTTGATGTTGGGTTCTTTGTCGCTGTACTGAATTAGAGGATGGGACATGGTGTTTTGGCCAAAAAAAACTTTCCCAAAATTACATAAAATGAGTAGCGTGGTTCCCCTCACAATATTTTGTCTAATTTTGTCTATTTTGGCAACCTTTCTGCGATGTGAATAGAGCTATGTCAGGATGAAAGGACACCCACGCACGTGATCAGTTAAAACCGTTATGAGTCAAATGGCTGCATCAACCTTGCAAGTTAAGTTAGGGTTTCAATGATGGTAGGCTCAAAGGTCAACCATGATCAACCCTATGTTTGGTGTATTCTTTCAACATTCCCCAAATGGCAAGGCTGGGTATAGGCTGGGTCAATTGGTATTCCATCAGCATCGTCAGGTTCAGCAGAAGCCCAACAGCTGCGCTTGTCTGTGGCAGCCGCTCAGGTGGTCCCCAGTTGGTGGATGGTGGATGGATCTTCGGGGTGGAACGAGGATCTTCCAATCATCCTTTTGGGATTCCATAATTCAATCATTTACCCTCTGGTAAACTAAACTGACCATGGAAAATCACCATTTTTTATGGGTAAATCAGCTATAAATGGGCCATTTTCAATAGGGTAGGTGGTATTTGGCAAAGACCTGGAACCCAGGCGTCTGAAACTGCTATCCTTCGAGGTGGATTGTCAGCTCTCCAATCGTGTGGATGCCAGGAATGGTCAGGGACTTGTCCGGTTCAGCCGTGGTTTCAACGGTATCTCCCGGCGCTGATCAACAACTCTATGTTTTCTATGTGTTCACCACCAACATTGGCCAAACCCTGGTATTAGATGCCCACTATATATATAATTATATATATAATAATAATACTAATAATAAATATAATAATAATAAATAATAATAATAATAATGAATATAACGATAATAATAATAATAATAACAATAATAAATATAATAATAATAAATATAATAATAATAAATAATAATAATAATAGATATAAGAATAATAGTAATAATAATAATAGATATAATAATAATAATACGCCAGGCCCCTTGTGTTGCCCGGAGATTTACAGGGACGTTCTTGGCATGTTGATGATGATGATGATGATGATGATGATGATGATTGAAGATCTTCAATGAATGTAAGAGGTTAACGGAGTTGGGAGAATTAAACCCTTATTGAAGATCTTCAATGAATGTAAGAGTTTAACGGGGGTGGGAGAATTAAATCCTTTTTGAAGATCTTCAATGAATGCAAGAGTCTAACGGGGGTGGGAGAATTAAACCCTTATTGAAGATCTTCAATGAATGTAGATTTTTAATGGGGGTGGGAGAATTAAACCCTTATTTAAGATCTTCAGTGAATGTAGAAGTTTAACGGGGGTGGGAGAATTAAACCCTTATTGAAGATCTTCAATGGATGTAAGAGTTTAACGGGGGTGGGAGAATTAAACCCTTATTGAAGATCTTCAATGAATGGAAGAGTTTAACGGGGGTGGGAGAATTAAACCCTTATTGGAGAATCTTCAATGAATGTAGAAGTTCAATGGGGGTGGGAGAATTTATATGAGATGTATAGTGTGAACAAAAAATCCTTGTAATTTACGCTATTATGGGCTTGGGCAACACAAGGGGCCTGTGGGTAATAATAGTAATAATAATAATAAATATAATGATAATAATAAATATAATAATAATAAATATAATAATAATAAATATATTATTATATTATTATTGTTATTATTAATATTATTCATATTATTCATTTTATTATATTATGGATATCCACATGTCCACGAATATCGCTGTTTGCTGTTTAGTCACCACTCAGACCTGAGGTTTCGGTCGCTCCCTACCAGCCCGATCAGTACTACCGGTGGGTGCCTCATGCCAGGACTATGGATACTATGGATAGGTTGATAGGGGCATTGCTTGGAAGGCTGTGGAGTTGATAGGAATCCACTGATTCTTCGGGAAGACTCTAACCATCCTGGACCTGGTCGCATCATTTCGCATCCGAAATCAACTGAGGCAATGATCTTTGCCAATCGCGGGGATGGAGGCTTTCTGGGGGTCGGAATTTCTTCCTGCTTTTGCTGTCAGGAGATTGATGGCATAAACATTGGCAGGTGTGGTCTCACGCTCCCCTTTGCTAAAGAACGTATTTGACCAATTGTAGTGACGATGAGGGTCACTGGTTGAACATCGTCTAGTTGACAGATTTTGATACTTCCTTAGCCCATGTAGGCCGAGCTTTTCTGAGTCAGAAGCCTCAGCAACTGGCGCGGTCAGACACCTTCGCACTAGCATTTATTGGGATAAGGGAGAATCCTTTGCAAGAAGTAAATTGCACATACTGTTGCACGAATTAGTGGCTCTATAATACATATTTATATATTATACATATATATATATATATTATATATATATATGTGTGTATCTATAATTATACTGTATATATATATATATGAAGTAAACAATAAACCCATTGACATTCCAGGGAAGAATCACCATTGCTAGCATTGAGTATTGGTATGCTACTGACAGGTATGTAACCATGTGCTTTGGTGAAAAGTATGTCTTGAACATTGGATCGGGCCTGAAGAAAAGGTACCCTGTCCGCTGCAGCTGTCAAAAGGTCGAGTCTATATAGTTATTACCATCTCGCGCCACGCAGTTTGCGCGATGATGTGGCAGATGGTCTCATTGCTGCTGGTGCTGGGTGCAGCGGAGGAGTCACAGGAGCCGTTGCGATGTAGCGAAATTACGTCGTGCAATGAATGCTTTCGAAGTGGATGCTTCGGCTGGTTCCGTGGCTAGAGGTTCAGGGGAGGAATGATGGGTCGGGAGTGAAGATGCTGATGGGTTGAGCATGGTTTAGCGGTTTTGAATCTTATAGCAGCCAATCAGTTTCATGTTGGAACCTTTACCATTAACAAAATATGACATTAATTCAATATGATGAAGAGACTACAGGATGGTGCCCCCAAGACAGCTAAGTTGGTTTATAAACCCCATGAACTATATAGTTATATATCATTATATATCTACCATAAACCATATAGTTGAGTCACTTATAAGGCAACTGAATCGGGGCTCCATCCCAAGGTTTGGCTCCGAGTGCTGCTCGAAGGATATGTGCCTCATGGCCATACAAGGCCGAAAAGATTGCTGCGGAGAGTTGGTGATGGTTGTACCGATATACCATCTGGTTATTTAACATAGCCATGGAAAATCACAATTTTTAATATGAAAACCATCTATAAATGGGCCATTTTCCATGGCTATGTTAAATAGCCAGATGGTACCATGAAAAAGGCTAACCCAGACAGCTGGGAAAACACGGTAAGCTGTATATACACTATGGATCACTATGGTAAGATACCATGGTAAGCTGATGCAACAGCAGGTATATTGGGGCTCATCGGCTCATCTCATCCGGGGTTGCAACGCATCACGTCAAACCTGGAGCTGCGACTAGTTCATCCTCATTGCTCGACTTTCTCTCAGATTCCACATGTCACATATCACAACCTGTTCAAGAGCTATCTCCCCTCCAGCTCTCCCAGAATTAGCATCTCGGGATAAGTTCCGCAGATGGGCGCAGCCCAAATGTTTCCTGCTTCAGAACCTTCATGCCTTCAACATCTTGAAACTTCCAAAGCAAAACAATACAATAGTTAATCAATAGTTACAATAATGTCAAGTTAGGATTCATGAATCCCCAGTAAATATATAACCCATAGGATCCATGGTGCTGGTATATATACTAACATTGGGGGTATATTGATGGGATCCATGTTACCATATATAGCAGCACCATGGATCCTATGGGTTTTGCCTCTTTGGATCCAACAGAAACCTTCAGCGAAACAGTTCGCAAGGCGATCGGCAGTTCTTCCAGAGTTGCGACGAGTGGAAACGCCATGAGGACGGCGCGCGCAGGTGATTCGGTGGACTTGGAAACTTACCAACATCACCGTTTGGATGGGGGGGTGTATAATAAAGTGTAATAGTATGTGATTTGTAATAATATGTGATAATATGTCATAATATGTCATAATATGTCATAATATGTCATAATATGTAATATGCATTATAATATGTATTAATTATGTATTAATATGTAAATGTAAAAATGCCATATTTAGGGTTGGCGGACTAGATTGCAAGCAGAATTATATAATGAGATGGGAGTGCTAACAAGCAATATCCAGCAATCAGATGAGGATATTTACTGTCAATGTAGTACAATAGAACTGTATGGGTTTTGTCCAGACATGTAAGATGTGCCGTCCATGTTGGAAATGGTATTTTAAACCATGCGGTTTTGGGATACCCTATTTTCATAGCCTTTTTTTGTCACCGATTCTGTGAAATCACGTCCACAATATCCACAATATGATATGTGATTCTTGAAGGCTTTTGATCCATAGCATGCAGATGATGTTTCTCATGATTTGTTTCATCCTTGTCGCATCCAATGCAGGATCAGGTGCAAGTCTGCTCCGGCATGCAGAATGATGTCTGCGGTTGTTTGGAGGCCATGGATGCCACGGGATGGTTGTTGATGGTTGAGCACCTGGAAATAAGGCATGCCACCTGGGAGCCCACATACTGGGGTCACCCTAAAAACGTGACCAACATGCATCGGAATTTTATGCCACCTGGAATTTTATGCCATCAAAATGCATCAAAATGCATCAAAATGCATCAAAATGCATCAAAATGCCACATGCTGGAAGAGTGACAGCGAAGAAATCGATCAAATCGTTTTGTTTTAACCTGCCCACAGCCATTAATTGATGGGACATGATTGGACAGGCCGGCTGCGTAGCACAGGAAGTGTCGGTGGCGTCCTCAGTTGGGGAATGTAAGTGACAATTGCCTTACAGGAACCTTCACGTCGAGCTGCAAAAACCGTTGTTTCTTGTGAAGCAATCCAGGTGACCCGACAGTCGTTAATTGTGACTCCTCAGTTTCTGATCTAAGCGGCCTGGTCGAGTGGCTAGGTTTCGAAATGAAGGACGGTACCTCACTTGATCAAGTAACTTCACCTCTAGCTATACAGCTGGTAATGCTGTAATCCCATGGGAAACCCACAATTGACAACCCAAAATGTTACCATAAATGAGAGGCAAAACAATCCCCAAATGAATCACCAAGGACTCCATTGCCTGCTTTGCTGCATATCAACCAGCAGCTGGCGGGCAAATTTTCGCACAAGACGTGCATTCCGAGTGTGGCAAGGAGTGGAGCTGGTATAGAGTTGATCCGATTTTGCCGAGGGTAGGTCAGCAGATTGTGGGAAACATGTTTTATTTCCTCCCAGAAACGGACCATTCCATGCCATTCCCCTGGACATGTCACCGGGGCAGGAGATGGAAGGCACAGAGTTGCTTCCCTAGGCGTGTGGATCCAGGGCATTTGGGTGAATTCGTGGCTAATGGGCAGCACCAAGCATGATGGGAGATAGCCAGTACTTGCCAATAACGATTGTTGTCTAGGTATGGTATGGTATGGTTATGAAATGTTATGAAGACACAGATGTATATCTAGTCTTTGGATTATTTATGTTATTTCGTTGGTGGGTCAGTGGGTCATAGCAGTTCTTGATATTTTCTTGGGAGGACGGCGACTCCACTTGACTAGTTTTGAGGTGGGTTGATTTCACCCATCAGTCATGATAGTCCGTACTTAGTCTAAGATCACAATTGCAAGAACGTCATGGGAATGAGGTGCAGTCATGTAACCATATGTATGATTCAGTCAAGTAAATAAGTTGTTTATCAGCAACAGGATGCACACCTCATGTTGGACACAGACAGCTTGATGTCACTGTCATCTCACTGGCGTGTCCCATTTTGCCCGCGGCTTGAAAGGACGGTCTGGGACCTGAGCGTGGGCTGCTAGAAGATGGGATGTGCCTGAAATAAAAATAGGTTGAAGGATGTTGAAGGCAAAATTGATTGTATTTCACTGTGTTGTGTTGTATTGTAAATGATTGTAAATGTCTAGTCGAAACATCCCGCTGTAGGTAGTCGCTTTAAAGACTTTACCAGCAAATGTGCGAGGCACTGCAACCTGTGCAAAAGCTGCAGGGGTCCTGCAATCTCGCAAGCGTGTCACCTTGCTCGAGCAGGTTTTTGCATACTGTTCGGGTCCCTTCTGAATTCATGGATGATCATGGATGTACAGTTGATAGTTGGGTGTGTCTCAATTGCCTGTCCATATTCTTGCAGATTTCTGGCCAACAGTTTCATGCATCAATGGCTGCCTTAGTGACAGAAGTCTTTGAGACACAGTAGGGCAATTTCACGTCAGTGTTGACAGCTCAACAAGGGCGTCAAGTTTGAAGGTAGAGCGACAAGACAGGTTTGATGACAGAAGCCGCTTGTGCTCCCAGAAGTAGCAGACGGCATCCCTTTCAGGACATGAAAACATGCGAAACATGGGGCAGCATGGCATTTGGGCACGCCCCGCTGAGGTCTCTACATCCAGAGGGCATCCACTTCCCAAGATTGGGTGCGCCCTGCGGCACTTAGGGAAGGCAAGATGTCTAGAAGATGTGCTTGTCAAGGACCATGGATCTTCACAAAGCTTGGGAGTCATGTGCGCCTTGGTATTTGGCTGATAGAAAACGTTGCTTCAGTAAGGCGAGCATGCCAAAGGGAACATGGAAAAAGACAAAAGTTCTTGATTTCATTTGCCACTGCACCTTTGATAGTAATATAATATAATATAATGTAATATATTTTGATGATTTTTGTTGGATCCGATATGTTTCAAAGGTAGCTTAGCTTATCTTCGCTTAAGCTTCCCATGTTTCCGACGTTGCAAGAATCCTGTTTCGGGGTCATCCTACCGCCATGCATGGGGAAGTTTGGGCGTTATGGGCTGTTTGCGGTTCATGTATTTTAGGTTTGGGTAAGGACTCACAACAAAGTCAGCTGCAAAGTAGTGTCCGTGATCCTTTGTTTTTTGTTTTTTTGGTCTGTGGGTTGTCGAACAAGCTTTTAGACTTGACTGAATCTCGTAAGGCCCAGTGTAGGTATGACAGCCAGCAGCACAAGCAGTGAGCGATCATAACCCTTGGATGGCAGATGGTAGCGAAGCATCGCCATCCTTTGCCGTGATCACCAACTTCGATTCCAACTATGAGGTTGGCTTCCAATGTGCAGCTTGGCTGGCTGTCCGCCCGGGGGCCACAAAATTGGAATTGCCCATTGGGAAGTGGAAGAACCAAAAACAAAGGCTGGGAAAAGCATGCAGAATCATGTCCGCTCGAAGAATTCCCCGTCCTTCAAACACCACAGCGCGACGTAGCATGATGATGAATGCGATTTTGGGTATTTTAGTTTCCTAAAATGTCCTAAATCAGATGGGGCGGTGCAACCTTGCTGTGGAGAGGACTGACCCTTCACTGGCTTCCCTGGAACCTGAGGCTGCAGTCAATGAGCAGTACTGCCGACGATGGGGGCATGTGTTCTTGCCATGCGTTCTTCAAAAGGAAGAGATGGTGACTTGCTTCGTGGAAAGTGGACCGGAAGAGTGTTCTTCTTAAAAGCGCCCTTTGTTTCCCAACAAGAGTCGGACAGTGTGAGGCAATTTGAGAGTATTCCTTTGCCCCCTTGCTTGGCAGTAATAGTCGGTTCTAGTTCCCGCCCTTTTGTATGGTACACAAACATGGATTAAGGCAGTTGCAAATGTGCCGGGTTTGGTGCAGATTGCGGATGATATGATGCATCTTCATGAAGATTCTGGTTTTCCCGAGCGTGATCGAGATGTTGTAGCCCCCTGCCCTTCCCAAGCGTCCATCCAATGTTCGTGGGGGCTCAGGAAAGCATTTGCGAGGGTCGTCATTTTGCTTGGGCCAAAGTTGCACCTTGGCAATGTCAATGACCACACCTGCCTGGCATGGTGAAGTTGGTTATGTTCTTTTTGTGAGCAGGTCATGGGTGGCAATGGTGGGACTATGTGGGACTTGTCTTGTGTGTTTTCAAGATTTTTCAAGAGTTGCAGTCCAAGATGCAATCAGTGCTGAAAAAAAAGAGAACATAAATGGCAAAACATGAGAGTATCATATATAATCAATTATAATCATATATGGAAATAACGAACCAGATGCCATCTATAGTGTGTCCGGTCACAAGATGCATTCAAAAGTGAGGAGGGGATAGTTTTAGTCGGTGAAGTAAGGCCAATACCATACCCCGCGGTTGTATTTGGATTTTCCTTCACACCTGAGGGTTAGCCATGGCCAGCCTAGATTACCAGGGATTAGCCATAGCCACCCACCATGACATGGAGAAATGTGCTTTCACCACATTTTTTGGCTAAATCTGCATGCCAGTTGCTTGAACAGCCTATTTTAATCTATTTTAGTTGGTCACAATCCCCAAATTTTCCAATTTTCATTGATATTTGGATATATTTGGCACATTTTGGCACCTCGTATGCCGACTAAGGCCCTATTCTCCTGGCTTTTCACCCCACATCGGTGCTCTTCAGCCTGCCATCGGGTCTTTGGGCGTTGGCTCCAAGAGGAGGCCATGGAGAGGAATGGGGCTGGTGACTGAAAAAACTGGTTTCAACTAATCCCATAATAAGGCATACTAAACTATATAAAACTATATAAAACATATAGAATAATATAAGAAATAGCTCCAAAATAAACAGAATGTAAACAGAATGTACTGAGATTAATTTTGAAATTAGCCAATATTTAATTTTAATTTGAAATACTCAATATATAAATATACAAAGAGATCCAGTACTCAACCAGACTTGGGGGGATATTTAATATCGGAGCGAAGGGATTGCCAAAATGTGTCAACCATAGACGTAGGACGATCGCCGAAACCAAAGATGTTTTGAGTTTCAAACCACCAACTAGTTGTTCAAGATGGAATTGACCCTGAACAGATGATTTCCTTATTCTATTTATAAATACCAGTATATGCAAGAAATGATGTTATGAACCTGGCTGGTTCTCATGGTTTCCCGACTTGTTGCCATGTTGGCAGCTGGGATGGATGGCTCCAAAAGATGATGCCCAACCGGCCCAACCCGAAAACAGTGGGATCAACAAAGAAAATGATTGGATTTTGGTAATGGAAATGAGTTTGGGATTACTTTTTAAGATCACCAACCCGCAGATTCCTTTTTATTAATGCTGCGTTCGGTATGCCCAAGTTTGACCCATAAAAACTTAAATAAGAACTGACTTTGGGAGGGCTGCTGCCAACAGTGTTTTGTTGAATGTTGATGTTGTCCCTTGTCGTGTTCGGGTAAAGATAAGCCACTGGAAACAGTCCCATGAATGATAATCATCGGATTCACAAGGCTGTTTTCGGCTGTCCTACCGCCACAAGTTAGGTCGTGTTTTTTTTATTCCGTTGAACAGTATGTAAATCCTACGTGAGGATGTGCAACAGATGGAGAAAAACATCATGATTTCCCACATGCCCCTGGGCCCCTTTTCCCTTTGTTTCTGTGCCAGGAAAGAAAGGCCCTGTTAAAATCAGTGGACTACTTGGCACCTTGACATTTGGATGTTGACTTTCAGTGGGTGACTTCAGGACGATATTACCCTCTGGTTATTTAACATAGCCATGGAAAATGGCCCATTTATAGATGATTTTCCCATTAAAACCTCCATTTATAAGGGATTTTCCATGGCTATGTTAAATAACCCGATGGTAGTGTCTTAAATCATAAAGCACCTCTAAAATCATCTAAAATCTATAAAGCTGGGATGCCCTTTCCAACCCCATGATCAAAAATTTGATGCCTAGAAATGATCCCAAAGAGGGGTGTAGCGAATGACAAACTGCGATTTTCCCTGGTCCACTCCCAGCTTCTCAAGGGTTGACCGTTGACCCCAAATTTATTATCGATTATATATGAGCTTGATGAGCTTGATTATGTTTGATTGAGTTTGGTCTTAAAATCCCATAATTATCCCACATGTATCCCATGTATCATGCTTAAACCCCTATTCCCAATGTAATGAATAAAGATTGTTGATTATAATATATTATAATAGTTATTATACAGTTGGTTTCAAATTTGAGATATCCCATGATTGTCCCATTTCTTACAGGTTAAATGCTTCATTTTATCATGTTCCATGGATAAAGCGTCCCATTTCCTGCGCCGAGGTTTGGATCGACGGTGATGCCATGGTGCTGGACCACGGCCGTGCGTTGAAGGACTTCGTCGCGGGGCGCTTCCGCAGGAGCGGTGGAAAAAATCATGGCGGCTGGGAGCGAAAAACGGTGACTTAGAGAAATGGATAGAAATGGTGCCATAATGGGATTTAATGATGATTTTTCTGGGCGCTTCATGTTGTATGTGTTGTTTTTCTTGCTGTGATCGATAGAGGTAACGTCACAATGCCCAGATGAAGATTGATTGGTATGAAGGGTATCTTAGAGTAGCATAGGTTGACATGGCAAAAGGGCAACCATGGCGCCCATGGCAGTGTGGCCAATTTCACCAGCACTGGTTGAAATCGGATTTGCCAGTTGGAGGTATCATGATCCTCTCCAAATCACCAGGAAGGCACTCGTCCTCGCCGAAGACATGTCTTGGGCGGATTGCTTGAATACAGGCGCCCTAGAACCAAGTGGGATACCTTCGGTAACCCAAAGATGCTAGTGGTTCTTCCTATAGAAAATGGACATAATCTGTGGTTTCTTGGGGGAGTTGCCAAGTTTGATCTGCAGTCAACAGATCTCGTTATGCCCAGGAGGAGCTATAAACGAGTTTTACCGCACGGAAAGATATGGCATGGTTTTACTTTCAAAAGGTTTGGAGGCAACTATGGCCCCAGCATTTTCCATCCATTTCTAACTGGGGTGACTTATTTGTTGTTTTTCTGTGATTCTGTGTGTTTTGGTCAATCGCTAGAAAAAAATGATATGCTGTACTCCAGTTGAAGGGCATGTTCCAGTCCAGGTTGGAATATGTTGGAATCACCAAGCAGGCCAACCATTTGAAGAGCCCCATGATCCACCGGAATGGTCAGAACGCTCCGACCTTTTTGGAGGTACTTTTTTGGTCCATTGCACTAGTGTAGTGTAGTGTCGTGTAATGTAGTTGTGTAGTGTAGTGTGTATATATATATATACATATATGTTTATATATGGTATTCGTGGGTGTAGTGTAATGTGTAGCCATCATGTTCCACGTCCATTAGTGCAACATTTCAGTGTCATTGCTCGTGAGCTGAAAATTATCTAGCCTCCATTGAGCAATTCTGCGAGTGATTTACCTTATCTTATCCATTATCGATCAGTCATAACATTGCCAATCTTGTCCATTGAGCTAATATGCTTTATTGGTTCCTGAGCTATTAGTAAGGTGCTGTATTGGTTATTAATGCCTTTATAATCCTATCTGGTTGGTGGTTTGGACCATGTTTTAATTTTCCATAATATATATATATATATGTATATATATGGGATAATCCTTCCCATTGACTAATATTTTTCAAGAGGGTTAAAACTACCAACCAGTATATATATATATATATAGCCAATATGTCCAATATCTCTGATTAATTTGCATCACGTTCTTCGCGACGCGCCAGGCGTTTTTTTCGCACGCACGGACTCGGACTGGCTGAGCAGCCTTTGGGCTGATACCTGGAATGGATCCCATCAGCGCTTTCACCAGGTGCACGGGATATCCATAGATATTGATATTGATGTATGCATCTATGAAAAACTGCATCTGATTGTACCTATAATTGTTATTTGTATAATATATTGTTATGCGGCCATATGTAATATATATATATATATATGTACATATGCATAGACGCATACATATTACGTGTGCACATAGGCCAATTGCTTTGATTTTCCATCCCTGGCTGATTTGGACGGCTCCTGACATTGCTGGGAGACATCCAAATTATTTAAAGCAGCTGGCAACCTGCTGCGTGTGTCTAGTGGCTTTATGACCCAGCCCATGTTCAAAGATGTTCTTTTTCTGCGGATTAGTTGAACAACAGAAGGGATAGGCATGGTTACAGTAAGCTGTCTTTTCAATCAATAATTAGGTCAGTGATGATGAGTGGTGTGTACCAGACTGGCACCCCTAGTTTTTTTCCCACTATAAGACATTGTTGGTCATATCGGGACAGATCAAAACCTATTGCACATTGAAAAACCATATCTGTTGGATCAAAAACCATTTACCAACATTTTGGTTATTCACTAAGCTGCCAGGATTTTGACTCATAGACATATCTTTGTTTGGCTCCGTTGAAGGCATATACTGTAACTTCCCAAATCCAGGTCCGGGCTATTCGTGACAGGCACCTTTTTGGGATCAGAGCGGCTTGTGTCAAGAGCTGGCCAAGCGTCGCGAGTTTTTGCCACAGGTGGGACGGAATTGGAGGACTTAGCCATCTTATAACCCAGATATATGTCGGGTATACCCTGTTTGATGGGTGGGTGATTAGCCACTTACGATTGCTGGCATGCACTTGCAAGATCTTGGAAGCAATGGTGATTGTGAAACCAAAGCCACTAAGCAATCCCAATCAAGATTTGCTTGCTCTGGGGCCATTCCGAAGTGATGTGAAGCCATGCCCTCAATTCATAGCAAGCGACAGCTTGTTCCGCTTTGGACAGGTGCTGGGTGCTATGCCAACAGGATTGTCTGCGAAGACTCCTTGGTTTAGCTGGATGGGAGGTCCTCACTTGAAGGAGACTCCCCAGTTGGGCATTTGGGACAGCGTAGCCAGGTATCGAGGGAAAGTTGGGGTTGGGGTCTCATTTTCCGTAGAGGTCTAGTTCCAAGGGCTGGGACTCTGTGTGTTTTTCGTCATGTGCAGCATCTACCTACCTACCTGCATACCTAATATCTAATTACCTATACATGGCTATATTCCTACATGATTGCTTATAAATACCTGCCACATACCCACCTACCAAAAAACACGCGACACTTGCATGCGTACATGTGCGTGCATATAGTGTGTATGTTTGTGTGTTTGTGTACTCCTTTTGCATATTGGTGGAAAACACCCAATAGTCATGGATTGTTCATGCCCCAGAAAGGTCGCAGCCCAGGCATCTTTGCAGTTCGCGAATCCTTTGCATGCGCAGTTCATTTTGCACCTCTGTGGCTTCTCTGCCAAACTGAAGCTGTGCAGGCCGGATGCTCGGGATGGGCGCTGGATGGGAAAATCCGGAAAACTCTGGCAGGCGGATGGTAAATTCAAGGTAGACTGATGTTATGTTAAACTAATGGTAGATGGATATTGCCATGAGAATAGAACAAAGGTAATTTTGTGTTCCAATGAATGATGGTAAATTGATGATCAATATATTTGATGAAAAATTGATGGTGAACATGATGCTAACATTGGTTTCTGGTAACATTATAGTCTTGAACTGATTCATGGCTGCATTGAGATCCCACAATAGGAATGAGAATTTGGGCCAAGGGAACAGGGAACATGGATATTGTTTCATCAACAAGAACAAGGATTTTACCGGTACACATACTACCAATGTAACTGGGGAAATGCTGGTGGTTTCAAACGCATAGAGATTATACATATGTTTTGTTGTTTAGCTGCATGGCAATCCAGCTTGACTATATCCAGTCGTAGCATTGTGGCGGTTCAAACCATCACCCACTTCTTCAATGCGATCAACACAAAATCCTAACATGAACTAGATGAACTTGGTTCAAAACCACCTGCACTTGAATTGGGTATATAAGCAAGTCTTTCCATAGGGGTACCAAATCTACCAAGTTTTTTGACCCACCGCCTTTTCTCACGCTGCTACCAGCTGCTATCAGGTCCCTTTGTTGCAACGGAGTGTTGCGGAATTTCCGTTTGTCCACTGACGAGTCCGTTGAGCAGCATCCAACAGCGTCGTCAAACCCTTTGTGGAAAGCGGCAGTTCTGCTCCTCAGTTGTACCTCCAGCGGCGATGATTTTCAGGGGACAAAAGGTATGTCTGAGTCCAAACCTAGACCGTATGCCCCAAAATAAGACCATATGAGACAATTTCATTGGAACAATCATGGTTAACATGGTTAACTTACAATCAGCCTTTTTTTGGACAAAGCCACCCACATGCATGTGCTTCCAATGGCTGGGCAGATGTTCTAAGGCACTGCTTGGTGCTTAATGCCCCCTGCATACATTCAATACATGGCACGATTGAAAGTTATGGCTGAAAACCTGCGTTTTCCACTCCCGGGAGTCTTCAAGGCTTCTTGATGGCTGTTCTGAGATGGCAGTTGGCTGGAATGCGTGTGGTCCTGGTGACGGTCATGCCGAAGGACCCTTGGCATGTTGACTTTGGAGGAAAATGCCAGGGCGTTGCTCTCTGGCTTGATGCGGTCCTTGATCGAAATTTGGTCATCGAACATGGCAATGGGAAATCCCCATGTTTCATAGCTGAATATGATATATATAATCACATCTAAATTGTATGAAAATTGTGAATATAAAATGGGAGTGGTCCATTTCCGGAGGTTCAGTTCTTGGTAGTTCTTGCCACCCTAGGCTTCTTCCAGATGTGAAGACACAGTAATTCCACCGTATTTTTAGTGTCCAGCCGATGTGTCGCTGCCTAGGAGGGTGCCTTCAGCCATCAGCTTTGCCTACACCTGAAGATGCTGGGCTGTTCCAGCGCGCATTCAGACCATTGAGATAAATCATCAAAAATACAAGGGATTTAGTGCAATGGCCAGAAGATAATTGTGTGTTTTTTTGGCTATCCATAGACACGCACACAGAACTCTGTATACGTGTCATTCCCCACCTGCCAGGTGAGGGTCTCTAGATTTTATCAGAGGTGCATCCCGCCCTTACCCTTCTTTGCTTTCTCCTTATCCTCGTCCCTCAGCTCCTCAACTGCGAGCGCCTCGCAGTGGGCACCTCCGAACCTCAACCGCGAGCTCCATCTCAGCGCCCATGTCGGAGAGAATGTCAGCGTATATGCCAGAAGGAATGGTCAAATATGATAAATAAATGTATAAATATATAATTATATATGTATATATATCCAATATATACTATTATATACTTCCAGATGGTATGCCAGAATCTATGTCAGAATGATGTGTGTGGATCACTCGAAGAAAGTAATCATTTATTTGATATTTGTTTCTTTTAACTATTACACGCATTTCTTATACAAACATAGTGATATCTCTAGATGGATGGTGTGAGCAACAGCACCTGGAGAGAATGGCACACAGGAGTGTTCGCCAAGGGTCTCATTTGATATGGGACGACCAGCTCAGGAGCTCAGTTGGAATGCGTTGCGATGGCGTTGGGGTCACACCCCGAGCCTTGGAGTTCAAGGAATGGGATTCTTGGGAGAAACAAGGCATGTCTGTTTTGTTGGCATGTGTATATACTGTATATTAGTATATGCATACATTACCGCACATGATTGGACTAAGAAAATATCTACAGACATTTGAACATCTTGCATTTTGGCCATGGCCCCACGTCGAACAGCACTATTGTGCCTCAGGGTGTCGGTTGAGTGCATCGACGCTGACATTCCCACAGCAGAAGGCCGTTCCGAACGATGAATCCCTGTGCTGTTGATCACTGGGGAGGTACCATTTGATAGCTTGGTTCACTGGGGGTATACCAGGGGTATCCAGGGGTTATGGGGGATATAACATGATATACTTGTAGTTAATGGGGAAAACAGCATGATTTTCCGGGATGATCCGGGATGAGCAAAGAATCAGCAGGGGTGATGTATTCATCCGGGGTTGGCATGAATACCCATGGAAAAATGTCAACCCAGGACCGATAACCCCATGTTGCTGCATCTGGATTTATATGGATGATTTTCTCATGACCACACCCAGAATATCCCAGAATCATCACCCACTGATGGATCATTTCTGGTGGGGCACCACTTCCCGAGCCCTTGTTTTTGGTAGACTGGTGCTTTATTCATCCACAGTTGACCAACCAACCAGAACTGCTGATGCAAGGCTTAGGAGGCTTCACCCAATAGGGTCTCGCACAAAGCTGAGTGGATCTTTTTCAGTTTGCAATATGGTACCCTCTGGTAATTTAACATAGCTATAGAAAATCATCATTTTTAATGGGAAAATCAACTATAAATGGCCATTTTCAATAGCTATGTTAGTTTACCAGAGGGTAAACATGATCTGTTTTGCCTCTCGAAGCCATTCAATGTAGTTCTGTCTACCCACTTCTCTAGGCTTCGTTGTATTCTTGAAGTTTGCCCTGAATTTTGTACCACTGGCTCGGTAGGTTATGTTAGCTATATATATATATATTGTACTATACATATAATTATAAATATATAGTATATATTTTATATATGCTATACATCGGCTGAGGGGCAGTGAGCCGAGCTGCCTTGTGGCAAGTCATTGACTATGTCACTGGGACAGCTGTTGTTTCATCGTGGGTATGTGGGAGGATGGCCCAAAAACATCCAAAAACCAGTCGTCTTTATAGAGAAAACGGGTTCCAGGTCCGTAAGTGTGTAAGCAGCACCTATTTGGGGATTATAACTATATAGCATTATATAGCAAGTTTCTAAAGTGGCCAAGGGGGCCTCACGGCACTTTTGATGCTAGGTGTCTTGAGTCAGGAACAGCGTTTCGGTTTGAAATCCTTGAATCACTTGAATTTTCAAGTATCCCGACTCGAAACAGCTGCAAGGAAAGTATAATTAGTTATTAACCCATGTTACCCAGCAAAGCAAACAGCTCACACGGCCGTAGCCACCAGGGGACACCAAAGGCCTCCCGTGCCAGTTTCCACAATCATGATTTTGACGAAACATTTCTATAGGGTTTGCTTTAGCATTCATGTTCAATCAAGAGTTGTTGCCCTTGCAAGCTGTCATGACACTGCGGGCGAAGACAAGATTTTATATATGTTTTCTAATGTGTCTAACCCTTCATCCATCCGTCATGTGCACATTTTCCCCTATGTGTGTTTGGACAGAGTTTGGCACCTCAAATAGTGCCCTAAACCAGCTAATACAGACCAGGCCACATGGCCAACTTAGCGAAGCTTATCCTTGGGTTTGCCACACATAAAGCTGGATGCGTGGGCCATTTTGTGGCCCAAGGTCCGTGGCTTTCCTCCTCCATGTCACCCGCTGCTGGGGAAGTTGTCCAAGGAAATGTTCTGCACACGTCCGGGAGCCCAAAGGAACGAACTGCGGCCAGGTTGTTCTCACACCGGCTGTGTCAGTCCATCCCTATAAGGGACGGGTTAAAACATGTTAACGCCTGTAATCTATGAAGATCCATTTTCCGCACACACACAATATATATATATATATATGCGCAACGCCTGGGCTTTGCCCAGGTGTTGCAGCGTAGAGGTTTCCCATTCCCAAACAAATGTTGATGCAATTTCACAAAATTCCTATGGGAAAAACAACAAAGGTACTAGGGAATTTTAAACTCCCACCCCCATTAAACCTTAAATTCCTATGGGAAAAACAACAAAGGTACTAGGTAATATTAATCTCACACCCCCGTTAAACTTCTACACATATTCATTGAAGATCTTCAAGAAGGGTTTAATTCTCCCACCCCCGTTGAACTTCTACATTCATTGAAGATCTTCAATAAGGGTTTAATTCTCCCACCCCGTTAAACTTCTACATTCATTGAAGATCTTCAAAAAGGGTTTACTTCTCCACCCCCGTTAAACTTCTACATTCATTGAAGATCTTCAAAAAGGGTTTGATGATGATGATGATGATGATGATGATGCGTCGCCTGTCGTCATTGCGGGTCCGGGCAAAGCCCAGGCATTTGCCGTATATATAATTAATTATATAGGTATATATATATAATTATATATGTATAATATATTTATAGAGAGAGAGAGATTTCACCAGGTACCAGGTGTTTGACCCATGGCCCATAGCCTTATCCCCACAATGACCACCATGGTTGCAAGTGATGATGCGGAAGATGGTCAAAGATTCCAACCAGAAACTGCTCCAAGATCCCTTTGGAGCTTCGCAATCCCTGGTTCCAGGTTGGATCTTTCCAGAAGGGGGTGAACTTCACCTCTACCCTCCAGGCCCGGTGGATTCCTGCAATTTCAAACCCAGTTTCATGCAGCTACGCAGCTACGCGTCAGGTGCCCGCGTCCAATTCGACACAGGCCAGGAGTGTCGGGAAGCTTTCAATGAGATACACTCCATTTGGAAACTCAATGCGTTCACTTGCTTTGTTGCGTTTTAGTTGGGGTGGAAGATTTCTGGAAGTTGGTGTGTGCTGCGTCCAGGTGATGTTTTGGAAGACATGTGTTTGATCATTTTTGATCATTGATATTTTGGGCCATCCAATTTGAGCTTTTTCTGAAGCACAGAGTTTCTTATTTTTGAAACCTGCCACGCTGAAGAACTATGATCATCACAACCCTGTGGAGCTGGTGCTGGCAGGATCCATTGGGCCACTGTTCCTTTGGGTGCTTTCCGGCCAGATGGATCTCAACCATTTGCTTCAGCAGAATTTTGTGATTTGCTCCGGCTATTAGACTTCCCTCTAGGCGCCAACAAATTGAATATCAACCTGGGCCGGCTCCCCAAATCCAAGAACTTGCCAATGAAAGAGCAACATAAGAGTGCGCTCACCAGAATTTTTGGATCGGAAAAACGAGTGGTTGAAAGACTACACCAGCATCGAGCCTAAATAGTTTTTTCAAGCACACCTTCTCCACATTTTTGAGCAGGGTTCTTGTTTTAGCCTTGCATCCCGCCCCACTTACTGCGGGGGAAGCACTTGAGGAATGCAGCAGCGCCTGCTGCTCTGGCAAGCTCAGAGCAGGCGCCACGGCGCCACGGATTGAAATGCCGTTCAGTTTGCTAGCCCTCCTCAGCAAGCCTGTACCAAGTTTTATCATGTTTTATCCCTCTCTAGTATTTAATTTGTCACACTTGTTCATTGACCAACCTTTTAAGAAATACAAGATGTGGAATTTGGGCTTTGGCCCATTCCATCTCATATCCCGCACCAAGTAATTTCGGTGTTGGTTCCGAATATCAAGTCCGGGGAGATCAGAGCAAACGTGCTTCCCCCGTGCTGAACAGGTCAGCAATTGCCACTTCAGCATGGGGAGGTCTTCACATGCAGCTCGGTGGGAAGTTTCAAAGCCTGTACCTAACTTCTTCTGTCAACACCCGGATTCAACACTGGAAAAGCGGGCCGCAAAACAAGTATAATCATAAGAGCAACTAAAGAAGCAAAGGCCTTCAGAAAGCTGGTTTGGAGAAAACAAAAAACCTGGCATTCCATTCCAGTTCCATCAGCACATGGCAGAGAATTTATTTTGGGGTTGGGGCTGGCTTGAAATCATTCACATCACCAAGCTATGTGAAATGGATAGTAAAGAGAACTAACTATACCAAATCATTTTCTGTCATGTTGGGTGAATTGGTATGTCTATGTATTTTTATGATGCAGCCAGGTCGTATTTCTATGTGATTTTCACTTCTATTACAAATACTAATATTATTTTTTTCTGGATTCAGCCTGGAATGTGTTTCAAGTGCTGACGTTGATGAGGCACAGCCTTGGCACCCACTGCTGCCATGTGCCGGTGCGGGGGCCCAGATACTAGTCGGGCTAGTTGCCTCTGGCGGCTTTCCTGCATAGATATTCGGAAACAATGGTTGTTTGAGCATAGTGTTTCATCATGTATGGATGTTATATATTAGGCAGATTTAGGCAGTATATTTATATAGATTGATTTGGTTAGATTAGATTGGATTTGATAGGGTAGATACATAGATATCATATGAATGTGGCACTTTTTGTCTAAAGCTATGCTATAGCTTGACAGTAGATAGTGTAATTTGACAGTCGAAGCCTTGGACATGGTTCGACCCAAGGTCCAGCAGCTCTCCTCCGAGTCCTTTGGGGCAACCTGGCAGAACCGCTTTGCAAAAGAGCAGAGCAGTGAAGCCTCCTGAAGTCCAACCCGTCCAACCCCCAACAGCCCAGGCAGTTGTTGCCAGTTTCGGGTGCCTGTGCGCCATCAATGGGATGGCAGTGGTTCGGTCACCCTGAGAACTGGCTTGGTGCTCCTAAAGGTCATGAGCCGGTAGACCAGGCACAGTGGGCTGGGGGTTTAGGGAAGTACGCGTGCGTCAGCTTGATGTAGTCTCTGCATATTAAACCCTTAAAGCCATGGGTTGGGGTTAGATGTGTTCATTTTGGGGGCCGATGTGGGGATTAGGTATTCGGCATTCAGCGATTTAATTAACAGTGGAAACACGTGGGATCGGGTTTCCATGTGATTGTTGTCTTACGATACCTGTGCTTCGGTGCCATTTCTTGGGTCCTAGTGCCACAAGCTCAAGCAGAAAGCCAGCCCAAAGAGGTGAAGGGTTATGGAGACACCTGACGGTAGCAATGCTTGGTTTGGTCTTGCAGCCAGCCCTTTGGCTTTCAACCCCTTTATAAATTGCCAGGATGAGCCGCCTGGAAATTGCTTGAATGACATTTCCATTGGCCCTTGATAACTGGTTCCCATCTATATTCTGTATAATTTTGTATATTTTGTATGCAGCTGCATATATATATATAATTATATAATTGTTATGAATTATTACGTATGTGCAGTTATGCGTGTGTGTGTGTGTGCATTTATAGATAGATAGATAGATAGACTTAGATAGATAGATAGATAGATAGATAGATACATACATACATACATACGTGCGTGTGTAAATATTGTAACGCCAATGAGTCACTCCCTGCCCAGTGCCATCAGCAGGCCCAGTCATGAGCGTCCCAGGTTGTATGTCAGACTCGCTTTGGCAGCTGGCGGTTCACCTTCCAGAGACGACCTTGTCTCATCGCGCCTGCCCTTGGGGTGGCCACTTGGTGAGGTTCGATTCCAGGCCGGGTCACCGAAAAACGGGGCACCGAAAAAGGGGTAGGAGACACGAAATAAACGTGGGTCAAGTGGTTGGAACACATCTACTGTAGGATTCTATAGCTAGGTATTTCCGGACACCTTCTGATAGGTGTAAAGAATATAAGGATGCTGCAGAGAGAAAGAGTGAGAGAGAGAGAGACAAGGAAAAAAAAGAAAATAAAATATATAAGTATATGACTCTTAGATTTCATCTTCCGGTTCTCCGCATTCCTGATACAGAGTTCCCTCTTCTTCCAGGAATATCTTCATCCAAGCCGCTCCTAAAGATCCTTCTGGCGTCATGGTACGCCCAGAAGTTCGCGGTCGCTACAGTGGCACGCCGGAGGAGTTCCCTGCGCGCTGCCAGCAACTCTTTGCACCCGGAAATGCCTTGTTGGAGCCTCGTCCCCTTTAGGGGATGGTCATACCACCATGGAAAATCATACTGGCCAACATCAAATTCCCAATTTCATGATGGGATTGCGATAAATTAGCCATAATTACTTCATATATAATTATATATAATTATATATATACCATCCAGAGAATGTTTTGACCAGGGCAGACATTGATAGTGGAAAGACTCGTTGGTGTCCTGGCTGGAAACTATTGTGGCCAGGGATGGGGCTACTATGAGATCTCACCGGGAAGGGCAGTTGATTTACGAAATCAGAATTTGTTGTAAGCGATCATGACCTTGAAACATTTGGCGGGTTCCATAGTCATGGGGGTACCCCAATAGCTGGATGGTTCACACTGCACATATATACATGTAAATTCTATTTAAACTGGATGATGGCTGGGGGTATGCGGGTAGCCCCATGGATTGGAGACCTCCATATAATTGATGCTTTGACATTCCCCTGACGGCACTCTTGCCATTGCCGCGGAGATACTCGCACATATTTGTCATGTCTTTTCGCATTGGAGTCATTCTTGAGCTTGCTAAGGAACGTCGCACACGCATGTGGGTGATGCGAATGGCCCGAGTACTCTTTGGCCACTGCAGCAATGACGAGGGTCATGGCAGCAACGGCCTTTTCTACGATTTGGAAACTGCCACAGCGCAACACCAGATACGAAGGAATTTCCCGGAGCAGGGCGATTGCAGTGGCTTGGAGCAAGCGTTTCCACTGGATGGGGTGCTCACTGAGGGTTTGGCTTGATGCGAAGGTGGTAACTGTGATAAGGACGAGGGAGCTATGGTTATCCACAATCCACATTGAATGGAAGGAGCTACTAAGAGTTTCCCAACTACAAACAGTCGAAACTTTGGGAGAATAGCAAGGGATATTGCAAGTGATATGGTGGCCACATGCAGGGGGCTTGGTGGCCACACAGCCGCACCACATGTGTAGGGAGGAACGCATTGGTTGCCCACTGCAAACTACTCACCCTGATGCATCATTAACGCACCGGGCTTGCAGTTTAGAAACGCAATGGCTTGCCACGTTGCCGCGTTTCAGGCTACGTCGGACAGGGATGTTTGATTATTTCGCGCCCGGAAGGGAACCCCAACCGCTTCCGCATCATCTTGGTCTTCCGCACACCTGAGAAGCGTTTCGCAGCATGGGCCATGCCCCTTTACTCTATGACGCCTGGCCTGGGGGGCTTGGACTTGGCCAATGTGACGGTTTCACTTTGCTACTGGGTCCCGGGGTTACGTTGTTGCGTTGCTGTTCTTCTGTAGCGGATCAGCGTTTGCCTTGCGCAACTGCATGTTCTAAAGCTTTATTAGTTGAACTGCATGTTGTTTTTGAACATGTTTGAACCAAATTGGGCATATGTTCGGATGGTGATCTAGGGTTCTTGGGTTCAAAAAAATGCTGCGTCCTTCCGCTTGGCCAGATCATCTCAGGGCGACTGGAAGACCGGGATGACTTCAACTGATTTGGAAGCTGATCTGCCCTTCTACTACATCACATAAAATGCATCAATAATACATATGTGTCCATTCATATTTGCATATATATATATGTAGAATTATATAGACAAATAGTAAGAGAGAGAGAGAGAGAGTTCTATAGCCGTGTGCATCGTATAGATTATCTATATACTGTTATTCAATATATATATATATATATGACTATGAAGGATGATGAGCCATATATGTAGTTAAAATGCCAAGGAATCCCTCCATACAGATGGACTAAGGCAAAGCATGACACTTTTCGTTTCAGTGAAATGAAGGTATAGTGATGTTCCTCCGAAACCTTTGGTCGCTCTTGCAGTCAAAAGAATAATACCGAAAAAATACAACAGTATAGTAGCCTAGATCAATATAAACACATATACTGTAGTTTCTTGAGAGGCCCAAGAAGCTTAATGATTCACACTGACTCGTTGCATTTGCTTGGGATCGACTTAGGATCGCCGATATGGTCCACAAGGCATGGACGATGCCTGAACCCAGAGCAATTAAAATGTGATTGATGCATTTATGTTCATATGTCACGTATACACACATGTATATGTATGATTATGTACACACATATATATATATACATACATATAATATATATATATACATACATATAATATATATATATACATACATACATGTAGGAACCATCACCATTTTGGGGCGAGGGGGGACCACCAGACACTGGGCCATACATACATATATATAATTATATATATATACATACACTTATAATCATATATATATATATATACACATCTACATTTGTATACATATATATATATATATACCTTGAGTCTCGTGGAACCTTTTTTTTTTGCGTTTACACTTGGGTCCTTATATTTCTGCGTTTTCCTTAAAAAAATGTTTTTTTGAAAAAAAAAAAGGTTCAGCAAGACTCAAAGCATGTCACCCAATATTGGTTGAACAAATGGATTGTGATACAATGTTAGTTTGGTGGATCTTTGGATGTTCACCCTGGTTGGAAATGACGATCTCTTTACAGTGGGCCATGAATAGTGCTTCATGTTGAAACCATTTGATTGGAATAATCACACAATGTCAGATATTGATAATGCACAATATAATAAATCAGAATGACAACAGTAATAATAATGATAACAAACATGATGGTTCACGCGAATTGATCAGAGAACATGGCAATTCAGGTCATTGTTAATGATAACGAACATGGTAATGATCACTGGTGATGATAACGGTCATGATACTGAACCACCAACAAAAAGATACATTATAAAATGTTCTGAATGATCATCAAAAGATTGGAATGATAATCATTAGCATGAAATGGCATCAACCCCCTGTAGTATCGATCCCATTTATTTTTAAGGGAATGTTAACCCATGGCCCCGCCACGCAGCCAAGCTGAATCTGAAGCCGGCTCAATGTTGAGACCTTCGTCGGCCCCCAATCAGCCACCCGCAACTTGGACTGAAGTTGCATCCTTTTTCAGTTTCCTTCGCATCCTTCATATTCAAACCAATATTTGATCAACATTCTTTGGATAACTCTTAAAGTTACCGATGATGGGTGAACACACCGAGAAAGGCGTGCCACTTTCCCTATAAAATCCTCATCAGCTTCGCAGCTGTGGGCTGCAGGGTTTAAAATTGGCCCTGAGGCAAACCTCAACTCAAAGTAGAAATGGAGGAAATGATGCAAAGATGGTTCCAAATGGAAACGGCAAAGCTGTAGCCGGAAAGTCGAAGCAGCCAACTTCGCGTAGTCAGAGCAAAATGTAAAACACCCCTGGGCCATTCGGCTTGACGTATTTGGATCCAACCAAAGCCCAGATGAATGTAGCAAATGAAAGAATACCAGGACACCAGAGCAAGCATCGGACACCAAATGCATCAACTCAGAATGAGGTTGCCCCCGTCCAAACAAAGGTACGCCAGGCCTCGTGATGTCGTTCTCGAAAACGTACCCATTGTTCATGAGGTGTTTCAACCAACGAACCAGTAACATAGTGTCACTGCCCTTGAAACGGCCAAAAGGAAAGGAATAATTGTTAGGAAAGTGTAGGATCTGCCGTGTGAAACGCTTGATGTTGGGACGGACAAGACCCCTCCACTCGTGTTTCACCCAGAAATTGAAATCAGCATACAAACGGTCAAGGATGTTCTCAACACTGTTGTTGGTCGCCTCAAAGTAGAATTGTAGGTCCACCATCAAGATGAGGCATGATGCAACGAAGTGCCCGCCCATTGTTTGTTTAAAGATGTGAAATGGATCCTTCAGGAAAAAAGTCTCAGACTGAAATGGTTTGTGAGGTATTTGCACCAGCGGACTTGCCTGGTTCCACGGAACCTGTGCATGCAGAGTAGCAAGCCATGCAGGTTGAGCACTCACTTCTTCAAAAGGGTAGGCATTTAGCCCCGCTAGGCATTCAAAACAGCACCCCTTGTTCTGACCCAAATTTGCAAATGAACGCGTGAAGTTTCCTGCTTTTGCCTGGGCTGGCTGGTCGGCTTTGAGACCAAGACAAACCATGTAATACTTTTGGCCAAAAATAACGATGCCAGAGTTGAAAAGTTCAACGCACTCATCAGCAATCTTTTGCAGCATGCCAGCATACACCCTTGAATTCAGTCTTGAATACCATTTCTTGGGAATTGCCGTGAAAAGGAAGCGGCTTTTGTATGTTGATCCAGCAGCGCTATGGTTCATAGCCTGTGTCATTACTTTCCTCATGCTTTCCATTGTACGATCAGTTTGTTGCATGAGCTTGTGCAACCGATCCAACGTGTCAGCTCCGAAAAGGGTTTGCACTGTCAAAACCAGGATTGCAGATTTACGTAGCGATGTTCCCTCATCCATGTGCAGATAGAAGGGGATACATCTACTCAATTGTCCTTAGGTCAGGGTAAAACTGAGGGTCCCAAAAGTAAATAAAGATAGTGTTAGACACAAAACATACATATCAAAAACATCTTTGTTGGGGAATGGCATTGTTTTGAAACTTTAAACCTCTTGTGAGTCATTGAGGGCCAATTTATACCGTTTGAAAGGGGTCCATTAGAAAACAACATGCTTGAATACGATGGATTGACAAAATTTATCCAAGTTGTTATAGCATACACCTCTTTCAAAGTCAAGACTCCTTGATGGATAGTATATACCACGTGGTCACTATGCGTGTGCCGGTAATTTTCCCAGAAAGTTGACAATAGCATTCCCACCTTGGAGCCATCATCCAAGGAAATACCACCCAAAAACATCTTGGAGTACCGCTTCAGCAGGAGTGGAAACCAGGAAAATAAACTGATGTAATGGATGAACAGCAAGCCAAACCTTGAATGGCTCCGAGACAGCAAAATAAAATCATAAGTTACTTCTCACTCACTTACTTTTCCTAGGCAATGGCAAATAACGGCAATTCCTGTTCAAGCACTCTCAAAACCCCAACGAGCAGTTGTATATGACAAGGGGCTTCTCACAGCTGGGCTTAATAGGCAAAGTCAAGCCCATTCTACCAAACAACACATGCAAATCACGCTCCGCATTCCGAATGCTCTTCACATTGCCAGCTCTCCGCAACGCATCCGAATTGAGGTAACCCTCGTCAATGGCACTCTTGGCGAACTTTTTGCATCGGCTCGCAGGGACCTCAGCGGGAACCCTTGCCGGATATATGATCTGGGATTGACGGGTTATTTAAATTACTTTACTTCGTGTGATCCCCACCATGACATTTATCGATTTGTTACTGGCAAATCTTCTGGCATTCTATCTGACATATCTTCTGGCATTCTATCTGGCATATCTTCTGGCATTCTACCTGGCATATCTTCTGGCATATCTTCTGACATCCTATCTGGCATATCTTCTGGCATATCTTCTGACATCCTATCTGGCATTCTATCTGGCAAATCTTCTGGCATTCTATCTGGCAAACATTCTGGCACTTTATCTGACATACCTTCTGGCATTCTATCTGACATTCTATCTGGCATACCTTCTGGCATTCTATCTGGCATATTTTCTGGCATATGTTCTGGCATTCTATCTGACATGCTATCTGACGTTCTATCTGGCATATCTTTTGGCATTCTTTCTGGCCGTTGAGGTCCAGCGGTGCTCACTGAGCTCGGAAGGTCCCAGGTTGAGGTCCAGCGGTGCTCACTGAGCTCGGCGGGTCCCAGGTTGAGGTCCAGTGCTCACTGAGCTCGGAAGGTCCCAGGTTGAGGTCCAGCGGTGCTCACTGAACTCGTCAGGTCCCAGGTTGAGGTCCAGCAGTGCTCACTGAGCTCGGCGGCTCCCAGGTTGAGGTCCAGCGGTGCTCACTGAACTCAGCAGGTCCCAGGTTGAGGTCCAGCAGTGCCCACTGCGCGCGGAAGTTGGCGAAGAGCTTGGCAAAGAGTTGGCAAGGCGGAAGTCGACATGGAAGTGGCGGAAGTGGACCTGGAAGTGGATGCAGAGGTGGTGGAGGAGAGGAGGAGAAGGAGAAGGAGAAGGAGAAGGAGAAGGAGAAGAACAACTCTGATAAAATCTAACAACCCTCACCTGGCAGGTGGGGAAAAAACCTTTGTGGAGAGCATCGCCCATGCCACTGAGCATCATACCCCTTCACCAAAAGAGAGGGCCAGGTTCCGAAGCATGAAGCCAGGTTTCTCTGGGCCTGGCCCAAGATGTTGTAAGATGTTCAATCAAAAACAAACGGTTTCAATCGGATCAGCCCTGGGTACAGCAGCTATTGCCCATCCACGGTTACATTTTCCCCAATCACTTGTTACAGTTACAACACAATGTGGTCCTTTCAGACAACACTATACCATGCTCTTCAAAACACGACGGCTGGTGAGAATCACATTGTACAAATCATTTTCGATCAGCCTCGCCACCCCATCACGGTTGTTCACGGGACTCTCACTTGGAGTCTCGCTCGACAAGCAGCTGCATGCATGGAAACATAATGACTAAGTGGTGATTCCAACATGGTCCCCAGGGCACACTAGTCACCATGGTCAACTATAGTCACTATGAACCAATTGTGGGGATATGAATAATTATCATGTTTGTCTTGTTTCGTCCACAGCTGCGCCCTACATCGAAGAGCCAAAACTTTGAAGCCACTGAGTGGACTGGGCCTTGGGCAACTCATTTGTTCTTGCCCTTTCCCTTCCCACCACGTCGCACATAATGCTCGGTCTCAGGTTCAGCTCCTGCTTTCGCTTTGGCCTTGGCCTTGGCCTTGGCCTTCGACGAGGCCACAGAAGCCTTCGGCAAGGCCTTTGCCTTTGGCAAAGGAATCGATTTTGCCCTCGATTCAATCGTCAAGGAAAATTGGGACCTGGCACCAGGGGTTCAGCTGAATATGCGTTATTTCCCAAGGTATTAAAGACCAATGACAATGGGAATCTTTGTTATGTTCATAACCCCGGATCAACCCAAAGAAAGGTTATTTCTGATGAAAATGGTACCCCCTTAAAATGAAATATCCTAGACCCTTCAAGACCAAAAATGTAAAGGTACTAAAATTATTGGGTAAACATCGTTTTTTGGGTATACTTGGAAGGTCTAGGGTGATTCTTTTATACAAAATTCCAATCATTTGATCCAATTCTGAGACCCTTACTCCTTCATGGCGTCCTTGTACAGGGCCATCAGCTCCTGGTCCATCCTTGCGATTGGTGGGTAGGTTGAAACTTATCTGAAAATGGTCTGGTTAAATTAACTAACCCAATGTAACACAGTCAAATCCGTAGGTGATGAATGTAGAATTGGTCAATTCCCGAATGGCTTGATTGAAATTATAGTTGGTCATCGGGATATAGCTATCACATCACTCGATTTATTTGGAATGTGGCTAATGTAGCCTGGGTTCTTCTCAGTATATCCCTCAACAGCCCCGGCTGCGTAGATATTGTTGATGTCCGCAGTGATCTTGTCCATGGTGTCCACAGATGTCTGGATCTTCGCAATCAACCTTGCCCAGCTGAATGTGATTGCCCAAGTCCCTGAAATTGTTTAGTAAGTTGGCCAGCTGATTGGGATCTGCAGCCCCCATAATTCAACTAGTAGAATTGATACAATAGTCAGAACCCTTCCACTTCAAAACCAAGTTGCTGGGTGTGATGTGGTGTTTTCTCTTGGTCCGGGATGTTCTCGTATTTGCCCTTCAACTCCTTGGCAAATTATAACATCGGTAGAAGGTAACCCTTTATAAAATAAGACAACATCGGTATATTATAGATAATTCCAGTTTTGAATCAGCCGTATATTAAGTCAAATAAAACTGGATATGGCTATGTTCACCCGATACCTACCCCATATTATGATATAACCGTTATAACCTTACATGGTCTCAGAAGTTGATGAAAGACTTGTGGATCACCGTTTTATTTGTTTGAAAGCACCACATCACTCACTTAACAAATCAAAGGCAAGGGTCCAGCATTTTGACCGACCTTTTCGACAAACCATCCATATACTTAAGGATGACGTCACTCGGTCGTTCATCCTTCAGCACTGCTGGAAACAAGACTTTTCCATCACTAGGTCTTTGAGGATTGGCAGGGGCCGGAAATCCTGCCAAGCAACCATGTTCAATGGAGGAAACAGGTGACCTGGGAATTGGCATTCTTAATCCCCAATTGGTTAAATAATTGATCTTTGCTGGACTGGTAGATGGTGAACAGGAGACACAAAACGCTACCAATCTAAAAACCGATTCATTCTCCTTCAGGGACAGAGGGTCCAGCATCCGGGGCAAACTCCAACCCGGTCAGGGAAGCACCCATTGCGTCCATCGCATTGGTATCAGTCTGGTACTCAGTTTCCTGACGAATCGATTTTGAGGACAGCTTCTCCCACTCGGCTTCCAGCTCCTCCTCCACCCAGTAGAGCTGCTTGTTCTCGTACTTGTCGAACCTATGTGTGCAATATGCATTGTATAGACATATTATATATCGATATATGATGGTATGATGGTATGACCGTATGATGTTGCTCAAACCAAACAGGCAAATCTGAGCAAACATGGGTGGGATTACATAAAATGGTCATAGAAGAAACATAAAAGTCATCAACCTAGACACTTGCAGAGTTTGGGCTTGCCGGTGCAGTACTGGACAATGGCTTTGATCCTTGACCTCAGCTATTGTCAGGCATTCCTTTAGAAGGGAAATGGCCCCAATGCATCTCCATGTACATTTTTCCGAATTAGTTAAGTGCTGGATGACGTATATTATATTATATATATATCATATATAGGAAATGACAATATAAGAAGCACACTGGTGTTGCTTTAGTACAGGCAAGGTTCTCTTTCATATGTAAGTCATCACGCATCTTATCTTCCGATGCCCAGCCAGCCCAGCATTTGAACTTGACCTGTTCCTTCTGCTCGGACACGGCGGTAACCATGGAAACAAACCGCTCCTGCGCACAATGAGGTGCCAGTGCCGATTGCGACATGGACATCCACGTTGCACTATGGACCTAAGATCTAAGGACCTGTGGGAATTGTGGGGCTTTGGGTTGGATGCTGTTTAGACCTTTGAACAAAACGGTGATTGATCACACTTGTTCTCTACAATGTTCTATGTGTAAGTGTTTGGTTTTGAGAAGGACTCCTGTTAACCTATGAAGGTGAATTATCTAAGTACGATTTTTCATTCTGCAGGGGCAAGAGCTCAGATTGTTTGTGTTAACGCACTACCCGTTGCAATATCCTTGTCGAAGCCAGAATCAACAAGCATCTTCAAGAGCTTGGTCTTGGATCTTCCACCCTCCATGTACATTTTGTGGATTTCCTCTGGAACCTGCAGAGTCCTGAGAAGCACGGGTCAAAGGTTTTCAGCTACCCCGGGCATCCCCCAAATTCATCCAAACATGTTTACAAAACAGGTTTCTGTGTCTTATGTATGGATTTTAAGAAAGCTTCTTGGGTATGTTTCAAATTTGATGGCCCCAATTAGATATAACTTGATATTCCAAGGGTCACCTCATTTTGAATCATACCCATCTATATTATTTGTTTCACTCTATAAGAATCCCATCAGCACCACGCTTACAGAGCCGCCATAGACGTTTACGGGCAGCTTCATCGGTCAAAGCACTCTGGTCACTTTGTTGGGTGGTTGGAGGTTCAGGCCCCACATCCATCTTAAGATTGGCAATCTCAGCTGACAAGTTGTCCCGCTCAATACGGAGATCTTGTGCCTCGTGTTCAAGGGCACTAACCTTTGCACGCAGCTGTGTGATTTCGTCAGTGAGTTTAGACTCCTTGTCTGGATTCCCTCCGGTATCCCCATGAGTCGGAGGTTCAACCTGTAGGGTTCAGGATGGTTTAGGTGTCCAAGATGTGATATTTGTAAATCTTGAGGTTGAAACAGAAAGATAATTGAACCAACATTTTACTTTTGTATCACACCCCTTTCCTTGTTGAAATCAGCCATCAAGCTCCGCCCCTCGCCAGGGGCGCTCGCAGCGCGAGGCTGCTCACCATCGACTTTGCCAGGAGTTTCTATGTGCAGACCTGGGCCAACGGGATGGAAGACAGGGATATGTCTGGATTGGAAGGGAACTAACAACACTAAATCAAATATGATAGTATAACTTATAACTTTAAAACATATATAGAACATCACAATATACTCATAGGGAAAGCCTTGGTACGGCCTTTCTTCAGCAATTTGCCGGGGCTTTGCGAAGATGTTTGCACAATAGAGGCTCGCTTCGAGATCAAGTCCTGAAGGATTGGGAAAAACAATTGACCATCTCCAAGAATAAGTCAAACATAAGACCTGATTCTTGTGTTTTTTTCTACTTTTTCCGGCTGCCGAAACTAGGTCCTTCAACTCTCGTTCCATTTCTTGTTTATCCTCGTCCTTTTCCAACTTGACCTGTTGCTGATCCATTTCATGAAGACCATAAAGAAGGGTTTCCGATGAGAACGTTTTGCTCTCCATGGGTTTGGATTTCCGGCCAACGGCCTGACTACTTTTGACAGCCAATACCCTAAGACTGACACAACCAAAATGCTGCAACCGATAGATACAAAGTTATCATCATCATCATCATCATCATCATCAGCGCCATCATCAACATTATCATCATCGTTCATTTTCCACCATCAGAGGTGCTATGTACTATCACAACCACTGGATCCGTCAACCCCATCCACCCTATCTTGGGTACAATGGTTTCACTGTTTTGCTTTAAATGGTTCTAGTGGACTGTTTGAAACTGTGGATGCACAATTCTTTACATCTGGGTTCCCCAAATCTTGTGTGACTTTTTCACTCCTAGTCATGACAATGGTAGTTTCCCCAAAGGAATCAACTTGTATCACCCCAAATGGAACATATTTGTTTAAGGGTGGCACTGTCCTAGGACCCACCATGTTCAAAAAAAAACCATGTGGGCCCAGTCCAATCTCAGCTTAGAATTAAATTTATGGGGACTAGTCTCATTAAAACCCATCGGTGGCTTGATGATGCCCCAGCTTTTTCAAAACCGGCAATCCAATGTCATGAGAAGGACGTGCCGATGGCTTCGCTGCTGTTGCACAATCGTCACTCAGACGCAATTACGAATTAACCCTTAGCCAGGCAAAGGTTTCCTAAGACAAGGTTCTCTTGGCCATTCTGGCCGAAGTTGCCCCAACAGCCCTTCCAGCATTGGATGTGATGCAATGAATGTATCATGTGACATTTTCTTTATCCCTTTGTTACCACACCACACTCCTCACACTCACAATCCATGAAGGGATGTAGGTAAAACCACGAGGGCATCTAGGTCCAAACGGTTTCTTCTCCCAAATCTGTGTTTTTTCCAAAAAAAGGTGCAGCTAGAAAATATCCCCGGACGCGTCCGGACCGGACGCCTAAAGACGCCTTTCGGACGCCAAAAGACGCCTTTCGGACGCTGTCCCTTGATGTCCATACCATCTAAAATCAAAAAAAGGTGCAGGGACCAAGGTACCAAGTCTGATGGGTATTTTACATTAGCCATATTTGTGCCGGAGAATTAGATTTCGATTTTTCGGGGAGTTGGTCTGGACCTTTATTGGAGCCCGTCTAAAATCACAGGCCTCCATTCACTTGGAATTTGGAGCCTCTTACTTCCTCGCAGATACCTCAGAACACTCATCATGGATGCGTCCTCCCATAGGTCTCCCCATTCCATAGACGCGTAAAGAGCAATCAATGGTGAAGTCAAAGACACCTGGGCATTGGGCAGGTTGGCCAAGGTTTTCCCTGGGAATATCATTTTACATGGATGTGATGGTAACCTGTCCCAACAAGTCTAGCAGTTTAGTAGAATGTCAATTTGGAAAGTTCCGTTCTAAAATGGTAACTCCTTTTTCCCACGAAAACATGAACTTCACCCTTAAAGTATTCTCCCTGGGTGCCACCCCAAACCAGGCATATTTATGATTCTATGATGCTCCAAGGCTTTTGCTGTAGTACCGATAGTCAACCACTTTGTTTTACACAGTCTTTCAGTATGTGATTTTTTTGCACTATTGAAGAGTTCAAAGTTGGTGCCACAGCCAAGTTATTTTTCCAGTCACAGCAGGGTCCACTCACACACAGAGTGCAGACCCCACTGGCAGCGGCGCCTGAGGCATGGGGTTGATCTCCTCTGGCTTCTCTGTGGACATCTCAAGGAGCTTTCCGATGTAGGGCCAGGGATATAACCTGTCAGCTGGGAAAGATCCAAAATGCAGGGATCATTTTTTTGACCCTTGCCCTCAACCTTGAAGTGTCTATACTGTAAATTGACATCTGGGAAACTAAAGAAAAGAAGTAGAATTGTAAGCTGAGAAACTGTGTTCCCTTCAAATTCGCATTTCCTTTGAACCTCTTACGTCCATCTTGACTTTCATACCGGTCTGTTGTGGACACCTCAGAGTACAATTCCTTTCTCTTCATCGCGCCTGAATCCAAAGACTTGATTAAATGGGAGTTGGAGAGTACGTAAGTCCTCTTCGCAGTGACATGACCCCAAGCTTTCATCCAGAAGTCCTGGTAGAAGACCTGAGCTGCAAATCAATACAAGTTTGCTGGTGGAATTTTAGTCTTGAGTGTCCCAACATAACCCAAATTATCTGCATTATATAAAGAAATCTTGGGCAACCACATGCTTATCAGGTAAGACACTTTCATGCCGAACTGTTGCCAATGTCGGACCAACCATCTAAAGCGATCATGGCGTGTCAGTAAGCTCGAGGACGGTTGTTCAAGTACAAAAAACCCTCCAACTGCTTGAACTAATAGAAGTAATAATATTGTCCTCAAAGGGCCAAGAAACAGATTGGGTTCAAAATCATCCGAATGATTCATTACCTTGACGAACTGTAGCCCATAGGGTGTTTAAAGTATAGCCCTAAAAACTGGTGATAAGTTCGGAACATCAGAGTCTACAACTCTACAAGAGTACGAGGGCATGACATGGTATGGCGTGGTGCGGTATGGATGCTGAACATACTTTGTTTCGGTTGAAAAACCCTGCAATCCTACTAGCCATTCGGTTGGAGAGGGCCACTTTCTCAAAGTCCGGATTGCCCATGGGACATATGAAGCTGCGGCCTGTAGATCCTCTTGAGGCTACCACCCAAGACGAACAAACAATTCCCCAGCTCGTGAATACCTCTTCGAATTTCCCTTGAAGGATCCCGAAGACGCAAAGCCTCAGAGCCAACCAGCCAACCAATAGATTGGAACTAAAAGAGAACCAATAGAGGTTGAACATGGTTGAACGCCTTCAACATCGAATCCCAGAACGAACCATGCGATTTATTTTAAAAGCCTTTCCACGATGCTGGCATGGAATGGCCACAATTGACATAATTGAGAACAATTGGGTGTTTAATTGTTTATCCCATTGGTTTGTGCCCCCAGAACCTTGCTGCCATACCTGGAAGTTATAAAAAAGGAAACACAACCACTCCAGAAGAATGATGTTGTGGTCAACCAAAAATCAAAACTATTGATTTCCAACTTCCCCCAATCAAGGTGGCAACCAGCCCCGCATTGTGAGGATAAGCTACGAGAATCCAGCATCGGTGTTGATGTCAAATGCATGGGACTCAGCATAGGTAATGTCGAATGCGCAGGAGGTGTGACCTCTGGGGCAAATTGAAAGCAATACCAAGTCCATTTATTACTTTGAAATTCATTGACATGCTTTTCATTTTTTTGGGGGGAATTGCAACCCAGACCTAGTGTCCGCCCACCGCGGGCCAACCGCCCAGCTCCAGCATAGAAGTCCAAGATGGTGAACTTGTTCTCGAATGAAAACACGTCCAGGAAAGTCACCAGGAGTGTGCATGCTACTAGCACCTTTGGAACTGTGGGGAACCAACCCCCTAAGCGCAAACAAAACCATTGAGATCCCTTTCAAAACATAGAAACCGCATAAACCATAAGCTCATTGAAAGTATACCGTCAGGAAATAGGTACAACAGACTATGTTTGACATATCTTATCGGTTCTTCTCTAGCTTTGATCCCACCCCAGAAATCAAGTACAATGATTGTTGCCAATTACAATCAAGTATATGGAGTTCATTGGACTCATGTACCCCCAATCCCCGAAAGTGACATTAATTTATATTACTTTTAGTAGGCCTACCAAATTGCATTTTGGGATCAAGTCCTTGGTTAGAAAATGCAGTGTTGTGTTAAGCAAAGTAAGACACCTTGGGCGCTCGCATGCCCATTAACCGCCGGATCACAGTTGGAAAATCGGATTCCAGCACCATGGTGTTTCAATACTGAAGTAGCGAGGGTGAGCAAAATGCTGGTTTTTGGAGCGGGCAATGTCATTGAATCGCATGGGCCTAAAAGGTTTCATGATTGGATAGTATTGTTGGATTTGGATTGAATGATTTTTGGATCCAACAACAACTTACCCAGTGTACACACTGACAATCCAAAACAAGCCAGCCCTGCGCTCATCTTCAACGAGGCCAAACCTTGCCAGGTAAGAGACCTCAGACGAACAGGAGGCAGGGGCAGGGATGGACGGGACTTCCAAGGATTTGTGGATTTGAAATTTAGGAATCTTGAAATTTGTAGATGCTATTATACTTGGTTGGTGAATTGCCTGTTCGAATGGCAGCTAGTGACCTTGAAGGTATGCTTGAACCATTGGATCCTAAAATGATCTAAAGTGAAAACAAACTGTACGCACAAACGCAAATCTTTCCTCGCACATTGAAATCTTGACCTTGTTGCTAAAGGTGGACATTCCCCTATAGTCCTACCTGAGCCCCTGCTGGCAGTGTTGCAGCAGCATGCTGCAAGCCTAAGCCTAGCATTCGACCACATCATAGAAAGTCCGCACTTGGGACAAATTTCGCACACTTCAAAAACACCCTACAGGTTTTCCCATAGGGCTTCCCCGGCTGGCAGCCCACAAAGATCTGCACTCAGCTTAAATGCCAAACGAAATCAAAATATAGTTTTGGTTATTTTCCGAAAACCGGTTTTATATTTTTATATAATATCATGCTCAAAGTTTCAACATTACAGTAGTGGGCTACATGCGGAGAAAACGCATCTAACGCAAACTTGCTTTCAGCTCCGTGAACTTGGCTTGGACCTCTTCGGCCGCATAGTTGCCGCCCGCTGCATCCACCAGGGTAGCCTCAAGAACATAAGAAACAAATTGGGTGGAATAAGTAGCAATGCTCCAGCTTTGGAAAATTACCCCAAAATCATTGGAACATGTTGGCTTTCTGGGTGGGCTATGTTAAAGACCCGTACTTAATATATGGAATATTGTCTGATGCTACTGTGAAATATACATTTTTCAGATATAGGGATGGCAGCATCATATGCAAAACGAGAAGCAATCTCCGCACTCACCGAAATCAGCTCCTTCATGTCATGCTTCTTGCTGGCAATGTAGAAAGACTGCGCAACGCGGGTGGTGGGGAACAAACTTTGGAAAGACAATTGTACACCTGAAAATTGTAAGGAACATAGCATTACCAAGGGAAATAAATAGGGAAATAAATAGGGAAATACATAGGGGAATAAATAGGGAAATAAATAGGGAAATAATTAGGGAAATCAATAGGGGAATAATTAGGGAAATAAATAGGGAAATAATTAGGGAAATAAATAGGGAAATAAATAGGTCAATAATTAGGGAAATAAATAGGGGAATAAAAAAAACATCATGCATGTTAACATTATGATAGCATCAACATCGGTATCATCCATTTCTATGTCCAGTGGCTATTTTTGAAAGAAGGTGTTGGTGAAGGGATCCGGCCTGGGTGATATGCGATGGATTGTCCAACTCTGGCATCTTCAAGGCACATGCATTGCGGGACCAGTAAGGAACAATGGTGGCATAGTTGAACTCGGGGATCTCAATCTCAACTGGATGGGCCTTTTTGCCCCTAAGTTTTTTTGCGGGGGCTGCAGCATCCTCAGCATCAGCACGGGGGCCCTCAGCTGGGGCAGGTGCGGACTTTGCCTTTGCTGCTGCCTTGGCCTTGGGCGCACCCTTTGCCTTTGCTGCTGCCTTGGCTTTGCTCTGTTTGCTCTTGTTCTTGGGCGAAGCTTTTGCCTTTGCAGCCCGCTTTGGGGCCTTTGCTGCTTTCTTCGGGGTGGGCTGGGGCAAGTCACTGCCTGCAGTAGCATGCACAGAGCAGGAATCACTCCCAACAGATTCTTCCAACTCCGGTTGCAATGCTCTGCGGACACCCTTGCGGCTCTTTGGTTTGGATTCTCCCTTTCCACGTCCCTTCCTTCCCTTTCCTTTGCCTTTTCCTTTGCCTCGTCCCTTCCCACGTCCACGGCCCCTCCCACGGCTCCCACGCCCATCCTCCTGATCCTCCTGTGGCGCCCACCGCAAAGCATCTTGCTCTGCTCGTCGAAGATATTTGTTCTCCAACTCGTCCAGGATGTGGTGTTCCTGGGGCGTGGTCTTGGTTTCTGGCTGGGACATCTCAACCTCTGGGACCTTTTCATTTTTACCTTGGTAGTCTGGCTGGGTTTCGTGCTGGGACATCTCAACCTCTGGGACCTTGTCATTTTCATCTTGGTAGTCTGGCCGGGTTTTGTGCTGGGACATCTCAACCTCTGGGACCTTGTCATTTTCATCTTGGTGGTCTGGCTGGGTTTCGGGCTGGGACATCTCAACCTCTGGAACCTTGTCACTTTCATCTTGGTAGTCTGGCCGGGTTTCGGGCTGGGACATCTCAACCTCTGGGACCTTGTCATTTTCATCTTGGTGGTCTGGCTGGGTTTCGGGCTGGGACATCTCAACCTCTGGGACCTTGTCATTTTCATCTTGGTGGTCTGGCTGGGTTTCGGGCTGGGACATCGGGACCTCTGGTTCATCTAGGCCGTCTAGCTGTGTGTCTGGCACGGTCATCTCCTCGGGTGCTGGCTTTGAAACTGGCCATGGTGACCACGGGCTCCCTGGGGTCAAGGTATCAGGTAATTCCAGCTCTGTTGGGCTTACCGGTTCTGACTTGTTCTCCTCAGCATGAGACTTCATGGGTGATCCTGGGTGCTCCCCATCCTCTTTCTCCGATTCCTCCCCCAAAACCAAAGTCTTGGCCTTCAGCAGTTTGTCCTTCTGAGCATCTTCTTCATCCTGCCCCTCCTTACCTGTTTCCTTGCCAACCCCACCATCTTTCTCACAAGCTTCACCAGCTTCCGCGGGCTGAGAAGGGGATGGGCTACCGGGCTGGGAGTCAGGCAGGTGGGCATATTCATCTTGGGAATCCTGCACTTCCACTTCCAGAAGTGGACGTGAGGAGGCACGAGGGATCGCAGCCTCGGCTGTATCAGGTACTAGTGGAAAAACATCATGGCACAAAATTCTAAATCATAACATATCACAGAACAACATATCATACTAAATCATACCATATCATAGTATAAGTCGAAATTGAAACACATAAGGTGCTGGACAAGAAGCATTAGCAAAAGCTGGTACTTGTGGAAGCCTGGCCAATCTTTGCCTTAGGCATGTGGCAAATATTGTACATTTAACAAAACAACTGGACCTCACCAGGTGATACAACAACATGGAAACATTACACAAGAAACATTACATACATCAGGGTTTGGGATGTAAGTATGTTTGGCCATGTGAAAGATTGATAAGGGGCCTGGCGAAGAAAAACACAAGTGGAACTTCAGGCTAGGGACTGCAGATAGGCAATCCGGGCATCGATGTATTCCACGGCAACTTCTGGTGGAGAATCAGGGCTAGGACGGTCAGGTCCCCCAAGCACTGCTCCCCACTCACTGGGGTCAGAAGGGAGGGTATCCATGTTGGCCGGGTCATTTGGGTTGGCAACATGGTGATGAGGAGCAGGGTCTGGCAAAGGCGCATCACCAGATTCATGCACATCCATCATTGCTTCAAACGTCTCATCATCCAAAGACTCATCGCTACCCCAGGGAATGCAATCAAGGCTGTCCTCCCATCAGGAACATGGCAGCATCAGAGCTGTAGGATTGATACCAAATTGGTTTTCCATATGATTGGCTTTTAATGGGTTTATAATATGAGGATATAGTATGATATAGGCTATCATCTTTGGGGAACCCACTACTTGAAGAAATTGGTTCATCTATGGCCATTATTTTTATGGTCTTATAAGTAGTCTTATACTTATTGACTAATAGTCACAATCTAATATTGGCAAAAAGAAATGACAATTAAAACCAAACCCTGAAACGGAAAAAAAAAAACAATCCTCCGAATGGTTGGAAGGCGTAAGCTCAATCCCACCAGTCACCGGCTCTTCCCAGGCGGCCAGCTGCGATGGATACCATGCAGCCATGAAGACGCGTGCAACTTGCCGAGCACCATCATCCTGGGCGATGGGATGTACCAAGGTTTCATCAAAGTATTTCTGTCATTTTGGTGTCACAAACAAACAATTGGATAGGTGGATAAAATGATATGATTTGGGTTGACATATTTTCCTCAAGGACATGATAATTAAACTGAAGTTCTCGGGGGCAACGGTCGGTGCGAAGGTTCCTAAGGATGTGAGAGAGGAGCTTGCGGACCCCCCAAGCATCACTGTAGATCTTGATCTTCTTGGACTTGTCCAGGTCAATGCCCTCACCCAGCATGAGCTTGTAGAAGTTCCGGACCTACCATGGACATGACATGGTCAAACATGATCAAATCCATCGCGGGGTCAATGTGATGAGTGTGAGAGTCTAATAAAACAAGTTCCGGTCAGGGAAAACCAACAGTGGAATGGAATGTGTTAGTTTTCTGTGGTGATGGGTAGCAGCATTGTTTTTTTCTCTGAATGATATCTGAATGGTTGGTAGCGTGAAGAGTTTGTAAAAAAGATGTGTAAATTCAAGGGCCGGCCTCCTCAACTGTTGGCCTCACAGGAGGCGTTTTGGGCCGTGACCCTGAACCCTCGAAGTCAAAGACCTCCACCCAAGAAGTTGCCGCCATACGCAGCACATCCGCGTTGAGAACCACCGCTTTCCTTAGCAAGGGGCCAGCCACGTAGATGGACATGTCGAAAAGAATCATGGTGGTTGAAGAACCTTGAAGACCCTTTACTAATGTTTTTTGGAAAGCTGAAATGCCCTTGAATGTCATTGGGACAGCTACGGGGAAACAAACTATCCCATAAAACGGATAAGGTAAGGTAAGATTGGAAAATATTGGGTCCAATATCTATGTCAAGTACGCAGCATGTTTTCAAATGACCCTTTATACCAAATTACTTTACTTCGTGTGATCCCCACCATGACATTTATCGATTTGTTACTGGCAAATCTTCTGGCATTCTACCTGGCATATCTTCTGGCATATCTTCTGACATCCTATCTGGCATTCTATCTGGCATATCTTCTGGCATATCTTCTGACATCCTATCTGGCATTCTATCTGGCACATCTTCTGGCATTCTATCTGGCAAACATTCTGGCACTTTATCTGGCATAGTTTCTGGCATTCTATCTGACAATCTATCTGGCATACCTTCTGGCATTCTATCTGGCATATTTTCTGGCATATGTTCTGGTATTCTATCTGACATGCTATCTGGCATTCTATCTGGCATATCTTCTGGCATTCTATCTGGCCGTTGAGGTCCAGCGGTGATCACTGAGCTCGGAAGGTCCCAGGTTGAGGTCCAGCGGTGCTCACTGAGCTCGGCGGGTCCCAGGTTGAGGTCCAGCGGTGCTCACTGAGCTCGGCGGGTCCCAGGTTGAGGTCCAGCGATGCTCACTGAGCTCGGCGGTTCCCAGGTTGAGGTCCAGCGGCCCAGGTTGAGGTCCAAGTTTCATGCTTGGCACACCCACTGTGTCCTTTGTAGGCCACAAGAGTAGACCACCCTCTTCCCGAAACCTTTGCCTGATCGGGGCGAAAGACTCCCAACGGTCAGCCAACCCCGCCAAGGCATCAGTCGGGATCGGGTGGTCCTCCGCCATTGTTCACTGGCGTCGATGCGCGGAAAAAGCTAAATGGCTGAGGGTTGGGCAGTGAACCCATGCAACAAACTCAATTACCCCCTGGTTATTTAACATAGCCATGGAAAATTGCCCATTTATAGATGGTTTACCTGGGTTTACCTATTAAAAATGGTGATTTTCCATGGCTATGTTAAATAACCAGATGGTAATTCTGGCATCACGATATCTCTCTCTCTCTCTCTCTCTCTCTCTCCCTCCCCACTCAACTGACAAGTGGTTACTGGGTTTCCAGGCCACGTCATCACAGCCAGCGAGCCCGGATTTGATCCACTCGCGGCGGATGATGATCGAATGTTAACGCCTTATTCCATTTGCCCTGTTTTGTTCCATAGATAATGGGTTTATCCTCTAAAACCAAAAAAAAGGTGCAATATACAAAAAACAGGCTTTATTCTCCAAAACCTGTTTTTTTTTAAGGCAAAAAAAACAGGGCGATTGGAAAGTCAAGGTATATATGTATGTATGTATGTATGTATGTATGTATGTATGTATGTATGTATGTATGTATGTATGTATGTATGTATGTATGTATGTATGTATGTATGTATGTATACATTTATAGATATTTATACTATATATATATATATGCATATATATATATATACATATATACATGTATGTATATATATATATTATAGTTATGTATGTATACTATCTACACCAGTCCGTATAGCATATGGCCACTGTTGCTTTCTCCATGGCCCCTGGCGTGCTTCTTCACACCTCGCGTGTGCGCCAGGCCAAGGACCGCATCCTGAACAGTCGCGCTTGGCAGGAGATGCGTCGCATGGATGCCAACCTCTACACAGTGCTCAGCATGCGCAGCTTCAATCGTGGACCACCCATGCTCCCTGAGGCGCCTGAGGCTGTGTTCGTTAAATTTGGCGTTGATCAGTTTACATGTGATTTTTTATTGTTCTATACATTTCCATATTGTATTACTGTATTACTGCGCATTATTACTGCGTGTTATATGATATATAAATGCATAATATGTAAATAATATTTAGTTATGAATCATGAATCTGTGTATTATTTGTTATTCATTTTTGAGCTCAAATAGCGACGTCGGTCGACCTCACAATGATAGGTAGATGTCAGGAGCCATCCCAGGAAGGGACTGTCGTTCTTTCAAGTGGACGAATTGGAATGTTTTATCCAGATGGTCCAGATACATCCCACGTGTTTGTTTCCGGAGATGGAATTGATATGAAGTGATCTAAACTTCTCACACTGTGATAATTTGATACCAGTCGCAACCGTGGTACGGGATATGGCCAACAAACATTGATAAAATGTGGATGTAGCACCGCAGCGCCAAGAGAAGGCTGGAGATCAAGACTCTGAGACTTTTCATGTCGCAGCCGGCAAGAATCTCGCACAGCAATTGTGTCGAATTGAGGGGATGGTTTGTTGGTAGATTTTGTTGTGTGCTGACTGATCATGCTTATGAAAAATGTTCAACCCCATCACAATCCAATGACTCCAGAGATGGCTCAACTTTATATAGAAATGGCTCGAAACCACCGACATCACCAACTATACACTGCCGTCCAAGTGGTGTCAACATCAGGTGTTTTGCTGCTGGGAATAGGAGTCTTGTTGACATTACTAAAGGTTTACAGGAAGTGCGAAAGTTCACGTGGAGATGCATATAATTATGGATACATATGTATATATATATATATTTGGAGCTATAGAAATATATAGTTGGTTTTAGTTGTGCTGCATGTTCAAACCAGCAAGGGACAGGGCAGGCATTGTCCAATGATTGTTCTTGGTTTTCTTCCTCACACCTTGGGCCTAGCCCCTTGTCCTTTGGCAATCTAGCTGGCAATCGAAATCACCGAAGCATTACACGAAAAATACCGAAAAACATGGTGGATTTCCCATGTAGATTACCAGAGGGTACAGCAAACTGGTCAAGTCCCAATTAAACCTGGTTTCATCAAGTCCTCAATATTAATATGTGTGCGCGTGTGCTGAACTCAGCAGAACTACCATTTATATCAATTTATAGTGAGGAAACAAAATCAAAGCTGTTTAATCAAAATGGTGCACATCACTTGAACTCCGCATTCTTCATCATCATCAACACCATCATCAATATCAATATCAATATCAATATCAATATATATATATAATTATATATACATGCTATGTTTTGCTTCGATCCCAACATTATTCGTTCCTGACGTTCTTGAGATCCCCGCCATGAGGAGCCTGGGCCTCACCACCTGGTCTCGATTTCCCCTCTCAGACACGGGCAGATTCTGCTTGGCGGACTACTTGTGGCGCTTCATGCAGCGCTTGGGACTGCGCCGGCTAGGTGTGCACGAGTTCATCTATTATATAGTAATTTACATGAAATAACATTATTAATGTATACGCACATATATATATATATATCAAATATGTATGTATATATATATATATATGTGTGTGTGTGTGTGCGTATATCATGGATCTGATTATTAAATCTCTAAATGCGTTTGACATGTTCTTCCGAAGCCACGGGACGCCCAGGAAGTTGGGGCACAAGCTGACGACGCATAAAACCTTGGACGGTCGGATGCTGGTGGGCTACCAATGTGTGGTGCTCCGGGAGGACTGGGAGAAGGTGAATCCATTTTTCTGGGACGCTTGGCGTGGAGGAACGAGATGGAATGGTTGTTGTTGCGTATATTATTTTACATATATATATATATATTTGCATATGTGTGTGTAACTGTGTGCACTTGTACATTTACAACAATCCAAGTCGATGCATGTCCAACCGAGAATGCTAGCATGTTATCAAGGCCTTCATATGAGCAGATTCCTGCTGAAAGCCTAGAAAGGAAGAATCACTAACAATGAGAAGTCAGGCAAAGTTGACAGCAAATTTTGTTTCATGTCTTGACCAGTCCCCAAGTGTCCAAGTGTGGGACCCTATCCCTTTCCAGATCTTACCAGTACACATGCGGGAGCTTTCCCATCGCTGAAGGAAGCCTTTCGAATTCAGAAGGCGGCATATCGTCATGCCAATGGCGGATCCACTGCGCCCAGTTTGACGCAAGATGTTTCTCCAAATCTGCCCCTTGGGAAGTGAACGGACAGTGGACCCAGTAGGTTTTGGGATTCGTCGCTTTTGTGAGGCACCAATGAGCACCATTTTTTTCAATGTTATGTCATTGTAGTATATTCTAGTACCAAAGTATTCAAACGTGATGTGTTTTCATAGATTGGATTCATTTCATGCTTTGCATTCTCCTGTCCTGGAACCTCTTGCCATGCGACCTGCTTACAGATATATTTTTTCCCTCTCTGGTTTTTGAGACAATGGCCAGTCAGCTTGCTTCAATTTGACAAATTTGATTTGAGATATCTAGGAATTTCGAGGGCCTCAAGTGTCTGCACAGATGTTGTTTCAATCTACAGTTGTGTCGTTCCCCACCTGCCAGGTGAGGGTTGTTAGATTTTATCAGAGTTGTTCTTCTCCTCCTCCTCCTCCTTCTCCTCCTCCTGGTTCTCCTCCACCACCTCTGCCTTCACTTCCATGTCCACTTCCGCCTTGCCAACTCCTTGCCAAGCTCTTCGCCAACTTCCGCACGCAGTGGGCACTGCTGGACCTCAACTGCAAGGGTCTGAGCGCACTGGGCACAGCTGGACCTCAACCTGGGACCCTCCGAGCTCAGTGAGCACCGCTGGACCTCAACCTGGGACCCTCCGAGCTCAGTGAGCACCGCTGGACCTCAACGGCCAGATAGAATGCCAGAAGATATGCCAGATAAAATGCCAGAAGATATGTCAGATAGAATGCCAGAAGATTTGCCAGTAACAAAACGTATAGATGTCATGGTGGGGATAACTCGAAGTAAAGTAATTTTCTTCATATCATTTTTCATGCTCATCATAAGCGTGCGTGCTGCCTGCATGAAATTGACTCAATTGACACCATCTTCAGCCCGGGAAAGGATAGAAAGTTGGCTTCGCCCCTGTGGGTTTCAGTCAATCCCATCTCCCTGGGTTGAGTATCGGACCTGTTCATTTTGGCAGCCTACAAAGATGACAATTAAAACAATTAAAGTCAACTTCAGGGGGGAAGTATCGTTTCATTTCAGATGCTTTTCCCGGCCAAGTTTCCGGTCGGATCAGGTTGGTCGAAGAACCGGAAGAGTGGCAAAGGTCAACCTCCAGAGCCTCCAGCGCCTCCAGCGCCTCTGCCATCCCAAGCTCGGTGAAGATGGTGGTGCGCAACACCTTTTTGGAGTTGGAAGAGGATGTGAACCACAAACCCCCAATGAGGAGCGAATCCCAGGGTGGGCAGCGGGTACAGTGAGGATGTAATGAGGATGTAATGAGGATGTAATGAGGATGTACCGGCAGATGCTGGTTGTGAATCGGATTTTGGAACAAAAGTTTTGTGATATGGAAGCGTATGGGATATGTAAATATGTATGGAATGATTCTGGAATGATTTGTCAGCCAATGCTTGAGCTTCGTCAACGTCAGGAGGACAAGAAGCGACATGTCTTGCTTGAGTGGCGAAGTCGACAATTTTTCTGTATAGCCATGTCCATCCGCGCTTCCAACCACGCTTGGATCAATGGGTGGGACGGTATGGTCCAGTCGTCGGCGGAGCGTATTCCCTCCGGCGGGTCACCGTTCCCAGTTGTTGGAGAGGCCCCTGCACTTGGCGGGGCCAGGGAGTTCCCAACCGTACAGTGACCCCGGCATTCGCGCCCTGCGAAGTTGCCAATGAGGTCAAGCTGAGCAGTGGGCAGACGTTGGAGTGGCTAGTGGCAGAAGATTGAGATCTACCCTCTGATAATTTAACGTAGCTATTGAAAATGGCCATTTATAGTGGATTTACCCATTGAAAATGGTGATTTTCCATAGCTATGTTAGTTTACCAGAGGGTATATTTGTTGATGTTGTTGCCTTGTTCGGTCTACCAAGCCAAGTCCTTTTTTTGGAGTTGATCAGCACATTTTGACTATAACAGGATGGTCCCCTTGGAGTTCGGAGTTCCCCAAGGTAAGCCGCCAGCAGCTCCCAAAGTACACTAAAATTATGGAGATAGAGATCCCCCGAAATTTCGCTATATTTATTATATAATTTATTTATTATCAATTGATGTTTTTTGTGTATTGACAATAGATGCGTGAAATATGGATGTATACAAGGTATTTCATGCATGGTTGATATTAGATTCGATGCCTTTGCTGCTCGACGATTTGCAAACTGACCAGACCATGTACAGAAAATTAAGATTTGCGGGCAAACTGACCAACGTTCAGATACCGGATGCTCTGTTATATGTCGCAGAGAGCTGCCAAAATTGGCTTCAGGAGAGTTGGGTGCAGAAGACAATGAAGTATGTTCATGCACAAAGGTCAGGAACTCCTGGTCTGAGCAAATCATCCCCTTGCAAGACGAACATTTCGGAGAGATGCCTGCTCCACATATGCGCAAATCATACGGCTGATTGTTCCACAATGTTCCACATAGTTCCCAAAACCATCTAAAATTCGTGGCCATTTCAGGACCCTAAATTGAAAGTTCGTACCTACCATGTATGAGGTCTATGTGGGGCTATGTAAAGATATGCCCCCAAGATATGGCTCTATAGTGTACGTTACCTCCAGTTCAGGTACCTGAAATGGTCATTGATAAAGCCTTTCTCGTGAATGTGATGTGGCTGCTTCGGGCCGTCAGGGACACCAACACTGACACACCTTGGTTGACCACCCCAACGTAACTAGCAGCAACTGGTTGGCATCCGTGTTTTGAAGTATGTGCAGGGTTCCCTCAGAAGTAGATATGCAAAAAGATCCACCCATACTAATGTAGTATATAATTAAACCATATTAAACCTATATAGTTGCAAATACTCAAATACTGCCCTTGTCTAGTGATAATTTGCAAAGATTTTTGATATTGTGGGATTTGGGGATGGTGCACTATCGGGCTACCAATGTTTACCAGATTTTTTCCGTGATAACCCCGAACCTCCATCCAGAAGTCAACGACTTCTGTTCACCACAGGTGGCTTTGGCCAAGCAGAAGGAAATGCAAAAGTTGCTGCCATATGCCAAGGCAGAGTGCTTGAGCAGCTCAGCAAATCTTATCATACCTCCACAAAAAAAATGTGTTGATATGTGTTGATCCTGGAGGGTGGGATACCTGTCAGAATTTTTGCCTGCCCCAACATGTGCGGGAGGAACATCATTTTCCAAACCTTGCTTCCTTTTGATGTTCGGAAGGTTCGATGAGCTTTGGCAGCTATGCATGCATGAAAGCAACGGTTGTGGCCTTTGAGCAGCGGCAAAAGAAAATACCCATGGCATGTGTAAATTAGATTCCCCATGTTTTGCTGTCTGGTTGGCACAAACAAGAACCACCTGACTGAAGCCAGCCACTGGATGTGCCAGACCTTATGGGTGACCGGTCATCCTTTCTGGTGATTTTCCAATCTGGAAAGGGACCCCCTGAAAGCCATGGAGAGACCGAGCTTGATAGGCCAAAGTCACCCTTGGTCCCATTGCCGTTGGAGAGGCGGGTCGCTAGTGATCAAAGGTTGGTGATGAAGATAAGATGAGGATCAGGATGAAAATGATGAAAATCAGGAAAATTATGAGAATGAGGATGACGATAATGACGCCCCCCCCGATTGTGATCCATGCTCTCTTTTATCAACAGTGTGATGTTGTCACAAGATTTGAATCAAGAGGGGTACTTGCATGTTGCTGGAACAGGTAGGGGCCATACTATGCTAAATCTTGCCTAAGGGCCTAATGTGTCCAAGCAATTTGCAGAAAATTGCATCATACTTCTGGGAGACCGTACTGGTGGATTCTTGACTCTTGGAAACATATGGAAACATCTATCTCTGCTGCCATTCAGGCATTTCAAAGCTGCGTGCCCAACTTCATACTGGAGGAAATCCTCCGATAATCAAGAAACATGTCTGGAAACTGCGCGTGAACATTTTTTGCTGGGATTCATCGACCGGATTAGCCCCCAAAATCGAAGGTTTCATTCTAAAATGGACCGAATTGTGGGCGGATTGGTGATTGGTTCCCCACTTTTGACCCATACCCCCCCCCACACACACATAGATAGATAGATAGATAGATAAATAGATAGATAGATAGATAGATCGATCGATAGATCGATAGATCGATAGATCGATAGATAGATAGGTGGATAGATAGATAGGTAGACAGACAGACAGACAGACAGATAGATAGATAGATAGACAGATAGAGAGAGAATGATACTGTATATCTACAATTATCTACATATTGTATGTACGCATTAAATTGTGAAAATCGGTGAAGTCTCTTAGCCTGTACCTCAAGCCTGGACCTTTGAAACTTTGGAGCACTACAGTACGCCAGGCCAGCTGTTGCTTACATCGCTGGCCATCACGGAGAAATGTCGGCATTCGCCCTGTGGATTGAAAAGAAGCGGACGCTACGTTTGCTGCTGGTGTGTCGGTGAAAATAGGGGGGCACTCTGATTTTCAAAAGGGAAGAACATGGAAGAAAACATAACATAACATATACATAACATGTATGTGATCATATGTGGATGAGTCCATCCTACTGCCATTTATGGAGTTTCCCACCGGAAGCTTGGAGCCTGTAACGCATTGTAACGCTGAGTTGAAGATGGTGAAACCCGGCACCAAGTTCTCTCCGGCCTAAAATGACCTTGACTACATGGATCTATATGGTAGCTGGGCATGGATCAAAATTATTGGACCTAAAAACGCATGGTCTCAGGTGGTTTTAAATTATAGTTTGAAGATGTTTGAAGAAAAATCTTTGCACCCAAAGGTAGCTGAAAGCTGGCCCACCTTTCCTCGCAGGTGATTCCGCGTGCCGAAATTGCACTGGACGCAGCAGATCTCACGGTGCACCGAGCTGGATGACTTGACATTTCCTGAGTATCTCATGTTGGACGGAATGGATTGCATAGGCTAACTGTTGAGTTTATACTGTAATTATATATAATACTTTATGTAATATATATATATAGAGAGAGAGAGAGATCATGCAATTGGATGGATTCATGATAGAACAACTTAAAAGATCTTAAATTGGACAGTGCTCACTTGACATTTTGGGACCATGGGCAGCACCTGCTGTCCAGCCACGGTCCGCATAAGCGTGGACCGCAGGTGGATGACGGATGGTTAGATCCCTTGGTTCCGGATCCCCAGTGTAACCAGGACTCGGGGTGCTAAAAAAGCGGGCCACATGACGGTTTCCTTTTGCGATCCATCATGGTTTACGGTCACTTTATGAATATGCATATCTGATATAATATTATATATAAGATATTATTAGATATAAAAGTATCTAAATAAGTTATACATACATATATGTATATATATATTGTATATATTATATATATTATATATATATACATGTTTCATCATTTTCCTGAGTTTGCTAAGATTGATTCGGATGGTTGTTGGTGGCGACTTTGGTTTGTTGGTGTTAAGTGGTCACGAAAAGAACCAGATGACCCTTGATCATCCTTGATCAGATTTTCAAACACATCAATGCTGTTTTTTGGCAATGTTGCAGTATTATTTCTTCTCCAAAAACATCGTTGCACATGGGGGGAAAGTCCATCCTTGCACACTTTGTCAAAGATGACAATCCCAGCCCGTCCTGTTCTGATTGCAATGTCGCCCAGGCTGATTTCCTCTCCCAAGCACGCTGGGATGCCAAGAAGGGCACTCATGATGGGGTCAGGGTTCAGAAACATCTAGGACACATGTCGGATAAAGATTCTGGGGGACAGTGACAGTGTGTCCCAATTTTGCAATTTTGGTGAGGAAAATGATGAACATTTGGACAATCAATTTCATCTTCCAAGAATGCCGTAGCGCGCACGAGGTCTCAGTGCAAGCCCTGGTCAGTCCAGCATCAGTCCTGCGGAGGGAATATGTAGTGCCCTCGCATCTACGTTGCGTCAGGGATTCCCAGCACTGAATTTCGGTGGTTTGGTGGGTTTCAACGGAATTCGTTGAATTCAGCCTGGCTACCTGGGATTTCTTCAATGGATTTGGGGGAAGGGTCCAGAGGACCAGTATTCCTGGCGCGCAAGGCTTGGCTGGAAGGCCCATCGTCGAAGAGTACGTTGCGCGACCCTCAGTGCTGCGAGTTCTGTCCCATGTCCCCACGAATTTGATATACCATGGTAACCATGGTACACCACAAAATCCGTGCACATTGGAGTGTCCTGGAATGGTCAAGCAGCGCCACAGCCTGGTTGATTCTTGGGTGACTCAGCCTGCTAGGCTCCAAAGTGTCCACGCATTGTGCCCCGTGGCAGGGCTTAAGACATTAAGACTATAGTCTATAGTTGTCATGCTTGGTCCTTCTTGTTGCACCAATTTCATCCAATTTCGCTGTCAAGTACGTATTCAGGCATATTGAGACCCTTGATGAGAGCGGTTCGATTTGGGCAATGGCTTGACGGCCCAAAGAGGTACAGCTGGACGCGCTGCATGTGTCCTCCATCCGTTTGGTGGCAGGGTGACACAGTATTGAAGCCAGGGGTTGTGCTCTCACACCACACATTCAGAGAAGCATTTGAAAGATGAACGCCTCAAACAACCAGCATTGCACATGATGCATTCTATACAAGTTTCTTCTGCTTGATTCCGATAGTTCAAGAGTCAATATGGTGTCAAAGTCGCATTCAGGTTTGGTGTTCCATGCGGCTGCAGAATGTGGAGCCCTGAGATGTTGCAAAGATGTGTCTCTAGAGTTTAGTGACAACCAAGAAACATATGAGATGACATGAAATGACATGAAATGACATGTTGATCATGTTGATGACTGATGGTTTCAACTCAACGAAGTTCAATAATTTAATGTGTCGATTCTCAACCATAAATGTTGGAATTATGAGGAATTGTTTAAAATATATTTTAAAATTATGATAAATATAAAATAAACTCCTGAATTTCCAATGATATCCCCAATGAGTCTTATTTTCCTCAGTGGTTTTGGTCACAACCGTGACGAGCGGCGAGCCGGTTTGTTTCACTGATCTCAGGCTCGGTTCCTGCCCAACTATGCACTGCACCCAGTTTTTGCCCTCGAAATTGCAATGTTGATGTGAGGATTATGAGAATACCATCAACTTCGGGGACCCGGGGTACCCCTATTTTCAGACAAAAAAAGTAACCCCATGTTGGTAGAAATGAGCTTCAGCTGAACTTGATATTCCAGACCATTCTGCACCCATTTTCTGCAGAGAGGTCAGAGCCGCCATTCGCCTTGTCAGTTTCAGCGGACGTTTCACTCTGGTGTAGCCCTGAGCACAGCTTCGCACCCATCAACTTGGACCTGGATACACCTTCTGAAAAATTCTGCTGTTCATTCTGAAGATAGTGCCATTTGGGTCCACGGATGCAGCAAGCATTCATACAGACATGATCACATATTTGGTTTGTACAACTTGCAAGAGTCACCAAGACTGGTCTTGCTGAGCAGAGCAACCAATAGAGCCGGACAGGCCAATATCTTATCATATCCTATCTCCTATATGACTTCAGCTCATTTTTTTAAAGCTTGACCTACCCTCTGGTTATTTAACATAGCCATGGGAAATGGCCCATTTATAGAGGGTTTACCTTAAGATGGGCATTGTAGGCCTGTGGAGCCTTTTTCTGAAAGGGATGTTGAAAACAACGCAGAACTCAAAAAACATAAAAAAAACGATCGTTTTTGAGTTTCACTGAAAACGCAAAACTCATAGTTTTGATAGATATCGCGTTTTTAGTGAAACTCAGAAACCTTAAAAAACACTACTTTTCGCGTTTTCATGAAAAGTGGGAAAACGACACTGTTTCATGTACTTTCAGATGGTCAACCAGAGGAAAATTCATGTGACAGATGATTTTGCTGGGTCATCGCAGAAAGTACCTATCTCTTTTGGCTCTATTTGACCCTATTAAACATGCCAAAACAGGTTTTTCCACGTGCAATTTTATAATTCTCCTCAGTGGCATCACGTGGCGTTATTTTGCGTTACCAGGAATGCTATATTCTGCGGGCTTGTCAAATATAAGGTGTTTTTCCAAATCCTTTGCGACACTACGTAGACTATGTAGCGCTACTTGAAATGCTGCAAATTACCTGATTCACTTTAATTATTATGGTTTTTTATTAAATCATTTTTGGCACTAAGTGGTCCGATCAGAAACGCATAAAAACGCATTCTTTGCCTTATTGTAAAAAAATGG